CCAAGCAACACGGTTTTGAATAACACGATAAGAGCAGGAGTCCTCGACAAAGACTCTCTACTTTTACCCGATGGCAGAGAACTCCAGAAGGCACGAGGGACTTGCCTTATATGTCCCGAAGCTGACTTACCTCATCGACCGTTTGTTTCACATCACAACCCGAGCGCTCCAGCGTACGCACCACTCGAAAAAGTCTACAGCGACATCCTCTACAATCGCGAACCAGGACAAGTCAACTTCAACTACACCATTACCTTCATCGACGCCGCCACTCGATACGTCTGGCATCGCAACCTACCCAGCCGCGACATGGCGCTCGCAGCATTCGCCGCCTGGCTACCGATAGCAGAGAGAGAGTCTGGAACACAAATGAAAAATTTCCAGTCAGACGGAGGTGGCGAGTACACCTCTCACCGCTTCAAGCAGTTCTTGGCGGAAAGGGGGATCAAGCAACTCCTCTCCCTTCCCTACGCACATCAGCAGCAAGGTGTTGCAGAACGACTGAACAGGACCCTGCTGAACAGCATGCGCAAACTGCTACGTGGCATGCGGCTACCCAACCACCAGTGGCCAGCAGCAATGGACCACGCTGTCATGCTGCACAACTTGTTGTCGTCGTCGTCACTCCCGAACAACGCATCACCGCATCTGCTGTGGACAGGGAAGCAGGGCAGCACGAAAATGTTACGAGTTTTCGGGTGCATGGTACAGTACAGACCCCCAGAAGCACGAGCGGGAAGATTTTCGCAACGGGCACAGTGGGGACTACACCTCGGCATCGAGAAAAATTACAACGCATGGAGAATCTTCGACGTCCACACAAAGGAAACAGTAGCAGCACGTGACGTGATCTTCTACGAAAGACTCACCCTTCAGACGTACCTCGCCAACTTGCACGAGAATCGGGACCTCACCAGTGGTTTTCGTGGTGACCGAGCCTTCGCGTCAGCAGCGGATGAAGCAGACTGGGACGAGCAGAATGTTGACAACGCATCGGCAGACGCCGGACCTCTCCCGTACTGCTCCGTCAACGTGCCCATGGACGAAGAAAATCCTCGCGACAGTAACAACGCCGAAGTCTTCTACCACTTCGCCGACACCGGTTACGTAACACCTGCAACCGTCAACACAAATGAAGCAGAAAGGATAGGACCGGATTTCATCCCTGATCCAGAAGCGGGAGACGAAGCAGCTTATCCCGAGGATCCAGAACTCCCTCGATACTCACAGACTGGGCTGCAAATCCTCGGCCTCGTCACCGCAGTCCACGGGAACACACGCAGCTCGCTTCCTAAGGAGCCTGCAACGGTTCAGCAGGCTCTGGGGGGGGAATACAGGGAGAAATGGCGTGAAGCCATGGATAGAGAACTGAAGGCATTAGAGGAACGCAACACTTGGAAGGTTGTTCCCGTAAGCGTGGCACGGAACAAAACCATCCTTACCGGGAAATGGGTCTTCCGCATCAAGACGAAAGCAGACGGCACGATCGAAAAATTCAAAGCACGCTGGGTCGTACGTGGATTCGACCAAGAGCAAGGACGAGACTTCACCGAGACCTTTGCTCCAGTCAGCCGCCACACGTCACTCCGAATTCTCCTCGCCATTGCCGCCATGAAGAAGAAGAAGTTACGGCAGATCGACGTCGCAAATGCCTTCCTCTACGCACCTGTGGATGCAGAAATCTATGTCGAGCTCCCGCACGGTTCCCACGGCGAACCCAACCGAATCTGTCAACTACTTAAGTCGCTCTACGGGATCAAGCAGGCACCGCGACTGTGGCAGCAGTACCTGCACGCCCATCTCATCCGCATCGGCTTTAGTCAACTGCCTCACGACCAAGGCATGTACCGCCTCACTAAGGGAAGCGACTACGTTCTCCTGATCGTCTACGTGGACGATCTCCTCTACATTGGGTCAACCGACGGCATCGCCACGTGGTTCGAAGGAGAGCTCCAGAAAGACCTCACGCTCACGGTCTCCTCCACCGTTACACAGTACCTCGGGCTCAACATCCGCGAAGAAGAAAACGCCATCTATCTAAGCGCCGAGAAATACGCCGACACCATCGCGAAACGCTTCAGCCTCACACCAAACGCCATCTCCACGCCTTACCGCTACACATCAGGAACCGAGAAGGAACGAACTACTCTACTCAAGCCCGCCGGCATACGCGAGTATCAGAAGAAGCTCGGATGCCTGCTATTCGCCGCCGTCACCTGCCGTCCTGACTTATCCTACTCCGCAAGTCAGCTCGCCACCTATCTCAAGAAACCTGAAGCTGAACACCTGGCGGAACTTGATCGCGCTCTCCACTACTTCGTCAGCACCGCGACGATCGGGCTAACCTACCACAAGAGCGCAGCTACACCGACTAAGCTAATCGGCTACGTCGACGCCGATCACGCCGGCGACACCGACAACAGGCGCTCACGCACCGGCTATGTCTACCGCCTTGAGCCTATCGGTCCTATCTCCTGGCAGACGAGCAAGCAGGAGTTAATCGCACTATCTTCAGCAGAAGCAGAATATATTGCACTCTGCTCAGCCACCAAGGAGGGACTTTACCTTCGCGAACTACTGGAAGAAGCGAAGCTAGCCGAGTTACCCAGCTTCACCGTGTTCTGCGACAACCAGTCAGCAATTCGCATCGCCAACAAAAACGGCTTCGCAAACAGGACGAAACACATCGCCCTGCGCTATTTCTTCGTGAAGGACGAGATAGAAAAAGGGAAACTCGATCTGTCATACTGTCCAACATCCGAGATGGCAGCCGATTACTTGACCAAGAAACTCGGCAAGCAGAAGTTCGAATACTGCATGATGCTGACTGGACAAGGCCACGTCACCAGCAGTAACACTCCAGAAGCGAAGGGGAGTGTTGGAAACAATAAGTCCTAAGTACGCTTCTGTCGTATCAAAACCCAAGGCACCAAGCGAAGCAGTCCCAATCGAAGCATCGAGTCAACCTCGGAGGTTAGGGTAACCGCCTGGAGGTTACGAGAAAGTCAAAGGTCGCTGACCTTTGACTCGACAATCACAGCGCGACAGTTAAGGACACACAACTGACTCGTTACAGAGCAGTTGCCCGAGTCGCACTATATCGAACCGCAACAGCAATACAGTTATCTATCTATTCCCTGTACTCTTATATAAATCATTGTATTTGCTTGTTTGAATCAATCAACTTTGCTCTCACACACCAGTGCAAGGTCGGTTCAAATTCTTCACTAAACGCTTCCGCTATTACAAGTTTCTACCCAAGAGTTCTCCCTTGCAAAGATCCTAAGGGGCTATCTCAGCCCAACATGGTCAACAATCTCCTGATCAAACATCAACGCCTCTGCACCGCATCCTTTACTCCATATCAGAACAACAGGGTTATCCTTTGTATATAACATATTGAATAAAAATGTATGTTGTTGTAAACCACAATGACTGGGTCCTTTTACTTAAAAGGAATCCAAGTAGCATTTATTTGTAGTCCATGCAAAAATGCAACGATGTTTTAGTGATGATTGCAATGCTCATTTGCGGTGTGTTTCTCACTACTAGTAAGGGACCGGATGACCAGTGCCGGGGACTTGCGGAATGGTTCCATGATTGCGTGTTCTTGGAAGCTGCGCCGTGTCAACGGCGCAAGCATTCCCCCTCAACCTCCTCGTTTCACGAAAATTGGACCCCCATCACCGGCGGCAACGCGCCGCCTGCGGTGTTGACGGAGAGGCGCAGTGAATGGGCTCCCTGCCTGCTGCGAGTCGGCTCAAGTCAGCGAGTGTGTGTTGTACACCGCAGAGTCGCAGACAGGCGTTGTTGCGTTGCGACTCGCCCGTGGAGGAATCCAGGTTTGCGCAAGGACGACGACGAACGCCTGGTTGACTTCGTCCAATACTCAACGCCAAAATATTGTCGCAGGTTCAAATTCACACGGACTTGGGGAAGACGGTCATGTCACATGATTGCACCATCCATTTTCGAGCGCTCCACTCTGTGCAGGCAGCGGGGGGGCGAGGGGAGGGGAATGTCTGTGCAGGCGGAGCGCGCAACTCGCACCATTATCAAGGCGCAACATAGCCAGCTACAGAGGCAAAGGGAATGAGTAACCAATCTAAATCCCGCGCACCGGATACAGGGATCAAGCATGTCAGTGCAAGGACATGACACACGAGGAAACCAAGCCTTGTGCTCGTGTCCCTCCCCTCTGCCTTAAAGCCCGCGTCTCAAATTGCGGGCCGCGAGGGTCAAGTTATTAAAACTTGACGAAGTTGAGTGTCCAAGCTTTTGAAAGTCACGCACTTGCAATTTGGAACTTTCGAAGACAGATTCACTCACCAGGGGGAAAAACCGAGGGTTGGCTGGGTCTCGCGAAAAGAACGAACCTAGACGAAATCGGAAACTCTCGCCAAAGCCCACACCAGAAAAACTCCCTCTGGTCAACTTTTAAAAGCATGAACAATTTGGGCCGCCGGCTTTAACAGAGCAATTCCTATCAGCCACCCTGGAATTGAGCTTCCCAAGGGAGGCACCTCCCACCTAGGTGTTTGTCCCGTCACGTGTTGAGCACTGACTCAACTCACAATTTACAATACATCATGCAGAGGCTTTGAGTTCAGTTGTTACTTGTTCGCAGCTGGCGATTTACAATTTACTTACTAGCTCGTCCATATGCTGGGAAAATATGGTAGACGTTTCATCCGAGGAGTTGTGAGCAAGAGCTGTAATTCGCGAACCTGTTCTTCCTTCTCGTTGTTGTCACGTGCGATCCGATGTCAGAAGGGCGTGGGAAATTATACACCATGAGCTCCACCTGCGTCTCGGGAGTAGGGCCTCATCGGCCCACCCTGTCGGAAGCAGCAAACGCACGCGCAGCAACGTGGCACAACGTGTTAGCGAACGCGTCAATACTCTTGCTGCTTCTGACTGTTCCCTTAACCGCGAGCGCCGCGGACTGGGCGACGATTGGAAAGAAGCTGGATCCAACGGGTCAGATCCTGGCGTCCTGGATGAACGGTGGTAATCCTTGCGCCGACCCTCCTTTCCTAGTAAGACGAGACGCTTGGTTTGGGACGGAGTGATGAATGATGATCTGCTGCGCAGTGGCTCACAACCAGGACCACACACACACTGTTTGCCCTTTCCGTTCTTCTGACAGCAGTTTCTGTTAGAATCTACCGAGTTTAAGCTGCTCCTTTACACTAGCACTCCTTCCTCCCACTCGTCCTCCCCGGCTTCTTTCTCCGCAGGGCGTGCAGTGCGACTCAGAGGGGCGCGTGCAGTCCATCTCGCTGGTGAATCGCGACCTCGTCGGCAGCGTGCCGGACGAGCTGTCGCAGGTGAACGAGCTGATCAGCCTGAACCTGGACCAGAATAAGCTCACGGGGGTTATTCCCAACACGCTTAATAACCTCGTGCACCTGCAATCCGCGTCGATATGCTGCAACCTGCTCAGCGGGCAGATCCCGGACTTGAGTCCCATGACAGCGCTCAACCTGCTGCATCTCGATGGCAACTTCTTGCAAGACGCCATTCCTGAATCTCTTGCCAATCTACTCCAGGTAATGATCGTCTTCATCCATTTATTTATTTATAGAGTCTCGACTCATCTGCGACTATCATCTCGTCTCCGTTCTTTCACACCCCGTCTGGACTCCCGTTTCTCGTCCAATCTTCGTGCTTCTGAGTAACCAACTGCCTATGCTTTTACCCGCTTTCGCTTTTTTGTCCATCGCTCGCCGTCACTCCGCTTCCCTTACCCTCCCGCTTTCCCTCGTTCGCCTTGTCTCTCCTGCCGCGCCGATTCCCCAGCTTAAGGACCTTCAGCTGAACAACAACCACCTGTCGGGTACAGTGCCTTCCGTGCTCGGCAATCTCCAGGCGCTCACCGTGCTGCGCCTCGACCACAACTACCTCAGCGGCACGCTGCCGTCCTCGCTGTCGTGGCTCGCCACCACCCCCAACGCCGTCTTTAACTTCACCGAGAATCTCTCCGACTTCTGCGGGCCCGCAGGGCTCGGCGTTCCGGTAAGCACTTGACGGCAGTGGAAAGTGGTGCGGCGAGAGCGGAGTGTCGACGTGTGCGTTTTTTCTTCTTCTTTCTGACACGTCTGCAAAGTATTGGATGGAAACGTCACCGCTATCATCTTATAACCTTCGTTTGCCTGCGAATCGTTGTGCCATAACTTCTCCCCCTCCCTTCCCCCCAACACCAGCTCTGCCCCGACGATCCCAATTACGTTCCCCCCGGCACTGCTGCGCCTCCATCTGCGCCTCCCTCCGAAGCACCGCCGTCCAGCCCCTCTCCGTCTCCCGTCCCCCCCGCCCCCCCCGCCCCCCCCGCCCCCTCCGGCGGAGAAGCGCCCCCGTCCAATCCTCCTCCCGCACCTACCCCCGACTCTTCCGGATCGTCAAATTTATCTCCATCCGATTCCGCAAGCGGTGGTGGCAACAGCTCCAGCAGCAACAGCAGCAGCAGTAGCGGCGGGGGCGGAGTTAGCATAGCGGTTATCGCGGGCGTGGCCGGGGGCGTTGCGGCTCTTTCGGTGATGGGGTTGTTCGCGTGCTACTGTCTGCGCGCGCGCAAGCGGAAGACTGTGGTTAACGCCGCTGCGGGCGGGGCGGCGGGCGGGACGGGAGAGGCTGCGGAGATGATGGAGAAAGGGCAGGTCGCCGCTATGGTTCCTGGCAAGGCAAGTACAGGGTGCAGAGGGTTATGTCGGTTGCTTGATGTGGGGAGTCGATGCAAACGGGAGAAGTGAGGCATGAGGAGAGAGCGGTAAATGGGTGGAATAAGGCCGGGAGTTGCAGAACGGAGGGAGAAAACATTGGTAGTGGGGGTTGAGGCGAGCAAAAGAAAGGGGTTGTTTCTTCGCATTCAGCCCTGCACACGAGCAGCTTTAAACTTTTACTTGCTTTTTGATGTGAATTTGTTTCTTGTGCTCTTGACAGGGCGGGAGCGCGGGCAAAGCGGGAGCAGCGGCGCGCATTGCGTCCATCAAGAAAGCGAGCGCAAGCGCAGAAGGCGGAGCCAGTGGTCGCAGGGGCGTGGGAGGGTCTGGTCGCGGTGGTGCAGACGCAGCACCCGGAGCGGTGGACATCGGTGCTGGCGCGCAAGCCAACAGCCGGCCATCGCCAATAACGATAACGGTTGAAAAGGCAGGGGCAGCAACGGGAGATGTCACAGCGCCGTTGATTTCCGCTACTGGGGGAACAGCGTCTGGCGGAGGGGGGGGAGGCGCAGGAGCAGCGGCGGGGGCAGTAGCAGGCGTTGCTGCTGCCGCCGCAGCTGTTGGCGTGGGCGCGGCTGTAGCAGCAAGTCAGGATAAGCGGAAGAGCAGTCCCAAGGAGCCGAGCAGCATCCGCGGAAGCAGCAGCGCTCGCAGCAGCACGGATGGGGAGGAGGGTGGTGGAGCGAGTGCAAGTGGCAGAAACGGACGTCCCTTGCCGCCCGGGATGAGTTGGTCTAAGGGCAGCGGGAGGAAGTTTGTGGATGAGAGCGACGAGGAGGATAACCTGTCCAATCAGAAATTCTTCCCGCCCCCACCGCCCCCGCCTCTTATATCCCCCCCATCCTCATCTCCGCCCTCCGCCTCTAAAGCCTCCGCCGCCGCTGCAGCTGCTGGTGGTGCTGGTGGTGCTGGTGGGGGAAAGTCACCTTTCACTCCCCCGCAGCCCCTTCCTCCCCTGACGTCCACCCCCTCGTCTGTTGCTGCCAGCTTGGAGAAGCAGTCGTCTCCTCGTCCGCCTCTTCCGCCCCCTCCGTCGTTCGGCCATAAGCAGCCTGCGTCCCCTCGTCGACTGTCTGGGGATTCTCCCAAAGCTGCTGCTGACGCTTCTGCTGCAGTAGCGTCTGCTGCTGGGCCTGGTTCTGGAACTTCGTCTCCTGGTGCTGTCACTGGCGCTGGTGCTGGCGGTGCTTCGAAGGCAGGTGGGAATACTGCTGCGGCGGCGGCGGCGGTCGCGGCGGCAACAGCTGCAGTTGCTGCCGCGGGCGCCGCTGCCTCGAGTCCCAAGGCCCGTAGCTCGTCTCCGAGTCGCCCCGCTGTGGTGATTCCCCCAGTCGTCCCGCTTCCCACGCTCAAGTCCCTGAATTCTGGGAAGAACCCGCGGGGTGCCTTGGGGCTGTCCGGTGCATCTGGTGCTGCAGCAGGCAATTCGGAAGGAGACGCGGCGGATAGGAATAGGGGCAAGGAGGCAGAGAGGGGCGGGGAGAAGGGAAAGGCTGGGTCAGAGAAGCCTTCGGCTCCTGCTGCAGTGGCGGTGGGAGTGGCGTATGGCAACGCGGGGAGAGCCCTGAGAGCGGCTGATCTAGATCTTGACGAGAAGGGCGCGGGTGGATCCGCCACGGGGGATGGCAGCAGCGTAGGGGGAGACGACGACGGCAGTGACACGGGAGGGGCTGCGGGCAGCGGCGCTGCTGCATCCGCCGCTGCTGCTGCCGGGGGTGCTGGTGCTGGGTTGGGCCGCGCTGGGGTGTCTCGAGGAAAAGCAGGATCAGGGCGAGAGCTTGGCAGTCCTGGTGCTGGGGGCGGGGGCACGTGGGCGGGGGGGTCAGACGCAGCGTCTGAGGCGTCAGAGGAGAGCGGCAAGGGCGGGTGGGAGCGCGCGTTTTCGTTCTCGGAGCTGGCACTGGCGACGAACGACTTTGGGGCGCGTGGGCAGCGGAACGTGGTGGGGCAGGGGCGCAATGGGACGGTGTACAAGGCGAGACTGCCGGATGGCACCACTGTTGCTGTCAAGCGGCTCAGCAATAACAAGTATGTGCTGTCGCTCTCATGGGCCTTCCTTCCATCCTGCCCCTCTCTTTTTTCCGTTTGGAGTGTTTTTCGGCCCTTGCTGTTGTCGCTCCGTCGTTTCCCACCGTCTCCTGCTGGCCCTAGTCCCCGCTTACGCTCCCACTTTCCTGACCCTCTTCCCACCCTCCCTCCCGCTCTCCCCCTTCCCCTCCCTCCTGACCCTCCCCGCTGTTACCGCGCCCGCTGCGCGCGCCACCAGTCCGGACCAGACAGTGCGCGAGTTCCGCTTCGAGGCGGACGCCATGGCGCACGCGCGGCACCCGAACGTGGTGGCGCTGCTGGGGTGCTGCGCGGAGGGCGACGAGCGCATGCTCATCAGCGAGTTCGTCCCCAACGGCTCTCTCGAGCTCTGGCTGCACGGCGCGGGCGCGGGGGGCGGCGCGTTCGGCGCGGGCCCCGCGGAGCCCATGGAGTGGCCGCTGCGCGTGCATGTGGCGCTGGGATGCGCGCGAGGGTGAGTGCGGTGCTGTGGGGTCCTGTGTGTGTGTTTGTTATGGTGGCTTGTGTGTATGTGAACTGGTTCTGTATGTGTGTGCGATTGGGAGTTTAAGCAAACCACTTCACACCTTGCAACCCTTTCCTTCCCCTACATCTCTCCCCGCCCTCGCTCTATCCTCTCCCGTCCGTGCCCTCTGCTCTGGCAGTCTGGCATACCTGCATGAGGGCACGGACGTGCGGGTGGTGCACAGGGATGTGAAGGCCAGCAACGTGCTGCTGGACGCGCAGTGGAACCCCAAGCTGGGCGACTTTGCACTCGCCAAGATCATGGCCAAGGAGCAGACGCACGCTGCCACTCGCGTCGTCGGCACGTACGGGTGAGTCCTCATCGCCAGTCCCTTATCATCCTTGTCACCTTCAGATGTATATGCTTCGAGGATAGGTCTCGGCTTTGCTTCTTCTGCCACACCCTGTAGTTGGCTGTTGTGTTCCAGGGCCGTGTTTTGTCTCCGTCTGTCCACTTGGTCCAGGTGGACTGCTGGTCACGGGCAGAAGAACTTACCTCTGCACCACTTTTTCTCTCGCAACCCTCTTCCCCGCAGCTACGTGGTGCCAGACTACCTGAACACGGGCATTCTCACGGAGTGAGGTCTCTTACTCAATCACTGAAAAACACCCTTCCTCTTCCCCCATCTCTACCTTCCCTACTCACTCCTCCTGCAGGTACGTGGCGCCAGAGTATCTGAACACGGGCATTCTCACGGAGCGCAGTGACGTGTACAGCTATGGCGTGCTGCTGCTGGAGCTCGTCACGGGCCGACGCCCCATCGATAACCACCTGCCGCCCGAACAGGTAGAGGGGAAAGGGAGAGAGAAGGGGATGGAGTGAGAGGGAGATGGAAAGGGGGTTTGGTGGGCTTGCTTTGCTGCTGGGGCTGCTGGGTTGTGGTGGTCATGCATGGAGAAGAGCCTTGGGAATTGTGATGTGGCAAACTCAGCTGCTCATGTGCTGCTTACAGTCGAGCTGCTGCGAGCTTCTTTGCTGTTTGGCTTCTTCAGCCCGCCCCCACACATCCTCCACCTAGCCGTGGCTCATACTCACCCCACCTCTTTTCACTCCCTCTGATGTTGCCATTGCCTGTGATGGCAACGCTGCGATGAACACTGCCACAGGTGGACGTGGTGCGGTGGGTGAAGCGGCTGGCAGCAGAGGAGCGAGTGGGCGAGGCACTAGACCCGCGCATAGCGGGCACGGTACCGGCAGACGATGTGGAGTACGTGGTGGGCATCGCGCTGCGCTGCATCGATGCTAATGCGCTCAAGCGCCCGCGCATGAAGCAGATCGTGCACATGCTCGAGAGCGAAGACCCAGCGCTGGTGGGTTGAGTGAAAAGGGTATCTGGTTTTGCGTGGAGTCAGGGAGGGGTTGTGGGCTGGGGTGGGGTTGAGGGTGAGTTTGTTCTGCAGTTTGTCCGTGCAAGTGCTGGTTGAGGCTTGTCCATGTGCATGCTCTGTTTGCAGTTGTGCTGCTGCTGCTGCTGCTGTCTGCAGTGTGCTGCGCCTTCTCCACATTTTCTTGCTTGCTAACTTGTATCTTAGCTCAAATCACTCAACCAGTCAATACTTTTGTCCTCCCATGTGCTGCACTGGCAACAACAGAGAGACGGCTGGGTGGCAAAGAGGCCGACTCCTGCTAGTGCCAAGGCGCTACGTGATTCCAGTCCCTCATGGTACCACCGCAACGCTGCCTCAGACTCCCCTGCAGCACCCTCCTCCGCCATGGCGATTTCCCGAGCCAGCCCTCGAAGCTCCAGCCCCCGGTTCGGCGGGGCAGGTCCGGGGATCCCTGCGCCTGGTTCGGCGCGCGCAGCCGGCACGAGGCACACGGACATGCTTCGCTCGGGCAGCCCGAGGAATTTCGTCGGCGGCGCCACGGGCAGCAGCCCGAAGGCAGCGGATATTGGCGGGATGATTGCGTCAGCTGCCATGAAAGCAGGTGTGGTGGGTGGAAGTCCTCGAGCAGGTGGGTATATAGGGTACAGCCCCACTAGAAGCGGAGGGGCGGTACCAGTTTCACCCCCATCAGCCAGGAATGGCGGTGGTGGTGGTGGTGGTGGTGCTTCTGCAGGGGGACGATCAGCAAGGGTGGGTGCAAGCCCACCAAAGGTTCCTGCTTATGCACAGGGAGGAAGCCCCTCTGCTGCCCGGCTTGGTGGTGTGGGAATGGGAGCTGGAGGGATGAGGGGAGGCAGTCCAGGGGGTGCAGGGTACAGAACTGGCTCCAGTCCGAATGCGCCATTGTATGGGGTGGGTTCCGGAGGGGTGTATGGGCAAGGAGGGTCCGGCAGGGGTGGGGATGGTGGCGGTTCTGGTGATGGCATTATTTCAAGTCATGCAATGAGTATATCCACGACAAGGGGATTGGGAGGCTGGAGTAGGCGGTAGGGTTAGCATTGAAGATTGACTGGGATGATATGGGAGACACGAATTTCAGATCTCAGGATTAATGCTTGGGTTCTTGCTTTGCTAGGGACAATTAGTCCATTTCTGCTGATTATCCTTTGTAGTGCTGTATTTGTCTGAAATACAAAGGCTTGTCTTTTATGATAAGTCTCTCGGTCTTGTACATGTAGGGTCTTGGTAATGTCGCGATAACAGCCATCCTTTTTCGAGCGCACGTGAAGCAGCCAACAGAGCAAGTGGTTCGATTTGCGAGAACCAGCGCACAGCTGGACCTTGGCAGTGTGAATCCAGCTCAGCCTTGCCCGCGTGGAGCCCTTACAATACATTTTGAATCAGCAATGCTGTGGATATGCCTACGTATGACGTCGAACGTCAACGACCTGCGCGCAATGGTATCTGTCAGCTGTATCATGCTGGCACGGCGCGCTCCAGCATGCTGTGATTCTCGACTCGCCAGACCACCACGTCATCACGGATTTACTCCGCAATTTGCCCCTCCTCCGCCATGTGCCCCCGGTCCCTCTGCTTCATGCCATCCCATTTCTCAATGCCAATGCCGGCGCAAGTTCTTATTGCTCTAACGTGCCGCATTTCTTGCATCGAATTCCAGATTTTCTACCAAGCCAAGAATCAGACAAGCTAACTCAGAACGCTAGTAGCTCCTTTTTCATTACTACCAGTTTCTATATTTTCAAGAGCAACGTGTCCAGCATTTTTTCCTAGCTTCCGAAGCTCGCGCTATCGTCAACCCAAAGAAGCACTATCTCGCACAGTTGCAGATACTTCTTCCTCCAGGCACCTCTGCGTCTTCTCCCCTTCCTCCGCCTCCTCCCTGTCTTCCCTTAACCTCCTCTCATTCCCTCCTCCTCCTCTCCTTCCTCTCTTCGGGTCAAGCGAAAACAAGAAGAAGCCTCACGTGTCGTGAATCACGCGCACGCGTGGAGAGTCGAGAGAACGAGCAATGGCGCAGCCGCGCAAGTTCCTGGTGGCGGTGGACGACAGCGAGGTGTCGGCGTACGCGTTCACGTGGGCCATCACCAACCTCTTCCGCCCCGCCGACTCCGCGCTCGTGCTCACCGCCAAGAACTACGCGCCCGACATGCCGCTGCCCACCGCCGATATCGCCGCTGGGGGTGCGCGCAGTTTACTCGAACGCTTTTTTTCCGCTTTGCTTGTTACCTGCTGCTATTCGGTTTTCATCAGTTCTGTATCCTGCCACTGCTAGTACCGCCGCTCTGCCGCCCATCCCCCTCCTTCTCCTCCCCCGCTTCCTTCTCCGCGCCTCAGTATATTCTCTTCTCTCATCTTCTTCTCTTCTCCCTCTCCTCTTCTCCTTCTATCTTCCCTTCTTTCTCCTTTGTTTCCCGCTCGTCGCATCTTTTCCTTCTCTCCTTGTGGGCGCGGGCGCGCGGCAGGCGAGTACGCGGTGCCGCTGGTGGCGCCAGTGTCGCCGGAGGAGCAGCTGGCGGTGGAGGAGCGCGCGCGCGCGCTGGTGGACAAGTACATGCGCCAGTGCGAACAGGCCAAGGTGACGTGGACTGTGGCGTGCCACGTAGACTGTAGCCCACGTTGACGTGGACCGGGGGCATTGGTTTGGGTAATGAATAAAACCACCAGCTGTCTTCAATCAATTTTATCAATTTGAGAGATGCATATAGATTCTCTCTCTCTCTCTCTCTCTCTCTCTCTCTCTCTCTCTCTCTCTCTCTCTCTCTCTCTCTCTCTCTCTCACACACACACACACACACACACACACTCACACACACACACACAGACACACACACGCACCCACTCACTCACTCACTCTGGTGCGCTCTCTCCCACGCTCACTCACTCGTTCTCAATCCGTCGCAGGTGGTGAGTGAGGGCGAGGTGGTGCAGGGCGACCCCGGGCCGCACATCGTGAGCGAGGCAGCGCGCGTCGCGGCGGACGCGCTCGTCCTGGGCAGCCATGGCCGCGGGATCCTCGGCAGGTGCGTGGGGGAGGAGCGCAATGGGGAGATGGCCGGGCAGGAGATGGAGATGTGGGGGAAGGATGGGTGGGGAAGGTGGCGGGGAGTTGCCAAGAAGAGAGATTGGTGTCCCTTTTCCTCTTGGGACGGCTTGTGGTGATGAACATGTTGTGGCCAGAAATGGGATTGGCGCATTGGCAGCTGACAGAAGAAAGGGCGCTCAGCTGGTTATGTAATTTGAGTCAAATCCTCGGCAATATGTTCTCATGCTGGCTCGTTTGTGTGGTGTGCGCTGATGCGGCATGTGTGCAGGACCTTTCTGGGCAGCATTAGTGACTATGTGCGCCACCACTCCACCGGTATGCTGCTCGCTCTCTGCTCCACACTCTCGCCTCCTCACTCTCGCCTTCTCACTCTCGCCTCCTCACTCTCTCTCTCCCCCTCACTCTCTCTCGTCGACCTCCCCTCCCTCCTTACTCTTTTCTCTCTCCTCCCTCCTCTCGTCTCAAGCGCTCGTCACTCCACTCACGCCTCTCGCGCTCTCCCCTCCCTTCCCTGTCCCTCGTCTTCCCCTCTGTCTCCGCCCGCATCGTGTCCCCCTCCTCCCCCCACCTCTTGCACCTAACCCCACCTCCGCCACCTCCCCCTGTCCCCAGTGCCGGTGGTGATCGTGCGGCAGCCCAAGGCGGGGGAGGCGGCGCACGACGCGCTCACGAGCTCGGGCATGGCGCGGCGGATCGTTGTCGCCGTGGACGAGAGCAGTGAGGTGCGCACTATGCGGGGTCGGAGAGGGAGGGGGCGGAGAGAGAATGGGGGGAAAGGGACGGGGAGGGGGAGAGGAACGGGGAGGAGGGGAGGGCGTGCGGGCGGGATGTGATAATGATGACCAACGATACGCAACGCTGAACCGCTTGTTAACCCTCTCTGTGACCCTTCCTTAATTCTCTTAACCCTTCTTTAAACCCGCGGTAACCCCCCTTGCGTGGGTGGCGGCAGGCGGAGTTCGCGTTCGCGTGGGCGATGCGGCACGTGGTGCGCGACGGCGACCGCCTCACGGTGCTGCACGTGCAGAACCCCATCGCCGCGCCCACCTCGCTCGGCATCGGTACGCCCGCCTGGCCTCGCATGGCTTCGCATGGTTTCGCATGGGTTCGCATGGGCTGATGTAGGCTACTGGCCTGGGTTCTTCCGGCTTTTTCAATCCCCGCGCGCAATTCCATTCGCAATCGCATCTTGATGCCCTGTGTTCCCCCCGCCCCGCCCCGCCCCTTCCCTCCCTGTGCTTGCGCGCTTGCCGTGTGGGCAGCAGACTGGTCGGACCAGTTCGGCATGGGGACGTGTGCATGCCGCCTTCTGAGAAGTCTTACAAAACGCATCTTGATGCCCTGTGTTCCCCCGCCCCGCCCCGCCCTGCCCCGCACCTGTCCCCGGCAGCAGACCAGTTCGGCATGGAGGACGTGTACATGCCGCCCAACACGAGCAACCGTGAACTTATCCGCAATTGCATCCGCACCCCTTGTGTTCTCCCCGCCCTGCCCCGCCCCGCCCCGCCCCGCCCTGCCCCCCACCTGTCCCCGGCAGCAGACCAGTTCGGCATGGAGGACGTGTACATGCCGCCCGACACGAGCAACCGCGCCAACGTGCGCGCACTGGACGACAGCGAGAAGCTCGTCGAACGATTCATGGGGCTCGTCGCCGCTAGCAGCAAGGTGGGACGCAGGGGGAGGGGGGGTGGGGGTGAAGGGGGGTTGAGTGGGGGAGAGGGGGAGGAAGGGGGATGGGGGGATGAGTGGGGAGGAAGAGGGGTGCAGGGGAGTAGAGGGGGGTTGGAGTCATTTATTTGCCGGTTTTGTGCAAATTCGTTTTGCCCTCACGTGCTTGAGTTTCTCCTGTTTCTCATACCTTCTCTTGCCATGCATTGCCTTGCTGAATCCTGGATGTGGTGTGGTGTGGTGTGGTGTGTGATGGGATGGGATATGACATGCATGGGTGGCGTGGCGTGGTGTGGTGGTGGTGGTGGTGCATGTGTGCACGTGTGCATGTGTGCACCACACTGCCGTCACACAGGCGGAGTGCGAGGGCAGGGTGGTGATGGGTCCCACGGAGGAGCGACTGGTGGAGGAGCTCAAGCAGCTCACCGCTGACCTGGCTGTCGTTGGCACGCGCGACCACGACGTCATCTCCCGGTGCGTGCACGTGAATGTGTGCATGTGCATGTGTATGTGTATGTGTATGTGTGCAGAAGAAATGTGGCCACTCGGGACTCATATGCAGCGCAATGAGAGGAACATGCGCCCGACGAAAAGGATCAGACGAGGAAAGCACGTAGTATCTCTCCTAACTGATTTCCAACACATTTGTGAGCTTCAGGTTCAACTTTGCTTCCGTCTCCTGCTCTTTCCTAACCTCCATTCCCCCTTTCCTCCTCCCCTTTGGACCCTCCTTTCTTGGCCCATCCCTCACAGCACGTTCTTGGGAAGCGTCAGCGACTATCTCGCACACAACTGGTAATCACCCTCTCCCGCTTTTCCTTCGATCCCCAGCACCACGCCTCGTGCCCATAACTCCTCTTTCCTGATTCCACTCCTCCCTCGACCACCTCACACCGCTCCCTTCCTCTTCGTTCCACTCCCTCCTGCCCCATCACCAATCGTCTTCCATCCTCTCATCCCTTCCACCCCTCTCTGTCCGTCTCCTGCTCAAAACCTTCCCTTCCCCGACCCCTGCCTGCCCTCTCTGTTTCTCCCTCTTCCCCCCTGCCGTCAGCCCGTGTCCGCTGGTGGTAGCCAAGATGCCAAAGCCCGCATCTCGCCCGGGATCCACCCAGGCCTCTCCTCGTGACTCCCACCAGCACGCCATCTGACTCCCACCGCCCCACTCCGCTGCTGCTGCTGTCAGCGCTGCTGTGAATGACCTTGGGACACGTGGCAGTTTTCGTTGTTGTGGAGCCGCGTTAAGTATGAGGAGTAGCCATGGCAGCTGCTGCTTGGTTAGAATCTCCCGTGGAAGTAATAGCCTCGAGATCAGCAGCAACAAGGGGTGGGGACGTGAGTGCATTTCCTTAGCAGCCTCGAAAGGAGAGAACATCATATCCCACGTTGGAACAGTTAGAATGGCGACAACTGTCCTCCCAAATCCAGCTCAAGCCTTGGGACTATCTTGGTGCCACCCCCTCTATCTCCCCTCGCTCACTTTTCATCCGTTGGCCAAGACCCCGAGCTCAGCTCTTCTTTTTCGCCCTGCGCAGTTAGCCCGCCCGTCTCAAACCCTCAATGCATCGCTGTGTGCTTCTTTTGCCAATCCCCTGCTGGTGCCCTTCATTTGACTTGCCACTGCTGCTTTGCCATCACGCACTTACCATACGTGTACCCCCCTCCCCCTGCTGCAGCTTCTCTCACTTGCCTCTCAGTGATGTTGCAGTGCATGTTGGACAGTGTTATATGCTGCTGTGTATATGTGTTATTGCTCTTGCTTGTTCCACTCTTTGTTGGTTCTGGATATATTTTCTGCTTTTGGAGTAGGCATATATTGCAAGCAAATTAACATTCCTGAATCTCGCTTAGCCCATAAACGAGTTAGAGTGACACTGGCACTAGCCTGAGGCCTTCTCCCAATCTTTATCACAATTTAGTTCTGCCGCAAGAGCATTTGAAGAACCAAATCAGATGCTATTTTGAGAACTGTATGTCTAATATCATTTGACACTGTACACAAGCCCTTACTGAAGTCCTTCAGGCCCAAATAGGCGGTCGCCCTCGAGCCGATCCTCTCCAATCGTGACCATCCATCCATTTTCAGGCATTTGCGACGCCTACTCCACTCACCCTACGGAACCCTACTTGTTCCAGCTCGCATTGTTCTCCCCTCGAGATCGATCTCCTTTCCTGTGTCCGTGTGCTGCTGACTTCTGGATCGGTCTTCTAGGGCTGCTCCATCCTCGTCAGGGTTTCTGAACCTTTCTTAGAACGCAGGATCAGGCCATTTTCTGACATCCTGCTTACTTCTGACCCTTTAGAGCTCCCAAGTGAACTGTTTGACGGGTCGGATTTGTGTAGGCAATTCGACGATTAAATTGTCGCTTTCCGATCTGACTGCCGTTTCTATTTTAACTCGCCTCGCAAGCCAGCATGACCGATTTCGATGAATACGAGTATCTGGAGAAGGCGGTAGAGCAGGGAGTCGGAGGGGAAGAGGAGGGCGGAGAGCAAGCTCCAGAGGGCGAGGAGCGAAGGAAAAGGGAAGGTGAAAACGGTGCGGGAGAGGACCAGGAAGACGAGAACCGGAGCAAACGCTCTCGTCGGGACGACGACAAGGAGAGGGACCGAGACAGAGATCGCAGCGGGAAGGATCGCGACAGAGACCGTGACAGGGAGAAGGACAGGGATCGCAGCGGGAGGGACAAAGATCGGGATAAGGGACGGAGCGATCGGCACCGCGACAGGGATCGGGACCGCAGCGACCGTGGAGATCGGGATCGCGACAGGGATCGGACTCGCGAGCGGGAAGGACACGATCGGCACCGGGACAGGGACCGTGATCGGAGGAGAGGAGACAGAGACCGTGATTACGAGAGGAAGCACAGAGAGTCCGGGTAAGGCGTGTGATTAGTAATTGTTTTGTCGTTTTGTGTAATTAGGGAGTTTGTATCGAGGCTTTATGTGAGACGTCGTACCGAAGTTCTCATTTTTGCGTAAGCAGTGAACACAAGTGTCCCTGTTGTTGATAGTCATGATAATCTCGCCGAGCAGCAGATTGCACCTTCTCTGTCTGTAATGGTATGGCAGTGTACCAATCGTGCCAATTTCGCGAGACTGGTTACATGCTTTACCTGTTTGCCCTGTTCTCCGCTGACGACGTTGCAGGCGGGACAGTCGGCGAGAGAAAAAGGACAAGGAAGCGGAGCTAGAGCTCGACCCCGAAAGAGATCAGCGCACCGTGTTTGCCTACCAAGTATGCCGATTAAGTTTTTACAATGTCATGCCTTTGCGTATTGGCAGAGTATTGCTTTTCAGCCGTGGTTCTATGGCAGTTCCCCTCATGTGGTTCTCCATTTTTACTGTGTCCTTGTTGCAGATCAATTTGAAGGCGGATGAGAGGGACATCTACGAGTTTTTCACTCAAGCCGGCAAGGTGAGCGAATGTTCATGCTTTTCCTACAGCATCATCTGCGCGATTACTTGAAACTTGCCTTACCTCGTTGGTTTTGCTGCAGTTCCTTAGCCTACTCTGTACTTTTGAAACGAGTTGTAGAGTGCGACGACATCGTCCACCCTCACGTTTTCCCCGGTCGCTGCAGTCTTCGCCTTTCCAAACTCTGACTTCGCCTTGCCTCATCTCTTCGTTGTGTCGCTCTTTCGTTTTCCTCGTCTGCTCGTGTCTCAGGTGCGCGACGTGCGTCTCATCATGGACCGTAACTCCCGCCGTTCCAAGGGTGTCGGGTCAGTGTCTTTCCTTCGCCCTCCTTCGTCTATCTCCTTAGGTCCCCAACCCGTAACTCCCCCCCGTCCCTTTGGTCAACCCTTTCGCCCTCCGACTAAGCTTTCTTTCTCCTCATTCTCCACCTCTCTCTGCCCTAGCATTGACAGCTGAAAGCCTATCTCGCTCTGTCCTTTCGTCCCCGCTTTTTCGTCAGCCCATTTCGTCTCTTCCTCATATCCTTTCTCTCTTTACCCCCTCCCCCCCCCTGCCTTCTCCCCTTCTCCTTCCCTCTCCTCTCTCTTCCCGCGGGCGCAGCTACATCGAGTTCTACGACGTGATGTCGGTGCCCATGGCCATAGCGCTGTCGGGCCAGCTGCTGCTGGGGACGCCCGTGATGGTCAAGCCGTCCGAAGCGGAGAAGAATCTCGCGGCGCAGAACCCGCTGCCCGTCGTCGCGGGCATGGGCGGCCTCCCGGGCGTGGCGGGCGCGGGGTTCCTGGTGCCGAGCCTCACGGCGTCGTCGCGGAAGCTGCACGTGGGGAACCTGCACGTGAACATGAACGAGGAGCAGCTCCGCCAGGTGCGTCCGCGTCCGCGCACACGCGCGCGCGCGCGCGGTTTATTGGGTCTTCGGCGCTCGGGCTGCTGCTGAGTCTGGGCGGGCGAAAGTGTTCGGGATGGGGAAGGGGGCGGGGAACCGGGATCAGGGAGTTGGGAGTGGGGTGGAGAAGGGCACGGTGTGACTAGCAGGGCCGAGGATGGGATGAGATGAATGGGCACGTTTGCAGCACGTATCTTCCCCTAGCATGAAGCTTCTCTCTCCTTCATTCCCTAATGCCCGTCCCCCCCCTCTCCCCCCCGATATCCCCTCCCCGCTTTGCCCATCAACCACCGTTGTCCGTTTCTTACCTAATGCCCGTCCCCCCCCTCTCCCCCCCGATATCCCCTCCCCGCTTTGCCCATCAACCACCGTTGTCCGTTTCTTACCTCCCATTTCGTCGTGCTTTCCTGGCCGGGTTTTCGCACTCTTCCAGGACTATTAGTGAGCTGATGTAATCGGTCAATCTCATTCTGTTTATCGATTGGGAACACGTTTGTGTGTTCGGATGCATTCCGCTGGGTGGTTGCATGTGTGTGCGTGTGCATGCGTGTGTACGTGTCCATGTGTGTGTGCATGTTTGAGTACATGCAGGTGTTTGAGCCGTTTGGGGAGCTGGAGCTGGTGCAAGTCCCTACAGAGGAGTCTGGAAAGTGCAAGGGCTTTGGCTTCGTCACGGTGAGTTTTTCCTGCCGCTGCTGTCCCAGGCGTCCTTTTCGGCTCCCTCTCAGCCTCCCTCGCCCCCTTCGCCCACGCTTCCGCTCCGCTACCTGCGCCTCCCTCCGTCGCCCCTCCGCCTGTTCGTCCATGCGGCCCGGCTGCCCCTTGCCAAGCACTAGCCTACCACGTCTCGTAGCACCTCAAGAGCTGTGTTTCTGATTCCAGGCGCTTCTTTTGCGCATCTTGTCTCTGCTTCCCCCCCACCTTCTTCTCTTGCCATGTGCGCTGGATGAATGTCGCACCACAGTATGCCAAGGTGGAAGACGCTCGGATGGCCGGCAGCAACCTGCAGGGTCTTGAGCTCGCAGGACTCGCTATTAAGGTGAGGGAGAGGGGGAGATGGAGAGGGAGAGGGTGAGGAGAGAGTGTGAGGGAGGGAGTGAGGGAGGAAGGGGGGACAGGGAGGGGTTGGTGGCGAATTGACTTGTTCGCGACTTGCTTTTTATTGTAGCTAGATTTGTTACCCGTCGTTTGCCACTGCTGCTGCTACTGCTGCTGCTGCTGCTGCTGCTGTTGCCGCCTTGCGCCCAGTGGTTGCGTGCTCTTACTCTGTGTTTGTCTGTGTGTTGGCCGGTCCCAGATCACTCCTGTGCCGGACACCTACGGTGTAGCTGACGCAGTGCAAGCAGTGCCAGGGCAACTGGACGAGGGCGAGGGAGGCATGGTGTGTATCCCGATACTCTTCTCTCCATCACTTGTTTGCTACTGAATTCCTGCCTTCTGTCTCTTTCTACTACATCCTCCATTGTTCTCGTTGTTGCCACAACAACCTCCTATCCCTCCCAACCCCTCCTCACTCCTTTCCACCCCCTCTAACACACCACTTCTTTCCCGTTTTGGTGGCGCAGGCTCTAACTGCGCAGTCTCGTGCAGCTCTCATGATGAAGCTTGACCGCACGGGGTAAGCCACTCTCACTACCCCTCCGCTTCTTGCTTGCCCTACTACCAGTAAAACGTAAGACTCTGCCTCACCCGTTTCCCACCACTGTCGCCCTCCCTCCCCATGTCACGGCTCACACACATCCTTCTGCGCGTGTGCTACGCTACCCCTGCTCCCACTCCCTTCCTGCGCTGCAGGGTGGCAGGTGCGCCGGTGCTGCCATCACCAGGAGTGAATCCAGCAGCCATGGGTCTTCTCAGCAGCAACCCTCTGGCCGCCATGGGTCTCCGCCCCCCCATCCTGCCTCCTGCTGGCGGCGGCCTCGCGTCCATCCCAGGGGGAGCGGCAGCTGCCGCCGCAGCAGCAGCCGCGCTTGCAGCGAATCCGCTTATCGCCGCCGCTGCCGCTGCTGGTGGGGGGACGCCGCTGCCACCTCCAGCTGCGGCTGCTGCTGCTGCTATGGCGGCAGCGGCTGCAGCTGCTGGTGGTGGTGGTGCTGCGGCGCCAGCGGCAGCAGAGGTGGTGGGGCCGCCCACGGAGTGTCTGCTGCTCACCAACATGTTCGACCCGTCTCAGGATGTATGTGTGCTCATCTCACCTGCGCATGTGCGCCGGTGCTGCTTCTCTGGGTCTTGCCTGGGTCGTCGTCTTTGTGTGCCCCCATTCCGCCACTAACCCCCCTGCCCCTCCCCTTGCCTTTGTTGTGGCTCTCTTCTCTTAGCCCTGACCTCTCGTTTATTGCTACACCCATCGCCGTTCCTCACATCCTCCTCCCTTCCCCCCCTTCTCCCCGTCCCTCCTTTCTCCCCCCTTCCTCCCCGTTTCCCCCCTCCCGTCTCCTCTCCCCTCCTCCCATCTCCCCCTTCGACCTGCTTCCTCCTCCCGTGCGTGTGCGTGTGCCATGTGCGTGTGCGCGTGGGAGCAGATAGACGAGGAGTTTGAGCAGGACATAAGGGAGGACGTGGAGGACGAGTGCACCAAGTTCGGCCCGGTCAAGAAGGTCAATGTCGACCGGTGAGTGCCTGCCGTGCCACTCAACGCATCTCGCCCAGCTGTGCTGTGGAAGACTGCTGGGTGTATGGGGCACAGTGGGGTGCACGTGCATGGAATGGAAGGGATGGTTTTGTGCATGGATTGGTAGTGGTCATCTTCTGCTGCTGACCACTGAACACTCATGACGCGACGTGTGCATTTACTCTTCAAACCTAATTAGCCCAAGACTTTTTCTACGCCTCCACGCTGCCTTCCTTGCAGTGTCCCTCGACTCCCCTCATCCCCTATTTTTGCCACGTCCTCTTTTCCAACGCTTCGTTTCCCGCCTTCTCTCCCCCCCCCCCCCCCCTCCCCCGTTTCCCCTTGCGCCATTCTGAGCAGGCACAGCAGCGGGCATGTGTATGTGCTGTTTGAGTCGGCCACGTCTGCTGCAGCAGCCCGTGCGGCGCTGCACAACCGCTACTTTGCTGGCAAGGCCATCAGCGCCACCTTCATTGTAATCACACACACACACACCCACCTCTGCCATGCTACGTGGCTGCTTCATATGTTCTTGTTCTAGCCTTTGCCATAACGCGTCCGGGGGATTGGGGGTGAAGAGGGAGATTTGGGGTTTGGGTGGGGTGCGGATTAGGTTTGTTTGCTCAAATTCTTGGTCTTTTTTTTACATTCTACTGACTTTCTTCTTTCTGTTTGTTGTTGTTTGCCCACCCTTGATCCCGTCTTGCTTCTTTGCTGCAGACTCCTGAGCAAGTGGCGGCCAAGTTTGGTGCCACGTAGCGAGTGTGCTGCTCTGTGCAGGTGCAGGAGCCAGGAGCAGGTGGAAGAGCAGATGCAGGTGCAGGTGCAGGTCTGGCAGACAGAGTAGTGGATTGAAGACACGAAGACTGGAGGTGCTGGCAATGCGATGGGAGACTTGCTGGAAGGGATGGGTTTGTATCTGCTGCTGCTGCTGCTGCACCACCGCTGTCTGCTTCTGGCTTCTGGCCTCTGGCCGAATGCCCTCATGCATCTCAAGTGCTTGGTGGCAGAGAGTCAAGTCGCCAGAGAGTCGTGTTGGATCCAAGTCAAGTGAAGACCCCCCTTCTGTGTTTTCTCTTGGGCTCGTACGGGCTGCTTGAGCAGTGCTGCTGGTGCTGGTGGTGGTGGTGCGGCTGGTGGTCTTGCCGTGCCGGTGGTGGTGGTGGTGGTGCTGCTGACTGGCCTTCTCTCTCCCGTGCGCCTGCTGCTCTGCGTCACCTCACCACTGCTGGCTCTGCATCTGGCTGCTTGCCCTTGCGATTCAAGACCTGCTGCTGCTGCTGCTGCTGCTGCTGCTGGCGTTTCTGGCATGGGGTGGCATGGCATGGCATGGCATGGCGCAGCTGCCATGTGCTTCCAAGGGTTTAGAGTGGCACCCTGTGTGCATCTGATTGCCTGCGTTTCCGTCTCCCTCCCTAGCTTCCCACTAATTTCATCACCAACCTACCATCCACGGAGATTTTTTTCGTCTCTTGTTACACTCACCTTGTCTCTTCGCTCCTTCCCATGGTTGCCCCAGGTCCTAGGCTCTTGAGAATCACGAACCTCGGGTTCTGCACCCGCCCATTTCCTGCTTGTTGGATCGATTCGATACTGTTACCGATCCATGTCCGAAATTTGTCCCTGCACAACCGTTTGATATGTTTTTTGCTCCAAAAACTCGTCTTGTGTGCTTGATTGGCTCCAGTGGTTGTGGTAGGCGATTTGCTGTAGTAATATTTACAAAACGGCTACAATACCAGTTCTCTTCCTCTGCTGGCTAAAATTGCTGTACGGCTGGTTGCCAAGTGTAATTGGGTAAAATTTGTACCGCGACCAAGGCTTTCACTATCGAGTTATTGTTTCATATGCTTGTCACGGCAAGGATATTCCGTAAATAAACCTCCCGTAATGGCTGCTGGAGCAACAGCAGCGCCGGTTGCGCGGGCGGCCGCAAACCGTCTACTTCATCCTTACTGCGCCGTCACGCGGGCTGCGAATGCGTGCTCTAACCAGCGGATAGGCTCCCGCCTAACTAGAAGCAGCCGTTCGGCTACAGCTGATACTGGCGGGTACAATGGCAATACGAACGTCTGCGGGTGCACTTGCGGGAGGGGAGTCACCGGAAGCGCAGCTGTTTGCGGAACTGCGCCGGCACATGTTCCGCGTGCGCGCTCGGAGGTTTCCGCCAGGGCGGCTGTTACGCCTTCTGCGGGGGCCTCCATTTCTAGTCTCTGGCCGCGCAGTCATCCCCCCAGGCGATGGCGGAGTGCGCCAGCTGCAATGGGCGGGGCGCAGTCCGCGGATTCCGCCGATGGAGTAGGCGGAACTGTCGGAACTGGCGCGGAAGCCGGAACTCCCCGAATCCCCACTCCTTTCCCCCTTCCAAGCACGTTCCCTGTCCCCCTCACCTTACCTGTCACCCTCCAACAACCACCCATCAGCAGCAGTGGCAGCGACAGCAGCAGCACCAGCAGCAGCAGCGACAACGGGAGCGACGGCGCGCAGGTGGAGGAGTTGACTAGCGAGGAGGTGATCGGCGCGCTGCAGCCGCTGATCGAGGCGCAGCGCTGGCAGCGCATGGCGCAGGCGGTGCGCGCGCGCACGTTCGCGGTGGTGCCCGTGGTGGAGGGTCTGGCGGACCTTGGGAATGTCTCCGCCGTGTGTCGCACCGCGGACGGGCTGGGGTTCCAAAACGTGCATGTCATCACCACCCGCAGCTATGGGGACGATGATGCCGCTGCTGCTGCTGCTGCTGCTGGTGCCGCTGGTGCCGCTGGTGCCGCTGGTGCCGCTGGTGTTGCGGGTAGGGGTATCACTGATGTATGGAGTGGTGGTGGGACGTATGGAAAGGAGTACTTGTCGTGGGAGTTTGAGAGCGATAGTGATGGTGAGAGTGACAGTGGTGGTGATGGTGCTGCGGTGGTCGTTGTAGGCGGGAAGAAGCATAAGAAGAAGAAGAAGGGGAGGAGGAAGGGCGGGCCTATGAACATGTACAGGCAGAGCGCGCGAGTGAGCATGGGGGCGGATAAATGGTTACATGTGGAGACTTGGGATACCACAGGGGAGTGCCTGCAGGAGCTCAAGAAACGGGGTTACCGCATCGCCGTCACGTCCCTATCTGATCGAACTGTAAGATGATCCGTCACGCAAATGTTTTTTCCCCTCTTGCCGTTTGGTACCCGGGTCTGCTAAATTTTTGTTACCATGATGATTCACGCAGTCAGTGCTTCTGTTGGAGCACCATGCGTGCTGCACGCTGCCTTGATCCGCACGAACGCCATGCAACTCACCCCACCCACCCACCCACCACCACCGTGACCGTGCGTGGGGTGATGGCTTGTATGTCCCATGCAGGTGCCCATATACGACGTGGACTGGACGATACCTACTGCTATCGTTTTCGGCAACGAGCACAGGTGCGTCTGCTTCTGCTTCTGCTGCCTCTGCTGCTGCTGCTGCTGCTGCTGCCACCGCCGCCACTGCCTCGCCGCTCCTGTTCACACCTGTTGCTCACTCCCCGTATTCTGCCAGAGAGCAGCACTCTATCTTTGTTCACCCCTCGTTGTAGCCTGCACCTCCCTGGCCCCAACCAAGCACCCCCTGTGCACCCACCCGCCAACCAACATTCCCTGTGCGCTTGCCTGCCAACCAACATTCCCTGTGCGCTTGCCTGCCAACCAACATTCTCTGTGCACCCACCCTCCTCTCCCTGTGTGTGTGTGCAGCGGTGTGTCGGAGGAGGTGGAGCGCGCAGCAGACGTGGTGGTGGGCATCCCCACAGCAGGCATGGTGGAGTCTCTCAACAGCTCCATCGCCGCTGCCAACCAACACGCCCTGTGCACCCACCTGCCAACCCCCCTCCTCCCCTTCCTTGTGCACCGACCCAACCCTATCAACCTCCCACATTTGTGCATGCAGCAGTGTGTCAGAGGAAGTGGAGCGAGCAGCAGATGTGGTGGTGGGCATCCCCATAACAGGCCCTCTCCTCTCCACCTCAACCCACCCGCCCCAACCAACCCCCTCTGTGCAACCCACCCGTCCCCTTAAAACCCCTCTCTGCTGCGCAGCGGTGTGTCAGAGGAGGTGGAGCGCGCAGCAGACGTGGTGGTGAGCATCCCCATGGTGGGCATGGTGGAATCATTCAACATCTCCGTTGCTGCCGCCCTCACCCTGCACCACGCTGCTCGCACGCGCCTCGCCTCCCTGGTGAGCTATGAGGCGCCTCAGAACTCGTCTCATTTCATGCTGCTGCCCTCACCCTGCACCACGCCACTTGCATGCGCCTCGCCTCCCTGGTGCGTGTACAGGGAGAGTTGTGTTGAGGTGGTTTGAAAGCCGCCTCTTTTGTGGGTGGGAGTGGTGGCGCAGATGTTGGTGTGGGCATGGCCGCATGGGCATAGGCATGGGCATGGGGATGGGGATGGGCATGGGGATGGGGATGGGGATGGGCATGGGGATGGGGCTGGACAGAGGGCCTGCAAGCAAGTCCGTGTAGCCCTTTGATGTCTTGACGGGAATGTCGCTCCATTGCCCTACTGTGCATCTGCGAGCGTGCACTTGCAATCAAGTGCTGCTGGTCTTGGTGTTGGTTGAAAGGGAGTGGGGAGAGTGACCATGTTGATCCCTCTGTAAGAGTGAGTGTGTGTGTGTGTGTGTGTGTGTGTGTGTGTGTGTGTGTGTGTGTGTGCGCGTGCGTGCGTGCGTGCATGTGCGTGCGTGCGTGCATGTGCGTGCGTGATCCGTGTGGGTGTGCATGTGCACATGCATCACCCCAACAGGGCTATCACGGGGACCTAACATCAGAGCAGCAGCGCATTCTCCTCGCACACTTCGCCCTGCGCCACCGGGGGTTTCGCTCCCGCAGTGTCGTGGAGCACCTAGTACATACTCGCGCCAAGGCCGCTGCTGAATACGCTGCCGCCCTTGCTGCTGCTGCTGCAGCCACTGCTCACAACACTAATGCTGCTGCTGCTGCTGAGGGTGCTGCTGCTGGCAGGAGTGATGGTGAATCTAGTCTGGGCAGCGCACGGTTGGGGGCATCAGCACAAAGGGTGGAGAGGCCTGTGGGGGAAGAGAGGGGCGCAGGTGCTGCTGCAACGGAGGCTGGTAGTGATGCTTTTGCAGCTGCTGCTGCTGCTGGGGTTGGGGCCAGTGGTAGCCGTTATGCAGTGGAGGTGCCGCCGATTGGTTGCTGAGGATGCTGGACAATGGTCGACTCAACATGCGCCTGGTTGAATAGACATTATTATGGCCCTTTTGTGTAGATGTAGAACTTTCACTGACCGGAAAGGAAGCTGCCTGCGCTGTAGCCAGTATCTATCCCAGTGCCAGTGTTGTTCACATCACGAGTCAAACAAACTTCAATCAAATGCAGGGAGGCAGGCAACAAACAAGCCACACAACCAGAGCAAGCCAGAACATCTACCATACCAGTACCTTACGACCAAAATGTTTTGCAACCTTTTCCTAGTCTCATCAGAACAGTTGCCAACTGTATAACTTAGTTACCCAGGCAACAAAGTTGCATCTAGTAAACTAAAGTACCATAACTCACCATACTTATGGGTGGCCAGTTGCCTACTGTATATGGATGGCTGCTTGTGCATGGAGCACACTTGTTGAAATATGGCGCACGCTAGTTGTCACCTAATGGCGCATGCACACCCACAGTGGAGCACGAAAAGTTTCACTTCCGCAACTTTTTTCGCCAAAGCCGAGTGTCTCTTCGGCTGTTCTGATTTGAAATCCCAACCCTTCAACCTTCACCCTTGGACATGCAGGCAATCCAACCATCCAAGCCATGCCAACAGATTCCCAGAGCCATTCCCATCGCAACCCGTTTTCAAGGGAGCCTACCATGGCGAGGCGCGCCTATCAATCACGCCTAGACTTAACCACAACGCAAATCATCTTCCCGTACGACACCACTCACGAGCAGTTACTACTCACTCCGCGTGGACAGGTCTACTTACAGATTCCGAGAAGGGGATTCCTTCATCTGTCGCCTCACTTTGAGCTCCTTCAGCAGTTGCACCCGGCCCTTTTTTCCCAGTCGCCTCGTAAGTCAATCTGATTCCGACGATCCTTCTCTGTCTACCGCGCGTCTCTCTCTCCCCCTTCCGGTGCGTCCTCGTCACCTCCCTCCCTCCCTCCTTCCCTCGTCTCCTTGCTCCCAGGAGAAAAAGAGAGAAGGGAAGGGAAGGGAGAGGAGGGGAGAGGAAGAGGAAAGAGAAAATAAAGGGGGAAGGTGAAGGCGTGGCAGGAATTTTTGGAGCACATGCCGTTAGAGGGGTGGTAAGGGCTGGAGTGGAGCCGATGGGAACTGATCGTTCAGTGTGTGGTGCAGGTAAGCGTCTTTTCAATCGCGGACGTGATTTGTCTGTCTGTGCGCGCCTGTTTGTGGTGCTCATTCATCCCATCCCTCCCCAACCCACCCCCCCCCTACGATTCTTTTTCAGAGTTGCCACACTAACCACTCGTCCCACCGAGCTTCCCGCAATCACCGAAGCCTCTCTCGCTGCCTCTGCCTCATACTTCTTACCTCCCCACCCACCTTCTTCCCTCCCCACCCCACCCCAGAGTTGCCACGCTAACCACTCGACCCACCAAGCTTCTTGCAATCACCGCCCCCACGCCCGCTGCTGCCGCCGCTGCTGCTGCTGCTGCTGCCGCCGCTGCTGCTGCTGCAGCTGCTGCCGCTGCTGCTGCTGCAGCTGCTGCCGCTGCTGCTGCTGCTGCCGCTGCCGCCGCTGCTGCTGCTGCTGCTGCCGCTGCTGCCGCTGCTGCTGCTGCTGCTGCTGCCGCCGCCGCCGCCGCCGCCGCCGCCGCTGCCGCTGCTGCTGTTGTTGCTGCTGCTGCTGCTGCTGCTGCTGCTGCTGCCGCTGCTGCTGCGCAACCTCTCCACGGCGCAGGGGGGCGCGCCCACACCCGCTGCTGGCGGCGCTGGCAGCCTCTGGTCGCCACCCTCCAACGCCAGCGACGCTGCATTGGCGTCTGCTGTGGAGTCCGAGGTTAGTGCCCGTTTGTACTTCATTCCTTTTAGCCAGTCTGGAGCCTTTTCTGGGGGTGTAGGCGTTGCCCCCATGGGCGGTGGTGGCGCTGTCAGCATGAGCATGTAGTTGCTAGCGTCCAACGCCAGTGATGGTGCAGCGCTGGCGTCTGCTGTGGAGTCCTAGTAGACTGCGTGCTTGCTTGCACGCTGTGCGACACTGCTTGCCACTCACATCCCTGTGCACTTGAATTTCCCAAGTCAAACTTAAGTGCTCACTTCTTCACATGCGTCCATCCCTCCCTCTTGTTTCTCATGGTGCGTCTGCCCTTTTGTCTTGTGTTATCCACAGGCGTCCCTAGCTTTCTCCCCCTTCTATTATCGCACAGGAGCAAGGCACTTGTTGCACCGCCTGAGAATCGTGCAGATGCTACAGGTACTCTTGCAGCAGCACCAAGTGTTTTCCCTTTGATAATTTTTATTCCCCCACTCCCTCCTCTTGAGCTCTGTTCAGCTTGATTGATTGATCGAACTGATTACCTTTCTCTTTAATCCTGCCTGTGTTTGAGTCAAAGTCAAATGTCCTCCTTACAATTCCGTGCCTGCTCTCCGTCCCCTCCTCCCTCTCCCTCTGTGTAGCCCATTGAATACTTGTTGCAACGCCACGGCATCGACTCATCGCTCCTCATCCCTCCTCCTTCCTGCTCCCTTCCCCCGCTCTCGTTTCCCCTCTCCCTCTGTCAGGTCCTTTTGAGTACCAGTTGCAGCGATATGCCATTGACTTGTGGATCGAGAGACGCAACCTGCCCCGCCTTCACAAGTGAGTCCCTCTCACAAATATCATCCTCAATTCTGTCTGGAAAACCGTTTTTTTGTTTTTTTCCTTTTCTACACCAAAGACGTCCAAGACCGAACACCAAAGACACCCCCCCCCCCCTCCCCTCCCCTCCCCTCCCCTCCCCACTGCCCTTACCGTGCAGGTTGGTGGACAACAGTGGCAGTCGGGCGGCAGGACGGGCGGCACGGCGGAGAGCTCAACGGGTGGTATGGTAAGTCCTTCGGCACTTGCTGGTGATAGGACCGGCCTATGATGAGTGGCTCAGTCCCCTCCAGCACCACTTCGCCATCACACTGCTCTGCCTCGCACCGCTCTTCGCTTACAACATTCCCCGTGCCATCTGTGCCCCCATCCCCTCCTTGCTTGGCCTTCTGTGCCCCCACCACCCCCTTCCTTGCACATACCCCTTCCCACCGCCCAATCTCTGCATGTTCCCCTTGTGCGCAATCCGCAGATGGTGTTGCTGGTGATAGGCCCAGTGATGGATCGTTCAGTCCCCTCTAGCACCGGTGTCGCCACGACCGCCATCTGCCTCGCAGCGCTCTTCGCTCAGAACGTCCCCCGCGCCATCCGCTTCTTCCCATCCCCTCAGCCAACGCACCGGACGTCCCGGGGCTCGTGTTTCACACTGGTGGGCCAACCTTCTCCTCAACTTGCTCTTGTACCTCATGGCGTCTCATGTGGTCGCCATCACGTGCCACTTCCTCGCCGCCTCGGTGAGCGCCGTTTGTTTGACACGTCTTGCACGTCTTTCCACCACCCCGCTAACTCAACACCACACTCCTTGTCCCCCCCCCTCCCCCCCCCCCTCCCCCCCCCAAACCCCCTTTTTTACAACACCCTCTCTGATCTTCCAACCCAACATTCCTTGTTCGGTCGATCTTTATGCTTTATGTCACGTCACCTTCCCTCTGCCTGCCCTCTCTTCCCTTCCCCTCTCCCGCATGCATTCCCTCTCAACACCCGCCCCCTACGTACCCTCCCTTTCCCCCCTGCGCTCCCGGCAGCGCATCACGACGTGTGTGGCGGGGCAGAGAGCCTGACAGGGCGATGCGTGTGAGCGCGAGCACATGTGGTGTGGTGTGTCGACCCAAGCGCCATGGCGTGCCGGAGCACAACACAGCAGCGCAGGCGGCATGGGCCACACGGCAACAGATGCAGTAACAGCAACAGGAATCACAACAGAAGGAATGGCAGCAGTTGCAATAACGAAAGCAGTTTCAACATTAGCCTCTCTTGCAATAACGATGGGGCATTTGGTGGATGTCAAGAAACATGCAGCCAAGATTCTCCAATGGAGGTCCTTGAACTTTGGGACGGGAGGTGAGGCAGCCACTGCTGCAGCCGCAGAATCAGCAAAAGCAGCAGTAGCAGAAGCCAGAGCCTCACATGCAATGGTATTGGAGCAATTTGAGGATTTGAAGAAGTATCAGCTGGGTTCCTCAATCAATGTGCAAACCTTGGGAGCAGTTTCCGCAGTCACCCTTGGTATGGTTCTAGAGCACTCATGTTGTGACGAAATTGGAAAGCGATGCTTTATGGGTTATATGGAGTACCGTATTTGTTACGATAAATATACCTAACAATGTGAGTTACCTACCGTATATCTGTGTTTTTCTACCTTCGAGCCAATGTTTGTATTTCTATGTCGCATTCGCCTGAATTCCAGTATCGCACAGCAATCTACGCAAACAGAACCTTTATGCATGTACAGTAGTGTTGTGCTACCACTTCCCTGAATTCCAGTATCGCACAGCAATCTACGCAAACAGAACAACCTTTATGCATGTACAGTAGTGTTGTGCTACCACTTCCCATCGCTCTTCCTCAATGGAATAGCTGGATGTTCTCCTACTTCCTCACTTGCAAATGAAGCGAGCCAAGCTGTGAGCCACAAATCATGTCGTGAGTCCTGCTGCTTGTCATGGCATGCATAAACCATGAATCAGTCAAAACACAGTGAAGAGGAGAGCACTACCAAGTGGCACATACCAGTACTAACGTACTACCACCAACCTATGGATGACGCGCTGTGCCATGCATGCTGTGAAGTGCACAACGCATCGTGTGACACAGCACCCATCATGCGTGCATGTGCAGCGCTGCTGCTGCCCTATGGTCCGCCCCCACTGCATCTTCCACCGACTCGAACCCATCCCGCGCCAGGCACTCTGCTAGCTCGCGCTGCTCTCAAGCACGGGGGGAATGGACGGGGAGATTGGACAGGGGGGCAACGGGAGAGCAAGGGGGCGTGACAGTGGGTGAGCTTGGTGTAAGGGCAGGTAAGAGCAAGGGAGGCAGGTGGCAGCACCGCACAGCACCGCACAGCACAGCACAGCACAGCAAAGAGCAGGGCACGGGAGGTGTTTAAGGTGCTGCAGGCATGCTGTGGCAGGCACATCGTTTGAGAGCACCCACATGCACACATTGCGGCGCGCTGCGAGCCGAGGGAGGGTGGCGTGACACGCATGGCACACACGTGCAATATGCATGTACAGGGTCATGTTGCGCACAGTACCTAGGGCACCACTAACAGCCGCTTGACTGCATGCTCATGTAGCAACGAGCAGCAGCAGCAGCGAGCATGAGCAGCAGGGCAGGAGCAGCAGGGAGCAGCAGGGCAGGAGCAGCAGGGACCCGCAGGGACCCGCAGGGATGGGGAGGCACATACCTTGATTCGGGGCAGCACCCCTGCACCCTCATACACCATGGCTGTGTATATCTGCACCAGCGATGCCCCCGCGCGTATCTTGGTATATGCATCAGCGCCGCTGGTGATGGGGGAAGCCAAGGGGTGGAGGTCCACGCAGAGGGGAGAGTGAGTGAAAGTGAGTGAGAGCGAGTGAGAGCGAGTGAGAGCGAGTGAGAGTGAGTGAGAGCGAGTGAGAGTGAGTGAGTTTGCTGCACTGATTATGGGTGTGAGAGAATGGAGGCCAGCAAGGGGTCCAAGCATATTAGCCTACGCTGGTGCAGCAGATGCACGAGGGGAGGCGTTTGAATGAAATCTGAATTAGGCATTGGTAGATGTGGAACTAGATGAGGACCAGGCAGAGTGGGACAGCACAGACAGGGGTCTGGATTGGCAAGGCATGTGCCTGCCAGTGGGTGCCTGCTAGTGGGTGCCTGTTGTCGGTGGGTGCCTGCATTCATGTGAGTGAGCCTCCACATCTTATCATGTCCGATAGGGAAAGAAACGACGATTACAGACGGACCTGAAAATGCCGCCACATCCTATGAGCGTGATCCGGCCCTGCAGTAACGAGTGGGGGCGGGCATAGACGGGGGAGATGGATGGGGGTGGCAGTAAGTGCCACGGGCAGCATATGTGTCACAGGCAGGCAGCATATGTGTCACAGGCAGGCAGCATTTGTGTCACAGGCAGAGTTTGATCCACAGGACGAGCAGTAACTAACAAGGCCATGCATGCACCCCTTGCACACACATGCACACATGCGCACCTTGGTGAGGCGGTACATTTCGCGCAGGGTGTTTGTGGAGGGGTCGAAGAGCGGGCGGCCACTGAGGCCCCCCGGCTCATCCGCATGCAGCAGCCCCAGCACAGAGTCAGGGCGCGATACCGTTGTGTTGCCCACTATCTGCTCCCCTCGGGGAAGTGGGGGGTGCGGGTGAAGGAGTGGGGATGGGTAGTGCGGGTGGGGGAGTGGGAATGGAGAATAGGGTCGGCTGCGACACTGTTGTGTTGCCCAATATCTGCTCCCCCCAGGCCGTGGGGGAATGAGCAGGGGAGTGGAGATGGGAAGCGCGATTGGGATGTGGGAATTGGAGTGGAAGTGGGGATGGGGAGTAGAGTTGGGGAGAGAAAAGGCGGGGAAGGTGGGAGGGAGAGAAGGTGGGAGGGAGAGAAGGTGGGAGGGAGAGAAGGTGGGAGGGAGAGAAGGTGGGAGGGAGAGAAGGTGGGAGGGAGAGAAGGTGGGAGGGAGAGAAGGTGGGAGGGAGAGAAGGTGGGTTCAGGGGGGTGGGATGGGAGGAGGGGGAGACGAGGCGGGCATGTAGAGAAGGGTTAGAAATCGGTGCGCCTTTTTTGAGGTTTCAAGAAGGAAGTGAGCGGAATAGGGAGTGAGTGAGTGAGTGAGGGAGGAAAGGGAGGGAGGGCACTAACCAGGCCGTCGAGCTTGAGAGAGAGAGCCACCTGTCAGAGGGAGGGAGGGAGGGAGAGGGGCGGGAGGGATGCAGAACGGCCGTTGCGAATTGTATGAACAGAAGAAGGACGAGTGAATGGATCGGGCGGGCAGGCGAGGAGCAGGAAAGGATCAGGAGTAGAAACAAAGGAATTGCAGGCTGGAGGAGAGAGTGAGAGTGCAGCATGGAAAAGAAATGAAAAGGGAAGGGGGAAGGGGAGTGGGAAGGGGGAAGGGGGAAGGGGGAAGGGGAAGAGGGAAGGGGAAGGGGGAAGGGGAAGACGAAACGTAAGGGGAGAAGCAGCAGCGACTGACAGCGGCAATGCCGGCCATGTCCTGCTGTGAGAGGTGCGGTGCGGTGCGGGGAGATCTAGTTTGGGATGTGCCATGTCGTGCGGTCCCGGGATAAGGGTCTCAGAACTCACAGCGGCAATGTCGGCCATGTCCTGATGGGAGAGGTCTGGGGATATCTTGAGCAGCAGCGGCGGAGGGCCCTCCTCGCCCCACTGCATCTCCTCCCTTGCCGCCAGCACCTTCGTGAGCAGGCCATGCAGGTGCCGCCTCCCCTGCAGCTTCCGCAACCCCGGCGTGTTTGGCGAGGACACATTCACAACCAGGAAATCCGCATACTGTGCGAGGGTGTGCATGCCCTGCACGAAATCCTCTGCAGCGTCGTCCGTCCACTTGTTTTTCCCCAGGTTCACCCCCACCAGTCCGCGCCTGCCCGCGTTGCCCCCGGCTGCGGGCGGGGCAGCAGCACGGTCCTTGCCCGTTTTGAGCCCCTCGGGTTTCTCCACGGCCCGCCGCCTGCCCTGCTGCGCACCAAGCCGCTCCGCCACTGCTGCTATGCCCTCACTGTTGAACCCGTACCGGTTGATCACCGCCCTGGGGGGGGGGGGAGGGGGAAGGGGGAGAAGCGGGTGAGGGGGAAGAGGAGAAGAGGGGAGGGGGAGGAGAGAGAAGGGGGGCTTCGAGAAAATCGCGAAAGTCCGCCACTGCTGCGATGCCGTCACTGTTGAACAAGTCAGCTGCGTTGATGGTACTTTTGAGGATTCTCAATCTCAAAAGTACCATCAACGTTGCTGCGATGCTGTCGCTGTTGAACAAGTCTCGGCTGATCACTACACCGCCCTGGAGGGGGAGGGACAAGAAGAGCGGAAAGGGAGTAGCAACAAAAACACGTGCGGCGGGTTGTGGGCAGCAATGAACGCAATAAACAGCAGCACACAAACAAGCACCTCACATACTCTGAACCCCCCACACGCCCACCCACCCATCCCTCTACCCTCCCACCCACCCACCCACTTTTGCTCTGGGATCCGCCAAACTCTTGGCTTGGGGTTGCCCGGCTGCGGCGCGGGAGTAACGCTGCCAATCTCCATGAACCCGAACCCCATGCCCAGCAGCCCGTCCACTGCGCGCCCATCCTTGTCAAACCCCGCGGCCAGCCCCACGGGGTTGGGGAAGGCGCGGTTCCAGAGGGCGATGCAGAGCGCGGGCGGGTCGGGGCGGTGCTCGTGCGGCACGAGGGAGAGCTCGGCTGAGAGGAGCGCGAGGCGGTGCGCTGCCTCAGGGTCGAGTAGGCGGAGGAAGGGGGTGAGGGCGTCCGCTGCTGCAAACGACCACTTGCTGGGGGAGAGGGGGGAAGTGGGGCGGGGGACGGGGGAGCGTGGGGGAGGAAGCATGGGGAAGTATTGAGGTGTGTGTGTGTGTGTGTGTGTGTGTGTGTGTGTGTGTGTGTGTGAGCGTGTGTGTGTGAGCGTGTGTGTGTGTCCCAGTACAGGGTTCAGGGTTTCAGGTTCGGGGTTCGGAACTTTCAACCAACATTCCCTCACTGAAATCATGGCCACCACCCGAATTCCACCCCATCCCACCCCTATCCCATGCCAACCCATGCCATCCCATCCCATCCCATCCCATCCCATCCCATCCCATCCCATCCCATCCCATCTCATCCCATCCCATCCCATCCCACGCCATCCCATGCAATGCAATGTGTGGGGCACGCACCTGATGGTCTGGGGGTCCTGAGTGCTGAGCAGCACGCCCGCAGTCATGGTGGACCCCACCAGCGTCGCCCCCGCCAAACGCGCCTGCACGGTGGTGGAATGACGGGAGTGGGAGGGGAGGGGAGGGGAGGAGAGGGGAGGGAGAAAGCGGTAACACGATTGATGTGCGCGGTGGGAAAGCAGGGCGGAGCGGGGAGGGGTGTGAGAGAGGGGGGAAAGGGGATAGAGAGTGGGGACGGTGGGGACGGTGGGGACGGCGTGAATAAGAGAGTGGTGCAGCCAGAAGCATGCGCTGTGGCTTGTGAAGCACCAGCAGCAGTTCCAGCAGCAGCAGTACCAGCAGCAGCGATAGGAGGAAGCAAAAGTGGGCAGTGGGGGAGGCGGCTGCAGGAGCGATGCGGGAGCAGGTGCGGGTGTGGGTGCGGCAGTACCCAGTGTGTTTTCGATCTGCTCGCAGCAGCTGAAGCGCCTCCCTTCGCCCCGCCAGCGCCAGTCCCAGCTGCGGCTGTTGCTGCCGCCGACACCGCTGCCGCCGTCACTCCTTCGCTAGCAGCAGCAGCAGCAGCAGCAGAGGTGGTAAAGGCAGCAGTTTGCGAGGCAGCGCGAGCAGAAGAGTAATTTGTCAGAGCCCTCAGATTCATGGGGATGCCAAACGCGGTGCTTGGAGTTGCGGAGGTGGCGGCGGGGGGGGTGGTTCCATAGACGCCACGCGCCATGGCTCTGTGTCTCCACGCGCCGCCTGTGAGCAACCCCTTCGCGCCCATTCTCGAGATTGCCGCTGCTCGCGACGACGACAGTGCTGCTGCTAATGGTGAGAATGATGATGTCAACGGTAACAATAGCCGTGCTGTCGTTGCAGCTGCTGCTGCTGCTGATGCTCCTGCCACTGCAGCAGACGACGTGAGCTCGCCTCTGGCTGCTGTCGCAGCTGCTGCATGTGCCGGCCCACGCGCACCAATCACATCGCAACACGCGGGCCTAGATCCAAGCGCACATGCCGCCCCTACTCGTCCTCCTCCCGCTGCCACCGCTGCAGTCTCTGCTGCCGTTGCCGTAGCCACGGCGGTGGCAACCACAGTGGTGCTCGAAGCGTCTACCCCCACCCTCACTCCCAGGCGTCCCCCCGCGCCTACCGCTGCCGCCGCTGCTTCGAGCGCTGCGCCATCGCGGCCTGCCACGTGTCGATGCACCAGCGACGCCGCCCTCCTCGCCACCACCCGTGCGGCCGCCCGCCCCATCCGCGGCTCGTCCGCGAGTGCAACTAACGTCCTAGAAGGTACGACTGGCGTGGAAGCTGGCGGCTGAAGTGGAAGGTGCTGCGACTACGGCAAATGCGACGTTTAGACGTCTATTCAATCGAGCCAGACTGATCAACACCGAGCAGAGGCCGCGAGGATATGGAACCCCACGAGCAATAGCAGGCAATCGCGGAAAAGCAGGCCGATCGCGATTCGGAAAGAAAGAACGATGTGGTTTTTTTTTGGCAGGTGAATGGTGGTAAGCTCGGGTGATCTATTCTTTCGGCGCAAACATGGTGCTAAGCACTGGTGGCACGCGGCGCTGCGCCTGCGCGCGTCATCGGAGAAACGTCTGATCGCACGAGATCCGTGTACTCCGCGCGATCGGCGGCGGTGAAGAGATCGGCGAGCAGATGGGCGACGGAATGTGCGACAGGATGGGCGACGGGATAGACGACAGGATGGACGAAACTGGTGGCCTCTATTCGTAACGGAACGGACTAAAACGACTAGCTTGTTTGTGAGGGCCCTATCCGAGAAGAGATGAGATCCCGAGAAACAAACAAACCAGCTGGTGTAGGCCAGCCACCCTCGTCCCCCCCTACTTTTCTCCCCTGATCGTCGCACCTGATTGGACGCGAAACCGGAACAATCACGCTTTCGCAGATTTTGGATCACGCGGCGATATTGTGAGTCAGATTTGGTCGAGCTGCGAACGCAAACCCTGACAGGGTAACTAGCATTACACTTTCGTTGCATTTCCTCCTGGGTTGGGTGGGATTTCAGAGGAGTTCGCGCACCCCAGCTAATCCATCCATATCGCACTGTATCCGCTGATTCCCTGTCGGTACCCATTTTCCCTCTCCTATCTCCACTTCCTCCCCTCGAAATCCCTCCAATTCATCCACTCGGCTCCTGCCAGGGAACAGAGCTTTCCCTCGTCCCTCGTGACGTGATTCTGGCCTTTCCTCCTCGACTTCTGAATATTCGCGGCAGCGTTGGGATTGTGATAGTCACCGACATGGCCACGTCGCGAGTGCTCAAGGAGATTTCGCCAGCCGTGACGAAAATCGGGTAACCGTTTCTTTTTGTTATCGCGCTGATTTGGCGCTTCGCTGGTTGCCATGATTGTTCTTACACCTTCCACAGATTCGTTTAGCGTACCCGCCACAGTATCACTGTGTCCTCCCTCTTTTCTCTACCTCCTGTTTTCGCGCTCGTTATGGAGTGGAATCGGGAGAAGTGAGGGGTGAGTCGGGCTGTGTTCTTCCCGAGCTTATCATTCTGTATTTTGGATTGTGGATTTCTTATGCAACTTGTGTAATGTGGTGTGTGAGTGTGTGGGGAGGGGATGGTAATGAGATGCGGGTTCTGGGATGGGATGGGATGCGGCGCGAGGCGATGCGATGTGCGCAGGTGGATTGGCACGGGAGTTATGGGCGCCGCCATGTGCGGGCACCTGCAGGCTGCTGGCTATGCCGTCAACGTCTTCAACCGCACGCCCAGGTATCATCGCCCCTCTCCACGCCCAGGTATCATCGCCCCTCTCCACGCCCAGGTATCATCGCCCCACTCCACTCCACGCTCAGGGCTCGCCACCCCCCTCCTGCCTCCCCCTTATGCCATTCACTCCTCCTGCAATTTCCGCTCCTGCTATCGATGAATCAACCATCATCCATCCCCCAGCTCCCATCCCCCAACCCCCAACTCACATCGCCCATAACCCGTCCTGCCCCGTGCCCCCATGCCCTTATGCCCCCATGCCCCCATGGCAGCAAGGCGGCTGCACTGGTGGGGCGGGGGGCAGTACTGTGTGAGTCGCCGGCTGCTGTGGCGGCCAACTCAGACGTTGTCTTCAGCATCGTGGGGTGAGCTCCTAGGCCAGACCCTGCCCTCCGTTGTCGTGCTGTGCCATGCCGTGCCGTGCAGTGCTGTGCCGTGATGTGTTGTTGACGTGCTGTGCTGTGCTGTGAGTTGCCATGATGCCAAATGCCATTTGATCGCATGCCATGGTCTCCTGCTGTGTGTGTCATATACATAGTGGGCAGTGAAAACGTTTCTATGTCACATGTTACATGCCTGTCCCACATGCCATATGCTCGCACACACCAAGGGCCACTCGCCCTCAATTTTCCTCAAAATCTCATTCCTCACGTTCCCTCCCCACCACCCTTCCCTTCCCTACAACCTATGTCTCCCCTCCCCTCCCTTTTTAGGTATCCCCATGACGTGCAGCAAGTGGTGCTGGGTCCCACAGGCATTCTCTCCGCTCTCAAACCAGGAGGCATTGTGAGGCGCTGGGGGTGAAGCCGGGTTGGCATGGACATATGGGATTGTATGGAAGGATACATGTGGGTTTCAAGAGAAGTATTACTGGCCATGGAGAAGTATGCGTGCTGAATTCAAGCATGAGAAGGGCGTGGGAGAAGGAGAATAGCATGGGCGGATTGGCATGGGTGATTCGCCGTGCCGTGGCATGTTTCAGTTCAGCCAGCTCGCGTACAGAATTGTGATGCCGTCTCGCCTGCCCCCTGTGCCTCCCGTGCATGCCCCCCCACCAAATCCGTGCCTCCCTCCCTGTTCTGCTCTTCCCGCCAGCTGGTGGACATGAGCACGAGCCAGCCATCCCTGGCCAGAGAGATAGCGGCCGCGGCAGAGGCAAGGTGAGGTGAGATGAGATGAGGTGAGGTGAGGTGCGGTCAGGTGCGGTGGGGTGAGGTGCGGTGAGGTGCGGTGAGGTGAGGTGAGGTGGGGTGAGCTGGCGTGAGGTGAGGCAGGTGGGGAGGGGTGATTGGAATAGATGTCACCACACAGCCAACGACCCATAAGGCCGGAGATCCTGAAATATGGATGCCCCTGCTCTGCGCGTGCATGTGCGTGTGTCTGCATGCATGCATGCTTGCTTGCGTGTGTGCATTACGGATGGCATGGGAGGCGAGCAGGCAGTGCTGGGCGGTGGATGCGCCAGTGTCAGGCGGGGACAAGGGCGCGCGGGAGGCAGCACTGGCGATCATGGCCGGGGGAGACGAGGCAGTGGTGCAGGCGCTGCAGCCTCTGCTGTCATGCATGGGCAAGTGCACGTACATGGGGCCTGCTGGGGCCGGCCAGAGCTGCAAAATGGCCAACCAGGTACACACACACACACACACACACACACACGCACACACACACACACACACACACACACACACACACACACACACACACACACAAACACACACATGTACATGACACGCCCGCCTGCCCTCTGCCTGCCTACCTCTTCCAATCTTTTTGAGGCCGTGTGATGTTTGCCACTCCCTGTGGCCACTCCCTGTCCGCTCGCAGTAAGGCTGGTGCCCTGTCCTGGTCTGGTTTGAAGCCGTTGGCGTGCTTGCTGCGCTCCCCTCTCTCATCTCCCCTGGTTTCTTCCCTCAAGCTGTTCCTGTTCCTCACTGATCATGCATTCCCTGTGCTGCCCATGCTACCCGTGCTTGCTCCTTCTGCGTGCGCGCGCCGCTCCCATGTGCGCGCTTTGCTTAGGCACGAGCTACTTGCGTTTGTGTGTGCGTGCGTTGTGTTGCATGTGCATGTGCATGTGCATGTGCATGTGCATGTGCATGTGTGCGAACGCATGGGGAGCAGGTGACGATAGCGAGCACCATGGTGGGGCTGGTGGAGGGCCTGCTGTACGCACACGAGGCAGGGCTGCATATCCCCACGTGAGCCACCACCGCGCTCCCCAGACACACTCAGGGAGGCAGAGGCTGGGGTGGGAGATGCAGGGGACGCGGGTTAAGGAGAGAGTGTGTGAGAGGGAGGGAGGGAGTGTGGTGGGGGTGTTTTTCATGTAGGTGTAGACGGGGTGAGTGATTTCTGCAGACGCTTGTGGAGTCATCAGTATCACTGCTCAAGGGTTACCCTCGTGTCTTCCTCTCATCCCCCCCTCCTCCCTCCCTCCCCCTCTCGCTCCCTCCCTCGCTCCCTCTTTCTCCCCCTCCTGCTGCTCCATCTTTGGCTCGACTCGTTCAGATATCTGGCTGCCATTTCCAAGGGAGCAGCAGGGTCGCGCTCTCTTGATCTCTACGCCTCGCGCATTCTCCAACGAGACCTCCTGCCAGGTGACCCCATCACTCCCACTCCTTTGCTCCATCCAGGCCTACCATGCCACACCACGCCATGCCGTGCATTGCCATGTCATGCTGTGCCATGCCACACCATGCCATCGGAATTCCCAGTACAAAAGAATCCAAGGATCTTGACCCTCCCACCTTCCTTGTTTCGCATACCCATAGAGGGTATGCTAAGTTTCCAGGTTCACACGTGACTGGCTCATGCATCATTAGTTCGTTCATCTTCCTATGCATGTCCACTTCATGGCATCAACGTGTACTTAGCACATGTGATTCCACATGGCCCATCCTGCAACCCCTTACATTTGCCTGCCTGTGTATCACGCACAGGTTTCTTTGTGAAGCACTTTGTGAAGGACCTTGGGATTGCCCTTGAGGAGTGTAGGGCCATGAGCCTGTCCCTACCAGGCCTCGCGCTGGTAAGCCCACTTGCTGCAACACCTGGGAAATTCCTCGTTTCTGTGCCACACTTGGTCACGATTGCTGCTTTTTGCCTCTACTCACTTCTCGTTACGTTGCTCATCCAGCCTGACTTAAGAATTAAGTGTTGTGTTGTGTTGCCATGTGATGTGAGTGTCTTTCAGGCACAGCAGCTGTATCTGTCACTGCAGGCACACGGGGATGGTGATCTGGGAACACAAGCCCTTGTGCTGGCTCTAGAACGGTTAAACAATGTGCAGCTTCCCAAGCTTCCACCCAGTTAGGGCGTGTGTCTTTTGGCGTAGATTGTATAAGTTCAAGCCTAGTACCGCTTTGTACCATGGCGACACGTCTCTCAGCTGTATCATACCGTGTAAAACCTTTCTAGAAGTTACAACTATAGCAAAAGTTCGACTTCAAGGACACGCAAGCACCCTTAGGGTTTTCATGCCTGGCTTCGTGCAATAATGACCTACGCATTCTGTTTGAAAGCCCAAAGTTAATTTTCATTCCCCTTGAGAGACCCAATGTTCCTGGACAAGAAGCATCTTTGCTGGATGTGCTCTCAAAAATAGAATACCAGCCTCTCAGAATTTTTGAGTTGCTATATTGGTTCTGATTGTGACAGGCTGGCCGTTACAGTGCGAAGCCTTGCAGCGCCACGAAAATATGTAATGTAACGCACCATCTCGTAAGTGCTGGTCTCCATCTGGGTCGTTTTGCGCGGTGGTGGGGCCGAGGGAAATACTTTTCTGGTTTCAGCGGAAGTCCGTAAAATGGATAATCTTTCCTACTGGCCCTGCCTAGACCCAGCGCGCGTACCATGCAATATTTCTCGAGAGCACCATGTGGGTCAAACAGCTAGCCGCGGTGGGCTTGGCTGCGGACTAGCCTAGTGAAGCCTGAAGAAAAAGGACTGCCCGAAGAATTGCACAGAAGTTTTCGCCGTGCCATAATTTCCAGTTCCCTAGCAATACAATTGGCTGCAACCATCAATCCAAGGAATCCGTGTGGTTCTGCCACGTGACTCGGTACTGTCGGTGCACTCAAGAATCCTTACTCCCCCTCTCCATCAACGAAGGCTTGGCGAACCCAGATGATCACTGGCGAAATCATCTTCGTGATGAACAGCTCCCCATCCCAACAACCCCCGCCAGCTTGGACCACCGTGTAACGCAGCACACCCACCCACCGTTCGCACAGTGCACACGGAATGGAGCTACTGGCCAAACCAAACCAAAGCATATGGGAGAGACAGGTGCTACTGCAGGACGAACAAGCACTCGGGCCTGACAGTGGAAGGTGCACTTGCGCTTTTTTTTTCGACTGTCGTTCACCCTGCAAGCTCTTTTAGAGGAAGGTGTGTCTGTTCTGACAATTCCTGGAGAAATACAGTAGCCGGAGCGCGAAGGAGCCCTCGTATCTCGAGTTCCGACGAATCGTCAATCCTGTGTTATGGCTCTAAGCGCCTGCAGCGTCGTTTCGCCGTAACTCAATAGACACATGCACTAAATGCAAGGTTGTTGGAAATTGCGTACGGTTCAGATATTTATTCCATGTAGCGCTCAGCAGTGCCAGCGAATCACACCGCAACGTTCCCAGCGTGCACCCGGTGCCGTCGCCGCTCATTGCCGTTTTCCGTCCGTTGGACTCGGAACGACCCGCCATGGCCGTTAGCTGCTTCGGACCCGTCTTTCGAGGGTGAGCTCTCGCGGACCGAGAGAGACGGTTGCATTCTCCCATGGATGCGAGTGTTGTTGCATGGGTGCATGAATATGAATATTTCTTCATCCATCTTCTTCCCTCCATCCCTCCGCACCTTCTTTCCCATTCCCAACTCTCCCTTTCCCCACACACGGCCCTTTCTCGACCATTCCTCACGCGGATTCCCGTTTCCTCCGCCCTCCCTTCCTTTCCCATTCTCCCCATCTCGCTTCCTCTCCCCCCTCCTTCTCCTCCCCCATCCCCTCCAACCCCCTTCCCGCTATCTCGTCTTCGCGTTGACTCCAGCGGTCAACACCCGTTTCTGCCAGCCGCTCCATTCGACGACGATGACGCTGACGATACCGGCACCAATAAATTCCGGGACTGCGTTGACAATAAGGGCCAGCCCGCGCCCGCGATTGACGCCGCCCGAGCAGGCGAAGATGGATCCGCGCAAGGAACAGCAGAACCTTCCGCGCTTCCGCCTCCCCCACCTCCTCCCCCTCCGCCTCCGCCCCCATCGTCTGCTCCCCCTCCCCCTCCCCCTCCGCCTCCGCCACGCGCGCCCCCCCCGCCCCCTCCCCCGCCCCCGCCTGGCTCATACTCCGCTGGCGGCCTAACCACTCCGCGCGCGTCCTTCCGGCGCGCGCGGTCGATTAAGGAGCGGCGGGAGGCAGTGGCGCTGAAGGTGTTCCACTGGAGCAAGGTGCACGACACCAAGGGCACCATCTGGGACGAGCTCTCTAAAGATGCCGACCTCTTCTCGCGCGTGCAAGTAGACGGGCCTAAGCTCGAGGCGCTCCAGGTGCTATTTAAAGCCAAGGAGACTAAGGTTAAGATAGGCGCGGGGGGGGTGGCGGGCGCGGGGATGAACGGGCTTGGTGGGGTGTTGGGGAGGGGAAGGGGTGGCGGAGGGCAGGGGGATGCGGGGGACGGGGGGGATGGGGGAGAGGGGAAGGAGGGGGAGGGGAAGGGTGTAGTGAAGGTGGTGACTCTAACGAGGGCGAACAACGTGGCTATAACGCTGGCGCAGTTCCGCATGGCGCATGAGGAGATCCGAGACGCCATCCTGCTGGGCAACCCGGGGGGCGCTCTGTCCCTGGACCAATTCGCGCTCATCACCCAGGTACGTGTGTCAGTCGTACCACCCGCCACTCCTTGCTGCAGCCACAGCAGCAGCAGTACCACTGCCAGCACTAACACCACCAGCCTCAGCAGCACGAGCAGCAGCAGCAGCACCACCGCCTTCACCACCACTACTACCCCACAACAATTCCTCACTTCATCCCATCCCTATTTCCCCCTTCTTTATCCCATCCCATCCCATCCCATCCCATTCCTCTCTTTCACTTGCTCCATGGTGTCACCTTCCTCCGCCCCCTCTGTGCTGCTTCCCGTCAGGTGATTCCATCAGAGAGCGAGGCGCAGCAGCTGCTGGCGTACACAGAGAGCCGCCCGCTGGAGAACCTGTCAACCCCTGAGCGCTTCCTGCATGCGCTCGCTACCATCCCCCGTTTGAGACACAAGATCGATGTGCGGATTATGTGGGAGGAGGGGGGCATGGAATGGAAGGGGAGAAAGGGGGAGAGTGAGGGGAGTGAGGGTGAAGCTGTGTGTGATGGCGCTGGTTAGGTTTTGAGACGCCTCAAAACGCTGGTTAGGAAGGAGGAGGGCCGCAGTTTATGCAGATGTTATTGCTCATCTTTGCATCATGCACCAAACAGAGCCATCTTCCATCAGACATCCGCCGATGCCCTCCCGATGTACCTACAATCCCCCAAGCCACCTTTTCTATCCCTTCCCTGACAACCCTTCCTCTCCCTTCCTTCCCCCCTTCCCCCTTTCCCACCTTGCCCTTCCCGCTACTTCCCTGCCCTGTCCCGCTGCCCCTTCATTGTGCGTGCCATGCCGCTACATGCAATGCAACGCGACGACATGATCAGGCGTGGGTGTTCATGCTGCGCTGCGCTGACATGGTGGCAGACACACAGCGCCTCATCCACACCTTCCAACGCGCCTGCCACCAGGTCAGTGGCTTGTGCGGCGCACACACACAGCACTGCTCTCAGCGGTACATAGTGGTGATGTGGGTGGGGGTATGGTGGGAGAGCAGTAGGGGGGTTGGTGTCGGGGGGAATGGTATGGGAGAGGGAATCGGGAGAGTGTATTAACGGCCATCTATCTTCGTGTCCATGTGTGAGTGAGCAGGTACGGGAGTGCAAGCCGCTGAGGGCAGCCATGGCAGCAGCGCTGCAGGCAGGCAACGAGCTAAACTACGGCAGCACCAAAGGTCCGTCCATTGCGCTTCATTATTCTCAAACCTGGCATAGCCGCTCACGACTCGCAACTCGCCACTCCCCTTGTCATCACTCTCTTTCTCTTATCAGTTCCTCTATCCACCTCTCCTTCTCCCCTCCAAACCTGCCACACTTCCCTCCCTGTCTCACAGCCGGCGCCCTGGGTTTCAGCATAGAAACGCTACCAAAGCTGGCGGACCATCGGGTCACCCTCTCAGTGCCACCAGCGCCATCACCCCACCCTACCACCAACGTCTCGTCTGGCTTCCGCGCCGCACCGCTACCTCCTCCTGCTGCTGCCCTTCCTGCTACTGCTGCTGCGGCTCCTGCTGCTGCCGCTGCGCCAACAGGTCTTCCCCCTCGCAATCATGCTCCCTACTCCTCCCGGAGCTCGCCTCTCCCCACTGCCCCAGCCCCAGGGCCCTTATCAGCAGTGGCCAGTGCAAGCCGCGTGGGTGCTGCTGCTACTTGTGCTTCTGCTGCCCACACTGCTGCGCTGCTGCCTGGGTCAAGAAGCACAGGTGCTCGCATCCTTGTGCATGCAGCAACGACTAGCACCAACCCTGCCTCCAACGGCGGTGCTGGTGGTGGTGCAAGCATTGTGAGTACGAGCACGGTTAATGCAACTGGCAGCAGCACGGGGAGCAGGATGGAAGGGCGACAGGTGAAACGAACCATGCTACAGGCCACAAGCCTCCTAGACGTAGTAGCTGTGCTAGTCATGTCAGGCGGAGCGGTGCAGATCGGTACTGAGATGTCCAAGGCTCTGGATGCTGTTGCTGCTGCAGCCAGGGTCCCTTTGGAGGAGATTCAGAAGAGCATGGGAGGTGTGGACGAGGGGATTACGACAGTGGAAAAGGAGCTGGCGTTTGTTATCAGTGAGGAAGAGGCGAAGGAGGCTGCTGCTGCTGCGGCTGAAGCAGCGCTTTTGGAGGGAGAAGGAGGGAGTGAGGAGGGCGACGAGGAGCAGGAGGAGCAGCAGTTGAAGGAGGGAGAAGGTGAGGAGGGTAGTGGTGGAGGTGAGGGAGGAGAGGGTGAGGATGGTGGTGCTGTCTCGCAGGGGAGTGGAAAGGAGAGAGGAGGTTTTGGAGAGCAGAACGGATCAGGGGAGGAAGAGGAGGGAGAGGTGCTGATGCAGAGCATGAGGGGGAGGAGTGAAAGGGAGGAAGCAGAGACTCCCAACGGTTCCACCTGTGCCGTCACCTGCTGGGGCCCTCTGCGGCCTAGATCTGGCCGGGGTAGCAGAGGAGGGATCAGGGGAGAGGGAGAGGGAGAGAAAGGCGGGAGGAAGGAGAGGGTTGGGTGGAGAGGGAGTGCTAGGCGGTTAGGCAGGGAGTGGGAGGAGTGGGGGAAGATGGAGCGACCTTTGGTGCGAGGGAAGGAGGTGGGTGGAAAGAAGAGGATGGGAGGGGAGAGAGAGGGGAAGAATTCTGGGAAAGGAAGGGAAGGAAGAAAGGGAGGGGGAGGGGAAGGAGGTGGTGTGCGAAATGAGGAGGAGGGAGAGGAGGGCGTTGGGCACGATCAAGGTGGGGAGACGGGAAGCAGGGTTGGAGATGGAAACACAGTGCCAAACCCTTCTTCTTCTGCTGCCACTCCCCTTGCTGCTGCTGCTGCTGCTGCTGCTGCTGCCCCTGCTGCCCCTGCTGCCCCTGCTGCCCCTGCTGCCCCTGCTGCTGCCCCTGCTGCTGCCATGCCATCTCCTGCACACGCCACAGCTGCTTCACGCGACTCAAACACAGAGACAAACCCAGGAGAGGAGGAGACGAAGCATTATCCTGACGGTGCATGCATTGCCTCCACTCCCACAGCTGGCATCGGGGGGGGCTCCTTCTCAGATAACATCAGAGCAGGCGTGAAGCTCAGGAGCGTTCCCCCCACGCCCCGAGGAACAGGGCCAGGTGGGAGGAGGTCTGTTCCCCCCACGCCTAGAGGAATTGCAGCAGGAGGGGGAAGGAGTGTTCCCCCAACACCTAGAGGGGTTGGAGGTGCAGGGGGAGGGAGGAGCGTTCCCCCCACACCCCGCACGCCGGCAGTGGAGCATTCCGGGAGGCTAAAGGGTTCTGTTCCTCCTGCCACACCTAGCACGAGAAGTGCTGCTCTCCCTCCCCGCCCTGCGCCTGCTTCTGCCGGTTCAGCTTCTGCTGTTCGTGTTGGCGCTGCTGCTGCTGCAGCAGCATTGCCATCTGCTGTTGTGCCATCAGCAGGAGCAGTGCCAGTGCCTCCATGTGAAAGCGGATTTGAAGCACCACTTGCAGCAACAACAGCAGCAACAGCGGCCACAACAGCAGCAACAACAATTGCAGCAACACCAGCGCTCTCAGCAGCAGCAGAACCATCAATAGCAGGCGGGGCAGAGGCAGCATCATCAACAGCAGCAGCAGGAGCACGACAGCAAGTGCACCGAGCTGCCACCACAGGTGCAGCCATAGCAGCACGGAGTCAGGAGGAGCAAGGGCCAGCACGGCCACCGCTGAGACGCGCCTCTTCCGCTTACGAGTCAGGCCCTGGTGATTCCAATCACGATGATCCTGCTGGGGGGGGTTGCACAGGGGAAGGCAGCAGAGGCAAAGGCGGAAGGGGCGCGGGTGCTGGGGCGCGAGGGAGGGGCGGAGTGACTGGGTACAGATGGGTGACGAGGTTTGGCGCGAGGAAGGGGATTGCGATGGCGGTGGTGGGAAGGCCGGTGCCGATCGCCGGGGTTGCAAGTGATGACGGGGAGCCTCGTGCTGGGGCTGCTAGAGGGCGGGGCACAGCACGGGGAGGAGGGCCCAGGTGGGCTGTGAGTAGGGGAGGAGGAGGTGGTAAGTGGATGGGGAGAGAGGGAGGGGAAGGTGGAGGAGGGGGGTTGGGTGGTGGTGATGGTGGGGATTGTAATGGACGGAAGTTGACGTTAGGGGAGATGGTTGCAGCTAGGATGCACCGGCGGGCGATGAGTGACATGGGTAGCTGGTCCAGCCGAGACAGGGCTGTTGCTGCTGTTGCTGCTGATTGTGATGGTGATGGTGATGGTGATGGTGATGATGATGATGATGGGGGGGGTGATGGTGGTGTTGGTGATGGTGATGGAAGAAGAAAAGAACGGGAGGTGGAGGAGCAACGGAGATGTAATCAGGAATTTAGGAAGAAGGAGGAGGTGGAGAGGGGAGAGGAGGAGGGTGAGGAAAAGGACGAGAAGGAAGAGGGGGAAGAGGGGGATGAGGAGGAGGAGGAGCACATGAATGCATCTGCCTTTGTGAGGCAGATGCGTCTGCCAAGCAGGGGACGAGTGGCTTCGCCATCTCTTCCCCCTCTGTCCTCACGCGCTTCTACCTCCTCCACCAGTCATAGCACCCAAACCCCGGACGTGTTCACATGCAGGCAGCGAAGTATGCCTGGCAACAGCGACAGCGACAGTGAGAGTGATAGTGATAGTGATACTCATGCTAACGCTGCTGCTGCTGCTGATGATGATGATGCGGGTGGTGGTGGTCGTGTGGGGACGAGCAGAGCTGGACCGAATGGGGTTCTGGAGAGTGATTCCCGCAAGTGCATGGCGTTCAAGCGGAGCCCTCTGAACGGGGTGATCGCCGCAACCCCTCGCACGCAGCAGGTGTGGGCAGAGCAGCACGGCAGCACCACCAACAACCTTCCCGCTGCCCGTCTACACTCCCACCCCCACGCTCCCACTGCCGCTCCTTCTACTGATACAGCCGCAGGAGCGGCACTGGCAGTAGCAGAGCGGCAGGAGGAGGAGGAGGAGGAGGAGAAGAAGGTGGCAGAAGAGTTAGAGGAAGAGGAGGAGGGAAAAGAGTGGAGGGTGTATGACGATGTAGCGGCGTGGCAGCAATGGCGCAGGAGCAGGGGAGAAGAGTCCGGGGACGAGGGTGATGTGAGTGGCAACATCGGACCCGGTGCATACCATTTCCTTAAAGCCCAGTCCACAGGCAATATTTGGGTTACCTCCGCAGGTGTTAATACCCTTGCATCTAACACGCCCTCTATAGCCTTTCTGCACAGTCAAAGCACACACATGGGGGGATCTGATTCTAGGTCTGTTAGTGGAGGAGGAGTGCCAACTGGAAGTCTACATGGGCATGGCAAGGTCTCACCGGTGCATCAATCAGTCTCAGGCTCGGGCTCTAGGTGTGGGGCCCCCAGCTACCCACCCTCCGCTGCAGCGATCTCTGCAGCAGGTTCGGATTACGACCGAGCAGGCGGGTCGCTCTATAGGGGGTACAGCGGGGGAGAGATGAGCGATGCGGCAGCTGCAGTGGAGAGGAGCATGCGGAGGGAGGCAGCAGCTGCGCTTGCAGCAGCAGCGGTGGCTGCAGCAACAGGGGTAAGAGGCTCCACGAGCTTGCGACCTCGCCCGTCTCCCCGCGTCTCTGGCCGGAACAGCAAGGCGGCAGCTGCAGGGCGGGCAGCTGTGGAGAGAGAGGTTGAGAGGGAGAGGGCAGGGAGGCGGAGGAGGGGAGAGGCTGGGCGAGAATCCGATGATGCATTTGGGTTTGAGGAGTCACAGAGGAGCAGGATGCATGCGGAAAGGGAGGGGATGTTGCAGGCGAGCAGCCAGGGTCCTGCTGTGCTCTATGCGTCTTTTGAGGCGCCTCAAAAGTCGTTACTGGGCACGAGTCAGGGTCGTGCTGGGCTCTATGCATCGGGTGCTGCGGGTGTGTCGCGGGCATCAGCTGTGCGTGTCGCGTACGGGTGTCACAGGGGGGGACCTGTGGCTGAATTGGCACGGAGAGAAGCCTTGGAGGGGTTTCCCAGGTGCCAGAGCGAGCCTGGCAAGATGTGTCTGGAACAGAGGGGGCGATTGGAGCATGGGGAGGAGGACGGAGGAGAGGGGCTGGTGTGGGATGGTTTGGATGGTTTGGAAGGGAGCAAGCAGGAGGAGGATTATTTTGCGTTTGAAGACGAGGGGGTGCGTGGGAAGGGTTGGGATGTGGCCGGTGGAGAGAGGGGTGAGGGCAGAGAGGGCTGCGAGGCGGAGGGGTTTGATAGTGGTGGCAGCGGCACTACCACCATCAGCACCAGCAGCTGTGGCACTGGTAACAGCAACAGCAGCAGCAGTGCCAGCGGCAGCAGCAGCGTTCCCACCAGCCGTGCCAGCAGCAACAGCCCTGCAGCACCAAAGGGGATACCTCTCGCTGCCTATCCTCCCCGGGGTGTGTCTCCTCCCCCGGGTGTGTTGCCAGAAGGGAGTGAGGTATCACTGAGAGGGACGAAACCGGCAATCCGAGGGCTATATGTGAAAGATGTGGTGAGCAAGTGGGAAGGGGGAGCGGGCGGGGGCGCGGGAGGGAGGATTGACGAGAGCGACTGGGAGACCGGGGAGGTGGAGGAAGCGGAGAGTGGCCGGGAGAGACAGAGGAGGACGATGTTCCAGAGAGGGGGGGGGTGGATGAGGCAAGTGGGGGGGGAGAGTGAGGGAGCTGGGAGTGGTGTTGATTGTTATGCAGGTGGGCAGCACCAGGGCGTAGGGCACTTGGTCGAAAGCCGTGGGCAGCTTGGGAGTGCGAGCAGAGGCGGATGTGAGAAGGTGGACGATTGCGAGAATTCTCAACACGTGAATGAGCGTGCCTGTCGGGGGGCAGGGGTTGAGGGTGTTGATGCTGCTGACAGCCATGGCAGTGCTTGTGGCAATTCTCATCCGTCTGCTGATACTAACAGTGGTGCTTTAGCTTCTCCTGAGCTTGATTGTCCTGGTGGTGCGGGTGAAGACCCCACCAGTGGTAATGGAGATGGCAATGGGGATGGTGATGGTGATGATGATTACGCTGGTGTGCCGGTGTCTGCTGCTGCATGGCAATGGGAGCTGTCTCTCTCTGACCGTCTAACGCAGTTTCTAGACATAGCAAGGGCGAAGAGGGAGGGGCTGGTACGGCAAATGGAGGAGAGCAAGCAGCAGTTCCAGCAGCTTGCAACGTTTCTGGGAGAACCACCCTCCTCTACTCCCCAGGTGCGTGTTGTGTCTGCTGCACGTGTGAAATCTAAATCCGTGCCAGCTGTTTTCCTGTGCATCTGTCGTTCTGCTGTTATGTGATTTTGTGAGTCTTGCTGTCGGATTCCACTGAACGAGTTGCTCATGTTGTGCGGTGGTTGGATGTTCTGTGTGTTGCTCTGTCCAGGCGATCTTTGGGGCACTGGCGCGGTTTGCAGAGGCGTTTGATAAGAGCCAACGGGCTGTTGGCCTTCTGTAGCGCAGTGCGGTGCAGTGCAGTGCAGTGCAGTGCAGTACAGTGCAACCTGCAGCATATGCTGCCCACATGCTCCAGCATACTTCAGCCCTTTCCAAGTTTATCCGTCGTTTTCATTTACCTGAAAGATGCATCTGTACGGTGTCTATGGGTACTACCGTACCTTTCTGTTCCACTTCAGAGGGGACAGTAAGTGCTGTAGATAATGTTGATGTGCTATCTTCTCCTCAGCTGTGGGAACACGAGGCATCGTGCGTGCTCGTAATGATGCCCTTGCCTATTACAGCATCCCCACGAAAATTAACTACTTGTCACAGTAGCTTTATTTGAAAGGTTTGGTTCAGTAGGGTGGTATGTCATCTCCACACCCACATACATCCTTTCACATAATTATGACGTATGATATGCAAAAATTGTAAACGAGTGTGGTACTGATACATTAGACAAGAAAGCCACCCGCCCTCAAACCTCCCCCGATAGAATGTTCCAGGCCCTTCGTGGTTGGCCGTACCGATAGTTCACCCCCTCGCCCATACCCTTCCTGAATCTTCTTCCCCCACTCCCCCCTAGGTTTGCTGCAGTAAACTAACCTGTACTGTACCCTTATCCGCTCTTGTCCAGAGGACAATCCCAAGGTAGAAAGATTGCTGCATTCCACCAGCATGCGCCTTTTCCGCCTGGCCTTCTCCCTCCATGGCCTCGCTGGTGGCGTTTTATCGCAGCGGATACATCAGCTTGAGAACGGGGTGCATGGACTCTACTATATGAACGACCAGGCCGCGTCTCAGTCGATCGTGTTTAAAACCGGAGGTCCAAGAGTTTCGAAGTTAGGAAGGTTGATAAGAAAAGTGACTGGCTCGCGAGCCAGGGTGGTGTCGAAATCAGTGGTAGCGGGTCGCGAAGTATTATACACTCGCGAGTGTAACCAGATCTGGAATGCTACGTCCGAACTGGTTCGCAGACTGTTTCGGGCGGGCTGCAATTTTGTTTGCGAAGTTGTCACTGCTATCGTCCTCGCGAGAACAGTAATTTCGCTTGGCGAAAATCGTCCCAACAATTTGCGAGGAGAGTCGCTATCAACTGGGTCACGCCCAACCAAAGTTAGGAAGGTTGAGGCAGTTTTGGGCTGTTTTGGGCTGTTTGGGACAGCTGAATCGCCGAGTCAGCTCCTTTCCCCGAGCCGCTTTCCAAAACCTGCGCTTTGTTCTCGACAGCTTCGAGAGTTTTTCAAACAAGGAAGGGTATAGAATAAAGGAGCCAGCTGCCGTTATGGGAAGCCCCATCGGCTCGCCTCTCACAAACCCTCCTACGTCTCCCCTTCGCGAAGCCCCTTTTCCGTCCGCCGCCAACTTTTCCGTCGGGGCGCATTCGGTGCAACCCGCCGCGCCTTCCTGCGCCACCCCGGCGGCGTGCACCTCTTTCCCCTTGGCTCCGCCCGCGCACGCGCTAGCGACGGGCGCGGAAACGCTTCCCCGCATGGCAATTCCTGCGGTTTTTCCGGAAGCTTCCGCCTTTGGCGCTGCGGCGTCACGTGGCTGGACAGGCGTAGCCTGCGGGGCTGACGCGCTAAGGCTGGGATGTAAGCGCAAGGGAGGCGCATGGATGGGGGGAGACGGAGGAGCAGGCGGAGCGGACGTTGGGATTCCGGGAGTTGGTGTGGCGGGCAGGGGGAGCGCAACGGGGATGGATGGAGTGGTGGGCGGGATGCGGAATGAGGCCGTGGCAGACATGGCGGATTTGGGGAATCCAGCAAAGCGGGCGAGACTGCAGGTCAGTGCATCTGCACAGCAACTCCTTCAGGCCATCTCGTTCTGCAAAGCCATTTCTTTGAGCGAGGGGTGTTGTCTTTGCCGGATTTTGCATTGCTCTCTCCATGGCACCACTAGTTGCGATTAGCAGCACCGATATATGTCGGGTTGTGCTGTTCTATCAAGCCTCGCTTCTTATCTCTAATCCCTCACGGGTTCCCCTCCCGTCTCTTTTCCTCCCATCTTTCCTGCTGCCTCTCTTGCCCATTTCCCTCCCTCGCAGCTTCCAGTGCCTTTAGTAGCACCATCAGCACCAGCGGACCCTGCATACGCAGTCTCTGCTCTACCAACCACATCGGATCTTTTTGCACCTCCCTCCATCTCTCCTACCTCCGCCTCTCCATCCTCCCCAGTCCTCCGCGCCCTAACCCCTCCTCCGTCACCCCCTCTCTCGCCTACATCTATGCAAGCCTCCGCTTTCCTCTCCACCCCATTCACTGCTCCTGCTGCTGCTGCAGCAGCTGCACCCATTCCGTCTGCCGCTCCTGTTGCATCGATCGCTGCTGCCATTCCAAGCAGCTACAGTGCCGTTGCCCCCATCGATGCTACTGCACCTACCTCTCAACCACCTTTCCAGGGCGCATGCTCTATGGACACAATTTCTGGATCCCCACACACGCCACTGCACGCACAACTGCAGTCTTCGCCACCACCCACTGCACCCTTTCCATTGCAAGAAGCAGACAATCAGAAAGCTATTGTCCTGTATTCCCCTCCTTTCATCCCCTCTCTCTCCACGGGCGCTGGCGCGGGTGCTGGCACTGGGAGGAGAGCAGAGCGAGAAGCCATGGCAGGAGCATCAGCGTCACTCGCAGCACGGGCAGCAATGCAGCAGTGGCCGATAGAGAAGCTCAAAGCGGCATGGGCGGGGGCCAGCCCTATGGAAAAAAGGGTGCTTGGGGGCATGATTGGGTCGTTGCTGCAGGGCCAGCCGATTCAGATCTTGGGAGGGAGCAAGCTGCTGGAAGGTATGCCGCCCTGGCTGGCTGTGTTCTGCTCAGGCTCTGCATGTTCTGCTGGCGTATTGTTATCTTGCTTCTGCTGTCATTTTCCCTGCATCCAGCCTTGACTCTTCGTTCCTCTCTGACTGCTCTCTGCATCCGCCTGCTCTTCCCTTGCCTGTTCGTTTCTTTTGCAGCCCTTCAGCTCCATCCACCTGTTGTCGCGGGTCGTGGCCTGGGAGAGGACGACACAGAGTTGAAAGCACAGGAAGAGGGTGGAGAAGACGAAGACAAAGAAGACGAGTTGGAGCAATCAGAGCAGCAACCAGACTCTTTGATGGCAACAGCAGATGCCATGAATCTGGAGCACCAGAAAGTGGTCAGCAGCAGCTGTTATGAGGGAAACAATGGGGAGGACATGGAGTTGGCTGAATGATGGTTAGGATGTCACAAATTTGTCCACTTGAACATTGGGCTGTTGCTGATTTAAGCTTTTCGGTCTATTCCATTTTGCTTTGTTGCGTTAAGGTATGTTGATTGTGGGGAGTGAGGGATAATGGTACAGGTGCAAAGTTCAGGGTTTAGGGCTAACTTGTAGCAAATATTGTTAAAACCCAGGGTCCACAGGTTTCAAAGGTAGGAAGGATGGTTGGACTTAAGTGACAAAACCAAAGGTAGGAAGCTTGGTTGGACTTTGTGACCCAACCAAAGGTAGGAAGGATGAGGCAACCTCGGGATACTTGAGACTCCGGTTTTAACACCCCATTATTACAATTTGCCCACCTGAAGTTTTCCTTACTCGCCACGCGCTTCTCCCCACCCGTGTAATACCGTTGGTAACATGATGCGTTTGGTGGTGCTGATGGTGCTACATGAGACCCACAAAACGATTTGGTGAATGAGCTGATGTCCCGTTTTGTGGGGGGATATGTGACGAGACTCTGGGAAATTACCTTCTTTTAGTTACAGAAGGAAATCTTACAAGGAAATAAATAAGTTAATACCTGCCTAGGAAACTTTAGTACCACGGCTTCTAAAACTCCGTGCTGCCGCCATCTAAGCTGAGACAGGCTCGGCAACGGAAGAAACGTCAGTGGCATCGAGCTGCAGGTCGTACCGCTTGCCGCGCACCACAGCGTACAACTTGTCCGCCGCGATGTAGTCGCACGTGCGCTCCAGGCGGAAGGGCTCGCCAGGGATCTGCACAAATGCGGCAAGATGGGCATGGAAGTTAGGACGAGCTAAAAGCGAACGGTTCTTGACGATACCAGTAGCTGATGCGGGGAGTTACAAGGAATGGCGTAGTTACTACTGTCTCTAGAGACTATTACAAAAGAGTATGTCGTGTCAAGTTGACTGACCTGGTTTCCGGAGTGGATCTGAACGCCGGTGACGACGGCATAGTCAGCCGTGGCAGGGTCGACGGTGAGCGAGATGAGCTTCTCGAGATCCTCGTTGATAGCCTGCATGGCGGCCTTGGTGACCTGCACGAGCGACAGCAGCTCGCCCTCCTTCTTGCGCTGCACCTTCTCCATGACCTTGGTCTTGAGCAGTTGGTACTCCGCGTCGTCGTCGTCGGGGGACGGGCCGTTGCCCGCGTTGATGTCGTTCTTGATCGCGATCAGCGCACCGCAAGCGCTGGAGGATTTACCGCGGCCGCGACGCAGGAGAGAGCCCACCTCGCCGGACTCGCCGACGGACACGTGGGGGAACGCGAAAAAAATGTCTGGAAAAAGGAACACAGAGAAGATGTGTAAGGAGACTAAGCGTGGATAATCAGCAAATTGATATTTAAGAAGACGGATTTGTGTGGGTGAGATTAGAGAGAAATGGGAGAAATGGGACAGAGGCATTAAGTCGGCGGCATCAGCAACACACATTGTGTTAACGCCTTCGGGATTATCGTGGAAAGAATGTTTGGGGTTCCAGCGATTTTACTACAGGTATACCGGCACGTCACCTGGAAGCCGAATCAGCGAACCACAATATACAAACTTCGAGTCATGCATTTTCGCCCGCTTGCATCCAAGCGGAATCCACTAACTAATGTAACTCACATCGTTCCTTGATGGTGCCGTCAACGTCGCAGAGGAACTCGGGCGAGTGGCTCATGGCGGCCTTGAACCCCGTCTTGCCGCAGTTCACCAGCCCGCCGAGACCCGACACATTGAACGAGAGCCCGAACTCCTTATCGATCAGGTTCACGATCGGCCGGCACACCTCGTCACGGCACGTGTTCACGAGCGCAATGCCGTTGTCCTTGCGGAAGCCCAGCTTGTTTAGCTCCACGGCCACGGAGTGAAGGAACTCCTCCTCCTGCCTCGCGTTCGGGAAGAACTTCGCCATGGATGCAAGTGCGGGCAGTGCGGCCTGCTTCACGCGGGGAATGCCGCCAGCGGCGGGAGCTGCTGCAGCCGCGGGGGCAGCAGCCTCGGTAGCGGCGGCAGCTGCGGCGGGGGCGGCGGCGGGGGCTGCGGCCTGACCTGGGCTGGGGAAGGTGATGTTGACAACGTAGTAGGTGGCGCCGCCGCCAGGGCTGGGAACGGCACTGGTGTGTGTGACGATAGACTCGGCGCGCACTGAGCGGCTCTTGAAGCTGGTGCTTTTGTTGCAGGCACAGTTCTCAGCTGCGACGGAGGCGCTGGCCTTCTTAGAAAGTGCCTTCAGGCCCGAGAAAGCCGGGACATCTGCGGGCAAATGCAATGCCATCATTATAGAAAATATTAAAACAGTAATTCAGTAACACTCGATAGCCGACGCAGACGGCATCTTCAGATGTGTCCGCAAGAAGTGATGGTGTCAAGCGCGACAATGTTCAACTTACTGGCAGAGGAGAACACGGCCTTTGTCATTGACAGCGACTGAGCTGCAATGGCAGTGGAGGTGGCGAGAGTGGCAGCCATGATTGAAGTGTCTGCTGGAAGTTACGCTGCTGAAAGTGAGGGAGGGTCAAATTAGGCAGCGTAAATTGGGTGCATCGAACAAATGAGTTTCAAATGTTGCACATTAGCTCTCTTATCCTTGAAGGAAATGGAAGAGTAGTTGGGAGTGGGAGCGGGAGCGAGGGAGGACAATCACTAGACTGGAGTCTGGACCGGAGCGCGTTACTTGTTGGAGAGAGAGTGGGAGGGGCGGGGCGTGCCGGATTTCTGAGGAAGGTTGATTGCTGCGTCACCTTTGTGAAAATATGACGCTACAGGTGCCACGTGCATTGCCCCTCAAGAACTGCGGATGGCTACCCTCCAAGTTCACATCGGTCTGTCTGTCCTCGTCACCCAAAGTAGGTGCTTCGTCATGCCTATTGAAACTCCCATACACGAACGTGTCCGCGTGCAATAGGCACATTCGGGATCATCCGCGTGGGTCGTGCTGTGGTCGAGACATTCCTGGATGCATGAACCGAAAGTTGTTCTGGACACATTGAATTCCTTCGCGATGGCACTGAACTTTCGCATAGCTCCTTCTCGCGAATTTATTGGGCATTTATCTTAGCGGTAACACTCATGGAGCTCGATTGCACCCGAGCAAAGGTATCGTGTCATCGCCACTGTGGTAACCATCATGCCTAAATGGTCAATATTTTTGCCTGCATGGTAATGAACAGTGCATCCGGTATTCCTGGCTGGTAACTTCGCGTTTCAACCAGACTGTACACCGTACAAGTAGGGTTTGACTCAGTGAAGTGGTATGAACACTCTGAACTTGCACAGCCAGGTGACGGTGCTGCTCCGCCCTGCATGCACACCATTTTCATGGTGCGCCTGATTAAATAATATAAAATGAACTTTTATTCACCCCTATGAGTACATAAGAACCGCTGTCTCCAATCTCAACAAATCAGCTTGTTTTCGAGTAAAGGGTAATATGGTTTCTCTTTATCCATTCATATATGTTCTGCACGAACTCTTAAGTTTTGTGCGGGCTTGTTCTCATAGACAAAAACAAACACCCTACCCTATTTACATCGAATTCGTGCAGTATGGAAAGCTGATTTCGAAGCCTATCACGCATACAGGTGACATCCAATCTGGACCAACGCTGCGGCCGACCACCACCACCCTCCGTCAGGTACACCTAACCACCGCTATTTTCTTTCGGTCTAATTTCAACCCCAATTGCACGGGTGGGGTAAGTGCTTCGCATGAGAGATGTACCGTAAGTGCTTCATCAAGTATGCAAAACAAGAATCATTAAATTTTAGCGAGAGTCTGTTCCAGATCCCCAAAGAGAGTACTGTAGAATTGCGCTATAGATTCAAATTCGCATAAAGAGTTTAAACTTTGAGCATTAGGCGTCATTCATAGCCCCAGTCATCTAAGTGTCGAACTGAAATAGTCGAAAACGTGCAGGGTAACTTTGAAACGCGAGATTAGTGGGTTGGGTTTCCCCTTGAAAATAGCGGTGGTTAGGTGTACTTGTGACAGGCTTGTACAGTAAAGTTTCGGCAGAGGAGGATCCCTGGGACAGGAACGTCTCAAGCGTTTTTTTGGCAGCATCTTCACAAGTCGAGCAAGCCTGTTTATGGGGCAAAGTGGTTTGGTAACCGAGATACCAGCCGTATTATCGCATGCGCTGTCTGTTGCCTCACTTGATCATTTCCAAAATCACTAACCACCGAGGTGAGAGTCGTGACAGTGTGTTGGACGATTTGGCTGTCGCTCATCAAGTACATTTGCGTGCATCGGTTGTACATCTTATTTTCAACCAGCATGATGGGACCAGATTAAGCCTTCTCATGGCGTGTTCTAATCCTACCTGCAAATCTGGTTATTTCAGGGGGCATTCTGCTAGAAACGATCTCCGCGTTCGTTTCAAAGTACATTCAGTGAGCACGATATGGGTTTTCTTGTCACCCTGTAAAATACTGGCCAGCCCTGGACTGCAGAGTTGATTGTCACTGTATAGCAGTGCTAGGATAACTCCCCATACAAGGCGAGGAAATCTTACTCATTTTTTTGTGGTTGAGTGGTTGATCGTTAAGGTATGCAACTAATGATGTTGTGATTGTAAACTGCATGTACACCCTGTTTCGCGCCACACTGTCATTGGCTATACTGGTTGATCGGATAAACACACATCAATGCATCCAGGATGGTCCCAGAACGTACCATATAAGCACGTTTGCCCGCAGTCAACCGTACGCTTAAGAACGTGAGCCCAATCGGCTTTGATCGGCTCAGATATGATCGGGTTGGATTGGATCGAATTGCTTGCGATCGTTTTTCTCGCGCCGCCCAATCAGAATTGATTTTCCTCGAATATTCTGCGCTCTTGCATAACAACCGGTGGCCCATTACCTGGTAGTTGCACCCCAACTTTGGCGAGATGGGCGAATCCAAGTATCGTGGTAATGTCGCAAATATCGCACTGTGCACAGGGTCCGCTACAGAACAATTTTCGTTGGTCTGTATGTATGAGCAAGAATTTTAGAGACCTCATGGCGAGGCATGTTACATGTCGCTTATATCGCCTAGGGCCCCGATCACATGCAATCAAGTGATCGGGGCTGATTGTGTCTGATCAGGTCTGATCGGGCTGTTCGAGGCGGTTGATCGAGCTGGCGCGATCAGCTGATCGCCCCCGATTGCCTGAAATTGGCTTCTCGCCTTTCTCGAAGTTATTGATCGCCTCTGATCGCGCCGATCAAAGTCGATTGGGCCCACGTCGTTGTGTACCGTTCACCAGGAGAGCATTTGCCCGTCACCTACCTACAGTTCAGTTGTAAGCACTAGACCGCTACGTTCCAAGCAGCAGTACGCACTGTAGCCAGTGAATCCCATTGCCAGTGTAGCGAGATAGAGGGTGTACACACACCGAGGTCTCCCGTCTCGTATGACTCAATGCTCCGATTGAGCGCTGCACTCCATTACCAAAAGTGAACGTGCTTTCTGTTCCGACACTGGACTACGAGGCATGCACGGTTTTGGGGCATTTTCTGAAACCTTTACCTCAAATCTCGAATCCACGAGAAATGCATTTGACAAAAGACGGGTTGTGTGCGTGGTATTTCACTGACTAATAAGCTTGACCGTTAACCCGTTTTTCCTTTCAGCTAATCACAGTTTCCACCTGCAATAAAACTGAAGGCGTAGGAAAACCGACGAAGTTAACGCGTGAACTAAGTCTGTGAGTGACTGAAGGTCCCTGAAGAAGGTTAGGAAAAGGTAGGATATACGGAAGCTCTCTTCACTTTGTTCACACCAGCACTTTTTGGGTTGACCATCTTGGTAACTCATTAGCAGTGATGAATTACTTTGGCCAGGTCTACCTGAGTCCTTTCTGCCTGAAGCGAGGCACAATACATGAAAAGCCTGTCACCAGACCAGATTTTGTGGGACCAGTGTGGTTTTCTGGCAGTGAGCTGGAGCTGAGAAAGGTGTCCTTGGTGGGGGGCGGACTGGCGGAGAAAGCCGAATACACGCGGTGCAGTGATGGAAGAAGGATCGCGAGTGGAGTCTCGCGAATCGAGTCCAGACCAGACTCCACCACACCCCAGCGATCGTGGGAGATTACTAAGGGGTACTCCCGCCCAACCACCAATTCATCTCTCTGTATGCTGCCCACTTTTCACATCGACCATGGAGTTGTAACATGAGCTCTTCTGTTCCACCTGGGACAAAGGCAACAGCGAATCCTGCTCCATTGACATGGACTCGGTTTGCTCAACAGATTCATCAGGCAGCACCAACACGTGTAGTGATTATCGACCTACGCATTCCATTGAGTCATCACCTAACGAAAGTTACGTTGTATGCGGAATCTCACATCAGAAAAAGGCTCACCGCAGCCCTCGCCGTCAGTCGCTTTCTGCTGCTTTTCCTCGCAAATGCAGCAGCACAAGCAGCCCTAACGGTAAATCCGAATCCCGTTCTCCGTTCCTGATATTCGAAACGATCCCTCGCTTATCAATCACCAGTACCCCGAACGCTGAAACAGGCGGTAGTAACGGCGGTGGCGAGGGTGCTACTACTTCCGATCACAAATCAGCGATAAGGGTCAGCGCAGCTGCTACGACTTCTCTTGCAGTTTCTAATACTGCTACGACTGTAACGAGTGCTAGTACTTCGACACCTGCTACCACCAGCACTGCTGTCCGTAGCCCTAGCTCCTCCATCGCGTCGCTCTTATCCCCACGCAAGCGAACCGAAGCGTTCTTCCGTAGAAGCTCCAGTCAGCCACCCACTCCTAAAACGCCAGGTGGCACCAGCTTATTGCTCAAAGCATTGCACATTCCGCGGAGGTCCGTCGAGCTTGGGTCTCCGCGGAAAGGCGGCAGCAGCAATAGCCCCAGAAAATTAGGTTGTGATAGTACTATTACTAGTACTACTAGTGTGCCTTCTCCGCCATCCAATTTGTCGCCACCCTCGCTCTCTTCATCCTCGTCTACAGCTTCCTCGTTACCGGCGCGGCGCGCCGTTTCCACAACACCCGCTCCAATCACAGCGCCGCTTACGTCCACTCGCATTCCCTCTTCCTCCGCCGCCGCCTCCTCCTCTTCCCCACCCCATTCCTCCTCTCCGCACTCGCAATCCGCCTCCGCGCGTGCGAGCGCGCCTTCTAGCGCGACTCCCATCCCCTCGTCCGCCGCGCCCAGCCTCACCTGCAGCAGCGGCACTGGCGGCGGAACTCGCGGGGCCGTGATTCGCGGCGCAACGACCACCGCCAGTGTCACCGCCACGACGACTAACACCACCACCACCGTCACCACCACTACCACGACGTTACCATGCACCGGTGAAACGGGCCGGTCAGGATCGATGGCGGGAGCAAGTGAGGATTCTTCCGCGCAGGTCCTATCCGCGCGAGGCTCGTACGCGCAGGTCGTATCTGGGCAAGGCTCATCTCCGCGCGACGATGTGGCGGGTACTAACGCAGTAGCGCCTCGCGAAGGAAGCGCTACTAAGAATGGTTCCGCCCCCCGCGCCGCTGTTGGTGCTTCTGCTTCGGATATGGTCGCTGCCTGCGACGCGAATGGCGTCGCGAGATCTGCGGCAGCCGCTCGTTCCGCTTCCGCCTTTGCGACTCCGCCGCTCACCTCCCCCCATCCGCGGACACCTCCGCAGGAATTCCCCCCTCTTAAAGCCCCCATTTCTCCCGCATCTGCGACAACCCTTTCCCCCCATACCTCTGGATTAGCGCCTCTTCATTCCCCGAAACCCCCCGCCCATGCATTGTCTTCCCCCGGCTCCGCCTCCGCCTCCGCCTCTGCGGCATCCGCTCCACCCGCTTCCACCGCACCAGTGTCCCCGCTGGCGCTGCAGTTCGTGCGCCAGTCGCGCGCCATGATGCTTCTCTTGGACCGCCAGTCCGCGGAAGTGCTCGCCGCCAGTCGCGCGGCGCTGACGGCGCTCGGGCAGGCGGAGGACGGGGAGAGCGCGCAGGGGCAGGCGCAAAGCGCGGGCGCGGGCGGGCGGAAGAGTTTGTTCGACTTGACGGGCGACGTGAGCGCAGAGCAGTGGCAGCGCGCCGTGAGCGACGCGGTGGCGTCCGCCGCGGTGCTGCGCTTCAACGTGCGCGACTCGGGGGCGGGCGGGCACCTGGCGGGGCGGCAGGTGGATCTGATGCTGCAGCCGTGCCAGTTCGCGCAGGATGCGCGCTCGCTCGTCGGTACCTTCGCCATTGTCAACCAACACACGGGCCCCTTGCTCGCCACCAGCAGCAGCAGCAGCAGCAGCAGCAGCGGCAATAGCATCGCAGCAGCGGAGGTTTCCGGATATGGAGGCTCGGAGGGGGGTTTCCTACCCAGTAGCAGTTCAGGCGGCGGGGGAAAGCTGAGTGGCAAGAAGATGCGGCAAAAGATAGCGGTGCTTTTAGGGTTTCAGGAGGAGTCAGGGGGAGCGATGCAGGTCTTGGCGCCTCTCCCCGCCATCCAAACCTCGCACAGCTCTGGGTCGGCCCAAACCACACCTAGAGGTTCGGTAACCCCTCGCGGTAGCTTCTCGTTGAAGAGCCGAGGGGCCGTGTCGGGTCCTCTCGCGTTCATCGCCTCTCCTACTTCTTCTACTTCTTCATCCGCTGCTGCCGCTGCCGCCGCCGCTGCTGCTGATGCTGGTGGCGGTACTGGCGCTGGTTCCAGCAATGAGATCGGCTCAACTGGTGGGACATTGGTTGGGTCAAATAAGCCTTCCACCCCGCGCTCCATGCTCAAACTCCCCACCTTCCACTCCTCCTCCTCCTCATCCTCCTCCTCCGCCTCCTCCTCCTCATCCTCCTTTGCTGTAACCTCTTCCGATTCGTCCGGTTCTCACAGTACCTTCTCCTTTCACTCAGACGCGCCCAAGGCGGACATTCCGCGGCCCCTCAGCGCAAGATTCCTCTCCCGCCCGCCCGGATTCGAACCCCCCAGGTCGGAGCGTCGCCAGGCCACCACGCCTGGACGCAGGCTCGGCTTGTCGTCTGTTAAGGATGTGTTTTCCGGACCACTGGGGCAGGGTCGGGAGGGCAGGGACGGGAGGGGTGGACGACAGGGTAAGGAAGGGTCGGGCGGAGAGAGAGTAACAGAGAGAGCAGGCGGGAAATCAGCTGAGAAAGCAGCCGAACAAGCAGCGGAGAAAGCAGCCGAGAAAGCAGAGAAAGCAGCAGAAAAGGCAGTAGGAAAGGGGGTTGAGAAAGCGGCGTCTGCAGGAGCAGGCAGGGAGGAGGAGAAGGCGGGAGGGAAGGGATTCCGTGTGCTGTCTAGGAGGGAGAACAGGAGCCGGGGGGGGTCATTGACAGAGTCGGATGGGATTCTGGGGAAGGGGAAGAGGGGGAGCAGCTGGGGTAGCTTTGGTAGCTTCGATGGCGGGTTTATGGGCGTGGCTGCTGCTGCCGCTGGTGCTTTGTCCGGCCCTGCTGTTGTCGCCCCTGCTGCCGGTTCTGGTGGTGGTGCTGCTGCTGGTGCCGACTCTGCTGCTGCCGCCGCCGCCGCCGCTGCTGCTGCTACTGTCACCACGAGTCCTGATGTTGCTGCTGATAACCATGCGTGTGGTGCCACTTTCTCAGGCAGCAATATGAGCACCAGAAGTGGCAGCAGCAGCCCCGCCAAAGGCCCCATCAAGCCGCCTGTTTTCCGCTCCCTGTCTAACGCCGACGTGTGTGAAAGCAACGCTGACAGCGGCAGTAACAGCGGCGACAACGGTGGCGACAACAGCGTGAGCCTGGTGAGCAGCGGCAGTAGCAGCGGCAAGGCCCCGCCTCTGGCCAAGTCAGGGTCGTTCGGGTCTGGAAAGCGCAAGGACCTGAGGGTCGCCATTCCGCCTGATGGGTTGCAGGAAGGCGTGGAAGTGGAGAACACCGAGGGGGGCGCGCGGGGTGGGGCGGGGGAAGCAGGAGAGGCGGGAGCAGGGGAGGCGGGAGCAGGAGAGGAAGCAGGAGAGGAGGACAGGTTGGTGGGCGGACAAGCAGGAGAGGTGAGGGAGGAGGGAGAGGAGGGGAAGAAGAGGGGTGGAAAGTTGGGTGGGGAGAAGGTTCCAGATCGGGGTGAGGGAGTGCGAGGTAAGGAGGAGGAGGACGAGCAGCGACAAGGAGGTGATGATAGGGATGAGAGAAGGATTGTGGCGATAGAGGGAGCAGGTCGGGGAGGCGGTGATTTGGTGGTGGTGGGTGGTGGTAGCAGTGGAGTGTGTGAGAAGGAGAGGAGTGGTGATGAAGCGGAGGAGAAGGTTATGCAAGGTGCTGCAAGCAGTTCAGGCATGCGGCACGAGCAGCTTGGGATTGGGATTGGGAGTGGTAACGGGGAAGAATCGCTGCAGCAGTGGCATGGCATGGACGCTCTGAGAAACGCATCGTCCGTTGCAGAGGCGGATGCAGGGGAAAGAAGAGAGGCGGGAGTAGCGGGAAGAGCAGGAGGAGGAGGAGGAGGAGGTGGTGGGGAAGGAAGTGAGGAGAAGCGAGGATTGAGGAACGAAGCGGGCAGCGGCGATGCGGACGCAGGGCACAGGGAAGGAGACCATGCAGAGAGCAAGGAGGGGGCTGCAGGGTTGCGAGAGAGGCGGGGCATCGCATTGCGAGTCGGGAACCTCGCTGTGAGTCAAGGCGGCAGGGAGAGAAAGCACAGCAGCCTTGGCAGCCTGGGGAGCGGCGGCAGCAGGATCAGCCAGTGCGTGTACACGCCGTCACTGGAAGGCGAAGGTGATGCGTGCAGCCCTGATGCTGCTGGCCAGCAGAAGCACCGTAGCAGCCTCGGGACGACGAGTCCCCACAGCGATAACGATGCTGCTGCTGCTGCTGCTGGTGGCGGTGGCGGCGGCGGTGGCGGCGGCGGTGGCGGTGGTGGTGGCAGCAGCGTGAAGTGGCATGTGCTCCCGCGGAAGCTGCTCACTCCGAAACGCTCTCCTCTCGCGTCCGAACGGTCGCCTACGATTGCAGAGATCTTGGGTGAGGGCGAGTGTGGCGAGGGGGGTAGAGAGGGGCGCAGGGGGAAGGAACAGGGAGGGAAGGAGGAGGGAGAGGAGGAAATTAAGGAGGAGGGGGTTGCTGTGCTTAAGAATGGATCTGGGGGAAAGGAGAGAGAGGGAGGGAAGGGCAGGGAGGGTGTGGGGATGAGGGTTAGGACTGGTGGGCAAGCGGATGGTAGGAGTGAGAAAGAGGAGGTGGAGGATGGAGGGAGGGAGGGTGGAGTGAAGGCAGAAAGTTTAGGGACAAAGGGAGACGGTGAGGCTTTTGATGCAGAGGCAAAGAACGGGGAGAAGGACGGAGAGGTGAGAGAGGAGGAGGAGAAGGAGGAAGAGGAGAAAACGGAGGAGGGGAAGAAGGGGGAGGACAAGGAGAAGGGGGAGAGTGAGAAGGAAGGGGAGGAGTTGCCTCTGGTGGGTGTGTGGAGGGAGGGGAACGGATGGCTGGTGTGGCTTAACTTTGAAGGAGACGCATGGATGGAAATGGAGACTGATGAGAGGAGTGGCGGCGGCAGCAGCAGGTGGCTCAACGCTGTGAGCTCCCTGCTAAAGCCAGGAGAAGAGAAGGGCGTGGGAGGGGGCAAGCGCGGTGCTGGAGACGGCACTGGTGGCGGCGGCGGTGAGAGGAGAAGGGGTGGCGGTGGCAGCGGCGGCGGCGGCAGTGGCGGTGGCGCATGGGCCAGTGATGGGGTTACCTTTGCCCCCACTGCCTCGCTTGGTGCTGGTAGCGGTAGCAGCAGGCAGGAGGCCGGGGAGGCGACGAGTGGGGGTGGTGGAGGCGGCAGGAGGATCGGAAGGAAGGGGCTGTCTCACGTGCGTGACTCGGTGACCTATGCCCCGGGCCAGCACCAAAACTCGGGGGATTATACTGATGAGCAGCAGCAGCTGCAGCTGCAGGACGAGAATGTACAGTCTGAGAAAGGAGGTCGCAGGGCAGGGCGGAGCAAGAGTCACGGGTTCTTCACTCCCCGGGAGATCAGCGCTGCTCTGGGTGGTGCTGGCCACGGGCACGGGCACGGGCACGGGCATGGGCACGGGCACAGCAGCAGCATTGGAAGCCTGAGGGGGTTGAAGTCCCTGGGTGCTCGTGGCAGTCGGAGCATGCGCGTGCCCAGCCATGTGGCATCTGCTGCCATTCCTGCTGCTGCTGCTGCTGCTGATTATGATGAGGAGGAGGAGGAGGAGGATGAGGAGGACGAGGAGGAGGGAGAGGAGAGGGAGGAGGGGAATGAAGGCGGTGGAAGTGGGGGGGGGGGACAAGCACGGCAGCGGAAGCAAAAGCAGCAGTGGTTGGAGGAAGGAGGGGGGCTGGGAGCAGGGGAGGAGGACGATTGGTTGGATTTGGGCGACAAGGACACAGGCAGTGCAGCAGAGGGGCAAGTGAGGGAGAAAAGAGGGCGGGTACAAGTGCGGGGTTCAGTGCGAGGGCAAGTGCGAGGGTCAGGCCAAGACCAAGTGCAGCCTAGAAGGAGGTCTACAAGTTGCGATGCAGTGCGGTTGAGGGGGATGGAGCGGGATGAGGAGGATGCATGCAGGGATCACACGGGTCGTGACCACGCACATGCTGCTGCTGCTGCTGCCGCCGCTCCTGCTGCTGCTACCGCCCCTGCTGCATCTGATGTTGGTCCTGATACCATGATTGCCACACAATCGGAGGCTGCAGTTGCTGCCAGCCCTCCTGCTCCAACCCTTACCACTCCAACCGACGGCTCACCATGTGCTTCAAAATCACCCTGTCTCTCTCCAAGCGTTTCAAGCGTTCACGCTGCAGGAGGAGTGGGGGGGAATGTGGTTGAGCAGGCAGGTTCTGAGCCGGCCGAAGCAACTCAAACAGCAAGTGGAGACGTGGTGGTGGGGGGGGTGGTGCTCGGGACACCCTCCTCTTCGTCTCATGATCCTGTTGCTTCTTTCTCCCACGATGCGCTTCCTGCATCTGCTGCTTCTGCTGCTGCTGCTGCCCCGGCCGTGCTGCGTGGTGAGATAATGGTAACGCCACGTGTGTCACTGGTGATCTCCGATGGAGATGCTGCAATAGCAGGAGCAGGATCAAAATTACGAGCAGGAGCAGGAGCAGGAGCAGGAGCAGGAGCAGAAGCAGAAGCAGAAGCAGGGGCGGACACTGCAGCTGCTGCTGTCGCCGGCACCACTGCCAATAGTCCTCTCTTTAACTCCTCTCTTCCTGGGGAAGTGAGTGCAGGGAGTGTAGAGAAAGCAAGGGGCGACGGCGTTTTCCCTGGTGCAGCAGCATTGGAAACAGCTGAGGAGGTTGATCAAGCGAGTGGTGACAAGGCAGAGGAAAATTTCTCTGCTAGTGGCAGCGGTGAGGGGAACAGCAGAGGCATGAGGCTGGATGCAACAGCAGAAGAGGTGCAGGAGGTGGGTGGGGAGAGCAGATGGGTGGACGATGAGGGGACAAAAGAGGGGGCAGAGAGAGAGGGAGAGGATATTCCTGGTGTGGACGAAGGGAGAGAGGAAGGCGGGAGGGTGAGGTTCGATGTGAGGGAAGAACGGGACGGGGAGGCGGGCGAAGGGGCAGTGGTGGAGGAGGGTAAAGCGACCGAGTCTACTGTTCGTAGAACCCGCTCAACAACCCCTACCTCCCGTGAGCAGAAAAAATCCGCCGCTTTGCCTTCTGCTGCCTCGGTTGCTGGTAGTGGTGCTGGTGGGGATGGTGGCGGCAGTGGTCGGCCAAAGGCAGGGGGAGCAAAGCGGAAGGGCAGCGCAGGAGCGACAGCTGGAGCAGCAGGAGCAGGAGCAGCAGCAACAGCGGCAGCAGCGGCAGCGGCAGCAGCGGCAGCAGAGAAAGAGAAGCAGGCACGGAAGCCTGCAACGGGGAGGAGGCTCAGCTGGAGGCGCATCACTGTGGGCAGCACTGGTCCCACCACTCCTGGCAGCAGCAGCGGCAGTGGCATGGGTGGGGCGACGGACGGTGGGTATGGCAGCTTTGGTGGTGGTCTTAGCAGTGGTGGTTTTTCCAGCAGCAGCTTTGGTGGGAGTCTGGGGGCGAGCATTGTGGCTCTGAGCCTTGGAAATGCGAGCTTTAGCTCTAACTTGTCTCTGGGAGGGGATGGGAGGGGGTGGGAGGTGGGGAGGTGGGTGGAGGAAGGGGAGGAGGAGGGTGAAGAGGAGGGGAGGATTGAGGAGGAGGATGAGACAGTTCCTTCGCTCCCAGTGCCGTCGAGTGTCGATGAGAGCAGTGCTGTTGCTGCTGCTGCCCCTGCTGCACCTGTCGCTGCTCTCCCTCCTGCTGCTGCTGCCCCTACTGCTGATACCATTGCTGTTGCTGCGGATGCGGCAGCTTCTGCTGATGTCACTACTGCTGCAGGTCCTGTTATTTCTGATTCTGTCCAACCCAGTGATGTTGCCACTGCTGATACTGCCGCTGCCCCCATCCCTGAAGCAGCAGCAGCAGCAGCAGCAGCAGTAGCAGCAGACGAAGATAACAAAGGAGAAGAAGTGGAGGCTGGGGTGACAAGGCCGGGGAAAGAGAAGGAAAACAGGGAGCAAGATTCAGATGGGAATAATAGCCTTCCCAGCATCTGTGATATCAATTTCAAGGCAGGAGCCGAGGAGACGGAAGAGGAGGAGAAGGATGAAGGGTGGGCTGCATGTGACTTGGCAGGGGAGGTGATGATGGTTGAGAAGAGTGCAGTGGAGCAAGAGCTTAGGGAGCTAGAGCACCAACTGGCGGCCCTGCAGCAGCAGCTGATGGTGTTGGGTGCGGTGGAGTGTGGTGGTGATGGTGGGGCGGCCAAGGGAGAGGGTGAGAGAGGGGCTTTGGAGCGTGAGGGGACGGAAGAGGGAAGTGAGGAAGGGGGTATGGGGTGGAGAGAGAGTAGGCTGGGGGAGAGTGAAAAGGGAGAGGAGGCGAGGGTGGGCGAGGTAGTGGAGGGAAAAGGAGGAGAGGCTGAGGAGATTAAGGATGACTCCGGCAAGGGAGGGGAGGAGGAGGCAGCAATTGAAAGACGTAGAGGTGGTGGTGATGGTGCCTTGGAGAAAACTCGAGAGGAGGTGGAAGATGGGGCGATCTCAGTGGCGATGGGAAGCGAGGAGGAGGGCGGCAGCAGAGTGGAGGGCAGTGATGGGAGGAGGAGTGGGCATGTGCCGGAACACGCACCGTGCCTCGGGAGCTCGGACCAGTGTGTGAGGTGAGCTGTGCCCTGTGAGGTCAGGTCAGGTGAGTCCACTTCACGCAGCAGTTGTGTGGTCTAGTCGTCATGGTGAGTGGAGTGGAACCATGCTGGTCTCCCTCTCGATGTGGTGTGGTTCACCACATAGTCATCGTGGTTCACCACTGGTCATCATCTCGATGTGGTGTGGGTGCCATGGCGTATTGTGGCTGCTGACATGCCATGCCATCCATTGTGTCATGGACCCACCCACCCACCCACCCACCCACCCACCCACCCACCCTGCTCTGGCAACAACTTAAGTCCATGCATGCATGCATGGGGCCTTGCTTATAGGTCTCTTGTCCAAGTGGTTTACTAGTCCCTTCTCTTGTCCACTGGGGCACCTCCTTGCTCTTTTCTTCCCTGACTGTCCGTTTTAATCTGCTCGTCTCCATTGCTCCTTCACACATGTGCTTCTTGCAGGCATGTGATGGATCGCGGTGGAGTGGGGTACGCAGTGGTGGCAGCAGGCACTGGCGACATCATCACCTGCAACAACACCTTCCTCTCCCTCCTCCGCCTCGCCTCTCCTGCCCCTCACTGGCTCTCCGCTCTGGATCCCACCTCCGAGTCACAATTCCTGGTGAGCCTACAAGCGGTGTAAGCTGTTGTTCGCGACCCCTGAGAAACACCTGACATGAGATAGGCCAGGGTGGTGGGATCATAGCGGGAAGGACTGAAACTGGAGATTGAAGCAGAGCGCAGGAAGGAAGCATCTGTTCAAAAGGGCCACAGGTGCAAGATGTGGGTTGCAGATTCCTAGCGGAAGAAATAATGGAAGCAAGAAACGCATTCTTGTGACCGTTTCCTCTTGCACAGAGTTGAAAGTGTTCAAACCGTTTCCTCCTCATGCTCCCCACTCTACTGCCTGCTCCTTTGCTGAAACAATTGCCCCCCTGCCCCCTCGCTGTCCCAGGATTGGCTCAAAATGGCTACAAGTACCATGCATTTGCCCCCGCTCGTCGCGTGCCTGGCTACCCCATCCTGCTGCACCGACGGGTGCGCTGATTCTCAATCCTCATGTGCTTCTGAGCCTGCTGCTGCTGAGTCGACTGAGCTTATCGCTGAGAAGCCGATCACGTCCTGTGCTCTGCCTCCTGCAGCAGGCTCAGCAGGCTCTGCTGCGGCTGCGGCGGCGGCAGCGGCAGCAGCAGCAGCAGCATTAGCATCAGCAGCAGCAGCGCGTGTCTCCTTCATCCACTCCCCATCTCTTTTACTTAGTGGTCGACCTGCCTCTGCAGCCGATGCAGTGCCCTTGGATTCACGCTGTTGCGAGGTTGCCTTGATGGTGTTAAACGGGTCTCTACAGCAATGAACAACCTGCATTGCATGTCCCAGGGCATTAGGTTACATGCAGCTTACATTAGATTGTTGGAATCCTCGTGGAATCCTTTGTGTGAAGTCTGTCAGTTACATGTTACAAGTTGGTTCTTCAGTGTATCTTGCGCTGGCATGATGCATTCAGGTACTCGCTGGCGCTGCTTTCCACTCAGAGCTATGGTACCTATTACAGGGTGGTATCTGTTGTTACGGATGCAGTAGATGACATTATGCTTTCTGTATCTGTAATACACCACAAGTGCCTCCACATTGCAGGCCCATTCTAGCATGCACAGCACGGCACACCCCAATAATAAAGGCACACCTAGGTTCTTGATCACTACTCGAACAGGGACCGCATCGGGATTTGAACCCTGGTTCAGTACTATGGCATTAAAGGCTTTCCCTGAACCCTGCCTTAATAAAAGACTACAAACCACATAAACGCAAGTCAGGAAGGGTTGCCTGCCACTACTTATCCCTAAGTGGTGCATTCTGTTACTATTCTCGTGTGGGCGAAATTGATCAAATCCCTCGACCCCAGCCAAGGGCTGTACTTGAGAGGCCAAAGGTTGTTGTTGTGAGCCGAAGTACTGTAGCGACTTTCAAACAAGCGATGCTGTCGCACATTCATCACCCATTCCCTGGTTTCCCCAACCTGGGCTGTCGATCAATCCGATCCGTCTTGCGATGGGCTTTCCCAACTACTTTCTGGACGCATATATACAGTAGCAAGCATTACACACAAGATACAGTACCTCGTGTCGATGCCATTTCACGAACGAGACTTGTTTCGCCCTCACCACTTTCAGCAGTTCGTTTTCTTGAACTGAATTTGACAAATAAAACGACTTCTTTATCCAAAGCAGGGAGACTGGGTGACTGTCCCAGATTAGGCAATCTTCCCTCCCATCCCATCACGCAATCCGCCCGAGTCTTGGCAGGAAATGTTGCTCAAGATGTTGAGCGTGTCTGTCTGTCACTCATCCAGAAAACGGTTACTGTTGCCTGGGAGCACCCACAGCAAAGCAGCCTGAGGACAAACGCGCAACATGTGCCGACAGATCAGGCAAGTTGCCTAAGAGGACGGGCGGAGCGAGCAGCCCAACATGAAGGATGTCTTTGTTGTCGCGCAAAGTGCCCCATAAATGTCACCCAAGTGGTTGGCGGACCAAGTGCCCCACAAAGCACCCGGCCAAGAGGATGGTTTGACCCTAGGGCTGGCATGGTGAACACCTCAGGCACCCTGATCCAAGTTTTGTGAAACTGGGTGTCAAATTCGGACATTTGGACAAGCCTCCAGAACACATCGTTGCAATGTAGACACACATTCCAGAAATAGGAAACATGAAAAACCAGATACTGTACTGTATTCAAACTTCGATGGCGGGCAAACTTTGGGACTCGTTAGTTGGACTCAAGCTCATCAATCTGTCCCCCGCAGTCGTTCGTCGCGTCGACTGCGTGTGGAGGAGCCTCCGCCATTGCATCGCGTCACATCACACCCACCCCATTCCGTCCAGTCACTGCTGCACAGCAGAAGCATACTAGGCAGAACGAACAAGCGCTAGGAAGGCCACAAGCTTACGTGATGAAGAGTCCTGGGACAAACAGGGATGAACAAGGCTATTACAGATAGACACCGAATCTCGCGACGAGCGTACGAACCGTTGATAGCTGTGCCAGCTCGACAATGCAAGCACGGGTTGCAAGGCCCGTGAACTAAAACTCTTAGTACAAGGCTGGCTGACTTGCTGGGGCCAAAATACTCTAAAATTTTGCAAGCCGTGTATTATTCATCAATTGGTAGCTGCACGCTGCGCATTAGCCCGCTGCACATTAGCCCGCTGCGCATTAGCCCGCTGCGCATTAGCCCGCTTCGCATTAGCCCGCTGCGCACTAGCCCGCTGCGCATTAGCCCGCTGCGCATTAGCCCGCTGCGCATTAGCCCGCTGCGCACTAGCCCGCTGCGCATTAGCCCGCTGCGCATTAGCCCGCTGCGCATTAGCCCGCTGCGCATTAGCCCTCTGCGCATTAGCCCGCCGCGCGTTAACCGTCAACACTAATCCCTGCTACCCTCCTTCCGATGGCTGGCGACGTCCCTGCTTTGACTGCTTCACGTTACCTCCGTTCGCCCTCCCTCTCTGATCTCCCTGACAACGTCGCCCCGCTACAGTCGCTAACCCTGTCGCAACCCGACTCGCAGTCGCAGGAGCCGGCGCCGGCGCCGCCAGAATTGTCAGCGCAGCTGCTCCAACAGAACCACAATGAGGCGATGCGGGCGCGATATGGGAATGGCGGAGCGGTCGGCCGCGCGGAAGGCAAGAAGGCGGAGATTGAAAGGGTTCAGGGGGACAATGGGCGAACGAGGTACGCGGAGAACGGCCGAGCGGGGAACCGCGGGGACGACGGCGACGCGTGGGAGGGCTTTCACGGCAGCCGCGTCTTGGACCGCCGAGGCGCAACTGCGGAGAATGCGGTAATGCGCACCGGACAACCGCACGACTCCGCGACACCGGCGGCGCCCGCAGGTTGTACGAACCCTTCCGCCGTCGTCGCTTCCGCCGGGTGCGCGGACAGCCAGGGGAGAAAGAGCGCTAGGCAGAAGAGCCCGCAGCAGCGCTTGCGCCTTCGTCACTCCTCCCCGTTGGTTCCGCCCACCTCCGCCAGCATCGGAAAACCCCCCGTCGCGCGCTCGAAATCCCCCACCCCTGGAATTTCCCCCAATGCAAGACTCTCCCCCACCGCCCAAAACGTTTCCGCTTCTGGGGCGAGTTCCGCCAGTTCCGCCAGCTGTACTGACAGCAGCGGCGCAGCTTCCCCGGGGAGGGCAGGACCCCGTGTCATCTCCGCTGTTCCCGCGTCTCTCTCAAGCTCTCCCGCGGCGCGGTTCGTGCAGCAATCGCGGGCAATGATGATGCTGCTGGAGCGACAATGCGCTCTCGTCGTCGCCGTGAGTAGCGGCGCTGTTGCCGCGCTGGGCTGCTCCGCCGATGAGCTGACGACAAGCGGAGCCACCAGCGGGGGAGGCGGCGGAAGCGGCGGAGGCGGAACGGGCGTGCGTGGGAGCTCCGGCGGAGAGAACGGAATCGACAACGAGAAGGACGGCAATGGCGGAAGGGCGCGAGAGGGGGAGACGAACGAGGAGCAGGAGGGGGAAGAAGCGGGGAAGGGGAGAGCTACTGGGGCGGCGGAAGGCGGGGGACCGATGTCTCTTTTTGACTTGACGAGTGATCTGACAATGCGCATGTGGCATGAGGCCATGGCGGATGTGTTCGGGACGGCGGGAGGCGGGGGGAAGGCAGGCATTGGCGCTGCTGTGCTACGGTGAGTGCGGACGAATGTAGGAACGGAGGGAGGAGGGGGATGGGTCGGGGAGAGGGCCGTGGGGTTTGTTGTGTGCTGAGTGCGTCAAAGAGGAAAAGGTCGACGTTTTCCCGTCCGTGTGCCTCCTCCGTCCCCCTCGTCCCCTTCCCCTTACCTTTTTATAAACACATGACTCCAAATTAACCAACCCCTCCCTTTTCCCCAATCCCGTTCCCTTGCACGTCGCCCGCACGCCCCCCTTCACGCCCCCCTTCACGCCCCCCTCACCCCTCTCTCTTCCCCCCCCAACTTCCTCCCACGGCAGGTTCCGCGTGCGCGACTTTGGAAAGGGCGGGCATCTAGCAGGCGTGGCGGTGGATCTAATGGTGCAGCCATGCCAGTTCGTGCCTGAGACGCGTGCTGTCATCGCCACCATCGCCATCGTCAACAACCCCTCCGCTGCTGCCACCACTGCTTCCGCTGGTGCTTCGGCTGGCGCCCTGGCGCCAAGCTCGCTGCATGTGAACGTGGAGGATGGGGGGGAGCGAGAGGGGGGAGGCAGAGCAGGGCGGAGTGGCAGCAAGCCCATGTCTAAGAAGCTCGTGAATAAGATCGCGGGGTTTCTCCGGCTCAAGGATGACACTGCTGCTGAGGGTAGCGGGTCTGCTGGTGGTGGTGGTGTGTGTGGCGGCATGACTTCCCCATTGGGCTTCTCTGCCCCGCTGCAATCGCCCAACGATACAAGCAACCAGCAGCAGCAGCAGCAGCAGCAGCAAGGATGGAGCAGCAACGTGCAGGCGGGCCCTGAAAGCCCTGCCATGTCCCTCCGCAAGGTGTCCACATTCCACGCGCTGCTGCCCCCCTCTGCCGCGCCCGGCTCCCTCCCTCCCCACCCTCCGTCCCTCTACTTACCCTTGCACCCGACCGCTCTCACGCCACCAGCCGCGGGTGGGACGCGCGGGGCATGGGGCAGCAGCACCACCATCAGCGGCGGCGGCAGCAGCAGCAGCAACAGGGGCGAGAAGGAGAGGGAGAGAAGAGGGGAGAGGGAGAGGGGTGGGTATGTGTCAGAAGTGCTGACTCCTGGAAGGCGGCTTATTCGAAAGGTTGGGTTTGGAGGCTCGGCCAGAGATGGCATTGCCTCCCCCATCCGAGTTCGTTTAAATGCCACTGCTGCCGCTGCTGGTGGTGGTGTTGGCAGTGGTGGTGGTGGTACGGTTGATGCTGAAGGGTTTGGGTTTGATGGTGCGGGTAGGAGCAGCAGCTTTAGCAGCAGCGGCAGTGGCAGCAAGAAGGGTGACTGGCTGGCCCAAGCTGCTGCTGTGGTGTCCATTGGGCGACTGAGTGGGAGGCTGACAGGCGGAGACAAAGGTGGAAAGGGAAAAGGAGGGGGTGGAGGGGGAGGAGGGGGAGGAGCGGGAGGAGGAGGAGGAGGAGGAGGAGGAGGAGGAGGAGGAGGAGGAGGAGGAGGAGGAGGAGGAGGAGGAGGAGGAGGAGGAGGAGGAGGAGGAGGTGGAGGAGGAGGAGGGGAAGGAGGAGGAGGAAAAGGAGGAGGAAAAGAAAGTCCCGAGGAGTGTGGAGGAGAGGCGTGGAGGGCAGAGTGCGGGGAGAGGGCACTCAGAAGGGTGATGACAGCTGGCACGGAGATAGGGGGGGAGGTGGTCGACCGAGAGAGGGAAAATCCAGCATTGGTAGGGGGTGGACAATCCAGCACTGGGACCAGTGCAGGAGTTGCAGCAGGGTTGGCCATGGAGCCTTCTTCTGGGCTAGTCGCAGCTGCTATCGCTGCTGCTGCTGTAGCTGACGCTGCTGCTGCAGCTGATGCTGCTGCTAGTAACAGCGCTGCTGCTTCTGATGCTCCTGCTCATGCTGGGTCATGCACAGGGCCTGCTGGTGGAGCAGGAAGCAATTCTGGTGAGTTGCAGTTAGGGGGGATGGGTGGTGCCGCGTATCGCAGCAGGAGTGGCGGGTTGAGTGAGAGGAGAGGGCTGGACGGGCGACTGGGGAAGCTGACACTGGCAGTGCAAGCGGGCCCGCATCAGGTGCAGACTCCTGGGCGGTACTCACATGGGAAAGGGAGCATGGGTGCTGCCGGGGGAATGGGAGCGGCAGCGTCATTGGCAGCAGCGCAGTTCGTTTCTCCCCAGGGCATTGCTGCTGGAGCAGGCGAGGCTGGGTCCACGTCCCTTTGCCTTGCCAAGCCCTCGCCAGGAAGCTCCGCTTCTCCAGCTGCTGCTGGCGGCACGGGCATGGGTCACAGCGGCCGGATGGCGCTGCTGAGCCCGAGAAGCGGCCTGCTTGCTCTCAAGGCGTTGCTCAGTCCCAGAGACCGCTCCCGGGCCCTCGGGGAGGCGCTTCCTCACAGCCAGGGCGCAGCAGTGCCAGGGGCAGCAGTTGGAGACGTTGGTATGAGCAGCGGGGCTGGGGCTGAGATGGTAGCAGGGAGAGAAGCAGGAGGTGTCGGGAATGGTGTACGGGTAGTGAGTGGTGGTGGAGTGAGGCAGGGAGTGGGTGGGAGGCTGGAGGTGGATGGTGGAGGGAGCAGTGGCCTGCGAGAGGAGGAGAGTGCTCTGGCTGGATCTGTGGCAGCAGCAGGTGGTGGCACAGGGGCAGTGCACGGGACAGTTGCTGCTGCAGCAGCAGCAGCAGCAGCAGCATCTACTGCGGCAATAGCTGGATCAAGGGTGTCAGGTGTAGCAGCAGCAAGAGGAGGAGGAGCAGCAGCAGCAGCACCGACAGCTGCGGCACGGTTCGGCCGTGCTGTCTCTGCAATGACGTCTGTTGTGCCTGCTCGCTCCCCCAGCCCTCTCAAACCTGCTCGCGTCCCTGCCCCTGCCCCTGCCCTCAGTGCTTCTGCTTCTGCTTCTGCTTCTGCTGCTGCTGCTGCCGCAGTTGCCTCTTCCAGTGCTCCCGGTGGTGGTGGTGGTGCTGCTGCTGTTGCAGGAGCTGGTGCAGCAGCTGCCATGGCTACACGGGCAGGTGCACCGAGAGCGCGGTCTTTCTTCCCCAAGTCCTCCAGCCTCACTGGCCGCGTTCCCACCCACTCCACCTCGCCAAACCCCTCACCGTCCCCCCACCACCGCGTGCTGTCACAAGCAGTAGACGTGGAGAGGGACGCAGGAAGAGGCAGGGTGGGTGCGTACACCATGGAAAGAGGAGGACGAGCAGGACTCAGCGGTGATGCTGCTGCTGCTGCCGCTGGTGCCGCCATGGATCCCTCCTCCAGCTTTCAAAAGTGCCCCACTCTTCCCTCTAGCATGCGTCCTGCTGCTACTGCTGCGGCGGCTGATTCAGCAGGAAGTAGCGGTGGCAGCACTGCTGCTGCTGCTGCCACAGGGCCTGTCGTCCCTCTTGCCCTTCCACCAGCCGCGTTCCCCTCCTCCTCCTCATCATCCTCTGCTTTCGCCACCACCCCTCTCCACAACCCAAGCCCCTATCCATACACCCCAGCGCGCACCCCCACGGCCTCTCAGAGAGGACTCTCCCTCTCCTCGCCCCGCTTCCTCCGCTCGTTTACTGCAGACGCTTCAGAGCTTACAGAGGCTTCCCGAAGGATGTGGGGGCGAGAGGCGCGGGGGGGCTGGGGCGGAAGGGAGGAGGAGAGTGGTGGGGACAGCGGGTGGGGGCAGCAGGAGGAGGCGTGGGAGGAGAACGAGGGGGAGTATGGGGAAGGTGATGGGGACTATGATGCAGAGTTAGGGCAGGAGGAGGAGTGGCAGGAGCGGCAGCGGCGGCGGCAGGTGCAGTGGCAGCAGGAGCAGGAGGAGGGGCATAGGGACGGGATGGCCCGCGGGCAGAGTGGGCAGCGAGGGCGGGGGGAGGAGAGGTGGAAGAGGATTGGGTCAAGTGGGAAGATTAGCAGCAGGTGGCTGGGGTGGGGGAAGAAGTTTGGTAGGGACGACGGGGAGAGATCACGGCGAGGAGGGAGGGAGGGATTGGGGAGGGGAGATGTCGGGGGGGAGGGAGACACGGGGCATGGTGGTGGGGTGTGGGGATCAGGTGGTGCGGGAGGGGGTGGAGGGGGGAGGCGGAGCAGCGGCTTAGTGTTTGGTTTAGGAGCAGCATTGGGAGGCGGAGCAAGCAGTAGGCGCGTGGTGGGTCGGTCCACGTCCAGTGGACCGGGCGGTATGGTGGGCGCGGCAGGTGCATCTGAGGAAGGCTTTATCTGGGAGCGCACTGCCACTCTACACATGAAATCATCTGCAGGGGACCTGGAGGGGTCAGGGGGAAGGGTGGTGGCGCAAGAGGCGCATGGCAGGGCGGGTAGCTGGGGCAGCGGGGGGGAGTGGCGGAGGGAGCGGGAGCTTGGGGAGAGGGGCGCTGGGTGGGTGATGGAAGGGAGTGGGTATCGGCTGGTTGATGGGGTGAATGGGCGTGGGGATGTGTGGGACGGGACGGGTGGGGGAGGAGGGGGTGTGTCTGTTAGTGGGGGGTGGGAAGGGGGAGGAGAGGCGGGTGGAGAGAGTGGGGGGAGAGGAGGGGTGTTTGGGTGGAAAACGGGGAGTGTGCGCGGGGGGAAGGGGAGAGGAGAGGGGTCGAGGACCCCGCCGAATGGGTGGGTAGGGAGAGGAAAGGGAGGAGGAGGAGGAGGCGGGGGAGGGGGAGGGGGAGGAGGATTGGTAGCGCCTCTGTCCAAAGCAATAAAGGGGAAGGGGAAGGGGAAGGAGAAGGAGAAGGAGAAGGAGAAGGAGAAGGAGCTGAGTGAGAAGCAGAGGGAGATACTGGCGAGTGAGCTGATGTGGCTGGACTCGCAGATGGTTCAGATGGAACAGCAACTCAACCGCCTCATCCTGCCCACCCATGGGCAGCTGTTGCCGCCGCATGAGCAAGCGCCAGGGCATGGTCTGCTGGTGGAAGGTGTGGAGACAGCACATGGGGATGGTGGGGAGCAGGACGAGGAAGCGGGAGGCGAAGGGGAAGGGATAGGGGAAGGAGAGGGAGGGTGCATTGGGGAGGAGATCAGGCCGAGACTCAGGCCTGGGCATGGGCATGGGCTGAGGAAACTGCCAGAGGGGGATGGGAAGCAAGAGGGGGTTGGTGACAGGGTGCGTGGTGTGGGAACGGGAGGTGGGGTTGAAATCAAGGGGCGAGGGGACGACGACGAGAGGAGCTTTGGGAGGGATGGAGGTGGTAGTGAGAGGGGTGATGACCTGGTTGGGGGGGGTGAGGGGGCTGAGGGGGTTGCACAAAGGGAGGAGGGGGAAAAGTGTGGAGAGGAAGAGGGTTATTTAGAGAATGAAGGTGAAATGGAAGGGTCGTGGAGGGAAGGCGAAGAGGAGAGGGTGGAGGGCGAGGAGGGTGCTTGGAGTGTGGTGGATTGTTGGGATGAGGAGGAGAGGGAACGGGAGGAAGTGAGAGAGGAAGAGGAGGCGGGGGATAAAAGGGATGAGGGAAGGGAGGATGGAAGGGAGGATGAGGAATGGTACTCTGAGCAATGGAGTGAGGTGCCAGATACAGGGGATGGGAGTGAGCTTGATGCGGTGGAAGAGGATAGGATGGAGCGAAACGAAGAGGAAGAGGTGGGAGGGGAGAGAGGAGAGGCGGGAGGAGGGGAGGGAGAGACGGGAGTGAAGGAGGAGGAGGAGGGAACGAGGAAGGAGAGAGTAAGTGAGGAGGAGGAGGAGGAGGTTGGGAACACAGGAGGGGGGGCAACTGAGATGGAAGGTGCAGAGTTGAAGGGAAGTGGCGGTGCAGAGTTGGAGCAGCGTGCGGAAGAGGAAGGGGATGGGGTGAAAGGAAACAAACGCATGGGTTCATGCGGGGAGGAAGGGGAGGGTGGTGCAGTGCTGTCTGATAGGGGAGGAAGGGGAGGGCAAGGTGGAAGGGGGAAAGAGATGTTGCTGCCAGGGAGCATGCGAGGAGAGGAGCAGGAGGTACAAGAAGGGAGAGGCATGGGGTTGCATGCAGATGCAGGTGATAGCAGCAATCCGTGTGAGAGCAGTGCTGAGGATGAGGAGGGTCGGAAGCAACATGCAGGTGTTATGGCAGCCTCTTCCCCCATCGCCAGCAGCACCACCACTGGTGCCGCCAGTGCTCTTATTGACCACAATCATTCTCACCTGCTCTACGCCACCTCATCCTCCTCCTCATTCTCCTCCTCATCCTCCTCATTCTCCTCCTCTTCCTACATTGTGCAAGGCACTTGTCACCCTCGAGTTTGCCCGACGTCCCTGGTTGCATCTCCTGCCGCTGCCCCCTCTTGCCACAGCTCGGCACAATGGGTCAGGTACGCACCGGCATGCATGATGCACTCACGCACACGCATGCAGAGAGCACGAAAGCATGCTCATGCCCATTCACATATTTCAATGCACTGTGGGATGGCAGGGTGCATGTGAGGGACGGAAACGTCAACCCCCACCCTCCCTTCTCGTTGACTCCCCCTTTTCCACCTTTCCTCTCTTCTCCGTCCCCACCCCACCAAAACCTTACCGCAGCCATGTGTTGGATCATGCGAGTGTGGGCTTTGCCATAGTGGACCCTTCCTCCTCGCGTCTCCTCACCTGCAACGACTCGTTCCCCTCCCTCCTCGCTGCACCCGCCTCACTCATTGCGCCCGGCCTCTCGCTGCTCCTCGCCCTGCCACACCACCACAGAGCGCCTTTCCAGGTGGGCACATGGGGGGTTGGTTGGTGGTGCAGTGGTGGTGGCTTGGTCGAGTGGTTGGTTGTGGTGGTGGGTAGACAGGGAATGCAAGCGCCAGTTGGCTGACAGGGGGAATGTGGCCCGTTGTGGTTGTGAGTTGGGTTGGGGTGGCAATGCTATGACAGGGTATGCGTGAATGAGTGAGTGTGTACGTGCGTGTGTATGCGTGCATGCATAGGCACCAATGAGTGAGTGAGTGCATGAGTGGGCATACACGTCTACAGTGCAACTTAGCAGAGCTTGCTTGCTATCAGCATGAGTGCTTGGTCTTGGAGGAAGCTTGCACCTGCACTGTGCGGTGCTCTGTCCATAGGCCATGCACAACACAACATTGTGTTTTCTGCCATCATTGTCTGTGTTTCCTTTTCGCGTCTTTCTGTCTGTGTCAACTTATCTGCCCTCTCCTCTCCTCCCCTCCCACACCGCATTGCAGGAGTGGCTTCAGGACTGCGCATCCAGCACCACGCCCTCTCCACCTCCCTTCACTCTGCCGATCACTCACAGTGGGAAGCAGTGTGGCGTAGAAAATGCATCCGTGCTCCCGTCAGAGGCACCTTCCTCCTCCCACGTCGTAAACTTCATCTGCTGTCCAGCTGCCATCCCCGCAACAATCCACACAGCAGCACTGGCATCAGCACCAGCAGCAGCAGCAGCAATGGTCGGTGCAGCATCAGTAGCAGCAGGCACAACCGTACCCCAGCATCCTGATCTTCCTTCACCCCATGTACTTGCAGTGCCTCCTGTCACTCTCCTTGCCATGCTCCAGAAGTGAACGCACAGGGGCACGGTCACATACAGGGACGTGCACTGACACATGTGGCTCGATCCCCATGGGCAAGGGCTGTAGGGAGGCAATTTCTGAGGCGCCAAAAACATCGGGGAGATGCAGCGCTGAATGCATGGATGGATGCATGAATGTGTGTGCCCGCGTGAGCGCGTGAAAGCAGCACGCCACTTGCACGCAGCAGTGTGTATGGTAATTGTTTGAGCTGTCCCCGTTGTGTGACGATTGTGTGATTTGGTGGAGTGTATGGCAAAGGTGGTGGTGAAGTAACCCCCCCAAAGCCATGGCATCATCAGCACAAAAGGCTGATCCGAGAATAACCCTCCACTCTTGACTTGTATCATGTATGGTGCTTGCTCTGCCGATGTGTCAGGGCAACAGTTAACCTCTGTCGAGTGTGTAGGTCGAGTCAGAATCTTGTGTTTGCATCTAACATACCGTACTACCGTATGAGAGCCCAGTGATGTACTCTTTCCTGCAAGGGGAATGTTACACTCGTTAGCTAACAACTTGATGGTACAGATACCAGTAAACCACCCTGTGGAGTAAACCAACCAGATGGATAGACGGGGATTTTTCTTATTTCCAGGCTATTCGCCACACTAATCCAATCACGCATGCTAGCAGGGCGCTAGGAATCGACCGCTTGGAGCCGGCTCTTCTCAGCATGGCATCTGCAGCGCTCTTGGTGGCAAGAGTGAGGCACGTGACTGCTGTGCATGTGAGCACAATGTCTTTTGTGACACGCGATACTGCGTCTGGAAAGAAGAGGAGAATGAGGTCCTCGAATTCCCCTTGGGAGAACTCGCCTGGCTGGGAACAGTTGAATGCCTGGTGGGGAGTGGGAAAGCAGGCAGGGAAGGAGGGCAGCGGGGAAGGGGAAGAGTGAAGAGTGGGGGAACGGGTGTACGGGGGAAGGGAGGGGTTAGGGTGGAAGGAGGAAAAGGAAGGATCAGTGGAAGGAAGGAAAGAAGAGAGGATGAAGGAAGCAGGGGAAGAAAGAACAGGAGATGCAAGCGGCTGATTTTGTTGTCAGGAGACTGGGGTTGTTTATAAGAAGCAAGCCCCAGCCATTTGATCAGGAGATGGGAAAGCAAAGGCTGCAACTACCCCGCGACTCCCCATCGTGCTCACCTGCACTCTCTCCTTGACTTCTCGTCTTGATGGCGGATCAAAGAATGCATGTGAGGATCTCCGGTTCAACTCACTGCTTGACAAGAGCGCGAGGGATGGGAACGGGCAAGTCAGGAAAGGAGTGAGCAAGAGGGAAAGAGCAAGATAGGTGAATGAGTTACATGACATTCTCATCTCGCTGTGATCCAGCCCTGTTCCTGGGAAAGTTACAAGGTCCAGACACTACAGAAACTTTCTACTCACTTGAACACGAGCAACACGCCTTCGTAAACGGCCGACGATGGTAGCCGCCTATAATTCACCTCCACTGCGCTCTTGCCTTGGGAACATCCAGCGATGCCGTTCGTTGATGCTGCTCCATCAACGGCTGTGAGCTGACAGAAGGATGTTCGGATGCATTGGCGGACCAGCGGCTTGCTGATGACGTGGCCTGCCCCTGCACCCAACGCCGTCAGCAAAACTGGAGTGACACGTGTGAGGAAAAAGTCAGGTTGTCGCAATATCAGATTACGCAATTATGACACGCGTAGCGTACTGTCGCGTGTACACACGCGGATAGCATCGAACCGTCGGCACGAGAATCTGAGGATATTAAGGATGGTTGCGATTAGGCTTCAGAATGAGATGCAGAAAGGAGTACAGATATGAACGGGAGGAGGAATACTCACTCACAACTCCCATGAGTGACGGTGTCTGCGAGTAATGAGCGGCAGCTACCCTTCACCGGATGCCTCGTAAAATGCTTCAACGGGTGTCACGATACGGCAATGTATACACCAATGTGCAAACGCATCATGCAAGACCAGTCCCAATCGACTACGAGTTCTGGAGAATTGCTTTTGAGTTAGCTGGGTATAGAGCAAGGCGAGAAAATCCTTCATTCTGAAGGGTCTTGCGCTCTGAGTTGCGTTGCAGCAATCTTTAGTTCGTTTCAGTGCGGTGACCGTTCAAACCTGCAACAGATTCGAGGGACCAGGAAAAAAGGGTAGGTAGCTTTGGCGGGGGTACTACTAGCGACCCTGCGCTTTCCTGAAGATGAGGTCCCGGGATGAAATCCCCCCTACGGCCTTTACAGCCAGTCCCCACTAAAAGGGACTACATAGGTGCTCATCTAGGAGTGGATAAAACAACCTCGTTACCCAGCGAGGCATGTAAACACATGGGGAGGCGGGTTACGACCGACAATCGGGGTAATACCAAAGGGGGTTCCCCCTATAACCTTTACCTTTACCTGCGCTTTCCAGGGAACTACAGTGCTAGTTGCGGGCACCTTCCGCCCCTGACCCCCCTCAGACAGGGGAGTTATGGCAACAGCACAAAACTCGGTCCCACATTCACCCACGTGTCACAAATTCGGAAAATTTTGAGAACGCAGGGCAGAAAAAAAAACCGTAGGGAACCTAGACTCATTTTCGGGAGGGATCAACCCTAAACACGGGAACCCGCATTTTTCAGGGTTGATGCCTCCCCGAGACGCATCCCTTTCCGATTGGGTTTTGGTTTTCTTTTTTGTGGGGTTTTTCCAGTGTTTTGAGAATGTGTAACACGTGGATGTATGTGGAGCCGAGTTCTGTGTTGTTGCAATAACTTCCATGTCGAAGGGACGGATGGGCGGAAAGTGCCCGCAACTAGCACTGTAGTTCCCTGGAAAGTGCAGGGTCGCTAGTAGTACCCCCGCCAAAGCTACTTACCCAGGAAAAAAAGATAAAGGTTGCGTGGAGCGTGCATTGGCGGGAACCCCAGATTCCAACAAGGATGTCAGGTCGTATCCGTAGGGATGACATGACAAAGCGGGCAGTATCAATTTGGCATTTTGACACTCTGCCAATATTGTTGGCAGAGTGTCAAGAAATTGCAGGTTGCCATGCCAGCCAATAAAAATCGTCGGACACTTTTGACATTAACAGAGTCATACGTGCAAACGATATAAGATTGTCGCAGCTACCTATCTCACGAAAATATTCGGCCCAATCAGCAGACACCGCCTCCTATTTCTGTCTTTTGAACCGTTCACTGCCTAGGAGATAACAAATGACATATTCTCTAACCAATGAGATTCCGTCGCTGATGTTCGTACATGCGCTTTGACTTGGCACTTCAGCTACAGTATTGACACTCCAATTCGAGCACGCTTCGGGTTGACACGCTCATTGTCGACATGTCATCCCTACGGACACGAACTCAGAGCGCGAATTGTGCGATAACAGCCGATATGACACTTTGCTGTAGATCGGAGTGCAACACATTTCTTTAATAATCTGACTACCAACCAACCTTGTGTGACCAGGGCCCAAAATTGGTTTTGGGCCACTCTTGCAAATCAGGGTTTCAGGCCCCCAGTACCCTGACCCCAAGGGTAATACCGTACTTCCCGTACACTGATGGCAGCAGCCTAAAGTTTCAGATACACTCTTTGTGTCAGGGTAAAATTGTTGATACACTGTTTGTAGTGTAAACATGTCCATATCGTGCCATAAGTGTAGACTGCACTGTTGTGGCAGCGCGCTATGTCCCAGCTTGTTAGATATTTACCTTGGTGTCGAAAAATCGCAAGATCGAAACCTGACGGGGTTGATTGTATCCTCCGTACAGATGATTCGGTATCAGTGTAATGTGCAGCGCACCCTGAGACAGGCAGGGTAACCGAAATTGTTATCAGTGTACTCAAAACCTTACCCTTTTTCCACTAGGGTAAAAATTTCCATACGGTAGGCTGATTTGGCAAGGGTAATTGGGAAAAAGCGGCCGCTCATCAGGGCAAACAGGGTATTTTACCCTGATAATTTGGGGCCTGTGTGTGACATCATGGTGACCGCCTAACAAAGAAGTGCAGAAGAACATAAGTTTCAAGGAGCTATACATGACCTGAAACAATCAGTACACGAACCGCATCTGCTCCCACGAATCTGTTGTGGATCCCTTGCTTGCACTAAAAGGATCACCTACTACTCTATTAATGGGCATGCCACTGGTGCACCTAATTCAAACCAGTTACAAAATCCCACAGCACAGACAAGGTCCACTGGTAATCCCCCTCCCCAAGCTAAGTAGGCAGCCCTGTGACACTTATTGAGGCTATACATGAAGTGGTATAATGGAAGGTGTGTGCTTCTAAAATGAGAGCACGAAAGCAGGAGAGTAATAAAGCATGTGCATCAGCGGCAGCCTCTGACTGCCAGCACGGCTACCAGTGCAGTGGAGCCATCTGCAGCAGCGTGCAGTGGCAGGGACAGGGGTAGCAGGCAGGGGGAGGGAATGAGCGTAACACGCTCGTGCACTGCTGAAGCTGGCAGCGGCAATGCTGGCGGCGATAATGGAAGTAATGTTGATGCTGATGCTGATGCTGATGGTGATGGTGATGTGGATGATTCACCCTGTGCGTCAACCTCTAGAGGCATTGATCCCAGTGGCTGCTGCTGCTGGAGAGGAGAGTGACAGGAGGAATCCGGAGGAGGGGACTGGGAGGTGGGGAGGGGTGAGAGAGGTGAGGGAGGTAAGCTAGGTGACGACACAGCGGGAGGAGGTAACAAGGAGAAGGGGGGGGCTTCATTTGCTGCTGCACCAGGGCTGTTGCATGTACCATCCAGATCCATATGTGCCACTGCTGCTACATCATCATGCCCACATGAGGCGCTGCTAACACCACCACCGCTGCTAGAGTTGCTGCTGTGCTTCTTCTGGCTGCTCTTGCTCCTCCCACTGTCGGCGCCACACGTAGCAGAGGGGCTCTCCTGTAGCTGTACCGTGATGGGAGAGGGTTGCGAGAGTGCGTGGCATGCGGTGGCTAGCCATGGCTGGCAGGGGCAATGGGGGAGGAGAGGGAGCACAGGGACAGAGGGACGGACAGAAGATGAGCGAGCTGGTGAGTGGAGAACACAAGGTTGGGAGGGGGGAAGGTTGTGTGAACGGTTCTTTCTACTTGCATGCTCTCAGATCCTGGTATCAAATGGATGGGCATGTGAAATGCAAGCAGAGAAGAAGAGTGGAGGCTAGCACAGCAGAGCAGAGCAGAGCAGAGCACAGCAGAGCAGAGCAGAGCAGAGCAGAGCACAGCAGAGCACAGCAGAGCACAGCAGAGCAGAGCAGAGCACAGCACAGCACAGCAGAGCACAGCAGAGCAGAGCAGAGCACAGCAGAGCAGAGCAGAGCACAGCAGAGCACAGCAGAGCAGAGGCTAGCAGAGCAGAGCAGCATCCAAATGACATACCATGAGTTCCCCTTTTGACTCTGCCGACAGGGCATTCACCACATTCAGACACACCAAGCCACCACACCCTGCCCCTGCCACTGCTGCTGCTGCTGCTGCTGCTGCTGCTGCACCGTCAACTGCTTTTGTTTCTGTATCTGCTGCTGCTGCTTCTGTTTCTGCTGAATCAGCACCCACGACTGTGGCAGTGGCAGCGATGGCGGTGTGAGGGGCAGGCGAGGCGAGGCGGAGGAGGGAGAGGAATGTGTTGTTGCAGGTGATGATGTCGCCAGTGCCTGCTGCCACCACTGCGTACCCCACTCCACTGCGATCCAGCTGGGAACTGCGCCATGGACAGGGCATGAGGAGAATAGCAAGAAAGAGGGGGGACAAGAGGGAGTGATGAGGGGGATGGGGAAGGGGTAGAGGACTAAAAAGTAAGGGGATGGAGAGGAAGGAAGTGGTGTGAGTGGAAGAGGATGGTGTTGAGACACACACAAGCAATGATGATTGTTCTGGGAAAGAGTGTTCTAGAAGGATGATTTGAACATGTCCTGCATCCCCTGCCCTGCCCTGCTCTGCCCTGCCCTGCTCTGCCCTGCTCTGCCCTGCCCCAGATCTTAACAGCACGGGTGTAGGCAGCAGCACTGCAACGCATGCACATCCACCCCAGGATAACACCCGAGCGGACGCAAGCCTCACCTGATGCATGTGTGCATGGGCGCATGGCAGCGAGCACAGCATGGAGACTCCATCTCCACCCCGCCACCATGCTCGCCGTCTGCCATGACCCCATGACCATCATGACCATCATGGCCATCATGGCCATCATGGTCATGACCACGGCTGTCAGTGGATTCATGACCGTCAACAACAACATCACGAACTGCCCTCCCCACCACCTCCTGCTGCTTCTCCTTTCCCCGACTGGCCCTTCTCCGCCTCTTCCCTGCGCGCTGCCTCTGCCCCCCCGCTGTACCCGACTCCGCAGCAGGGGAGAGAGGAGGGAGGGTGGGGGAGAGCGGAGGGAGGGCGCGGGAGGGAGACGGGAGAGCGTGCGCAGGGGAGGGAGGAGCGGCACCAGATGCAGGCAAAGACAGAGAGGGAGAGGAGGAGGAGGGGGCACGAGCTGGACTGCTGCTGGTGTTGGCTGGCTGGAAGGCGGACTGGGATGAAAGGGATGATGTCGCCTGCCTGTGCTTCTGCTTCGGACTCTTACTCACACTCCGTCTTCTCTCCTTACCATGGCTTCCTTCCCGCATCCCCCCCTTCCCCTCGCCGCTGCTACTACCCCCAGGGGTCCTTGGGCTATCAGCACCACTTGCCCTTGGGATCTCCCTCACCTTGCTCCCTTCTTTCCCCTCCTTGCCACGCCCCTCCACCTCCTCTTCATCTTCTGGCACCGCTTTCTCATCCTCTGGCACCGCTTTCTCATCCTCTGGCAACGCTTTCTCATCCTCTGGCACCGCTTTCTCATCCTCTGGCAACGCTTTCTCATCCTCTGGCACCGCTTTCTCATCCTCTGGCACCACTTTCTCATCCTCTGGCACCGCTTTCTCTTCCTCTGACACCGCTTTCTCATCCTCTGGCACCACTTTCTCATCCTCTGGCACCGCTTTCTCATCCTCTGGCACCACTTTCTCATCCTCTGGCACCGCTTTCTCATCCCCCTGCCTCTCCTCCGCGCATCCCTCCCTCTCCAGCGCCTGCTCGCCTTCCCCCTTCTCCCCATCTCTAGCCACCACCAGAGCCGCCTCTGCACCCCCCAAGCCCCCCTCCCCCAGCTCCCCCTCCCTCAGCTCCCTCTCCCCCAGCTGCCTCCACCCAGACTCCCGCTCTTCCAACTCCCCCTCCCCGCGCCCCCCCTCCCCCAGAAACCCCTCCCGCAGCTCCCCTTGGTCCTCTCCAGCCTCGTCCCCATGGTCGGCCATGGCGGCGCCAATGGTGAGCAGCGCGCCGATCTGCTGCTGCATCGCCACCATCTCCTCCTCCATTGCGCGCAGCTGCCGCTCTATCTCCGCCCTCTCCTCCGCTCCTGCTCCTGCGCCCACATCCCCCCACTCCTGCTCTGCACCAATACCACCTGCTGTTCCTGCATCCCCCCACTCCTCCCCCCACTTCTCCCCCCCTTCCTCGCCCCTCTCAATCTGCTGTCCTGGCAGCTGCTTCTGCCGCTCCTGGTGTTCCTGCGGTTCCTGCGGCCATAGCAGGGCTTTCTTACCGGGAGCACCAGGCGACTTCTGGCTCTGAGAGGAGCCAAAGGAGAGAGCTCTCCTTCCCTGAGCCCCTGGTGACACTGCAGACACTGCAGACAGCGCTGCCGCCCACCGCTTGTTCCTCGAGCTCGAGCTCGAGCTCACGCCCCCACCGCTGCTCCTCCCAGACCCTCCCGCTGCGCTTGCCCCCTCCTCTGCTGCGCCATAACCTTCTGCCTCCATACCAGCAGCGCCGCCGGCAGCACCAGCAGCACCAGCACTGGCACCAGCAGCACCGGCACTGGCAGCTGCAGCAGTGGCAGTGGTAAGCAAGCCGCCAACACTCCAGCTGCTAGTGAATCTGGTCCCTCCCATGCCGCTCCCTACACTGCCGATGCTCCTGCTGCCCACCATCCGCCTCCCCCACTTGCCACCGCCGCTCCCCACGCTCAGGCTGTTGCCAAGCCCCCTACCAGGCCTAGAAACGCTGCCGCCTGCAGCGCTCGCAGCTGAATCCCGAGGGGAGGAGGCGGAAGGAGCCCCGTGGCGCGGGTAACACCCCGTCGTCCCCGCCACTGCGGCGGCAGCAGCGACGCCAGCGGCGGCAGTGGCAGCAACGGCGGCAGATCCTAGACCCAGGGGATCCAACGGCTGTACGTCCTGCTCCTCCCGCCCACTGCCAGCTTCGGCGTTAGTGGCACCAGCAGCAGCAGCAGCAGCGGTAGCAGCGGCAGCAACGTGAAAGGCAGGAGAGCCGAGAGTCATCGTCCCCTCATCTCCCCACCAGTCCTCCCCCCCACCTCCCCCCCCTGTGCTCCCCCCTCCCACGGTGAAGAACATGCTCCTGCTCTTGCTCTTGCGCACGAGTCTCGGCGTGAACAACCCCCCTCCATAGCTCCTTGATCGCCTGCTCCCACCCAACCCGCCACCAGCAGCATCAGCGGCATCAGCAGCACCACCAGCACTACCATCACCACCATCACCACCATCATCAGTAGCAGCAGCGACAAGGTCAGCAGTGAGGGAGTGGCTGTGCAGGGCGGAAGGGCGGGAGCGGGCGCGCAGAGGCTGCGTTACGGACCGAGGTCGCCCCAGTGGCGACTGCACGGGGGCTCGAACGCCCCTCGCTGCTGCTGCTGCTGCCGCTCCTGCTGCTGATCCCCCTGCAGGACCCAGCACCGTGCCATCCACTCGCTGGGCCATGAGCAGCCCAGCAGACGCCACCACAGCAGCACCCCCACTGCCACTACCGCCGCCGCTGCCGCCGCCGCCGCCGCCGCTGCCGCTGCCTCGCCTCTCTGCTCTCCCCGCAGCACCTCCCCATGCGCCGGCCAGTACCCGCCCCTTGGACCCCACGCTATGGAACCCCAAGCGTCCGGGGGTAACGGCGGTGGCGGTCATGGTCGGAACGGGCGTCAGCAACGCAGAGGCTTCCGATGGAGACCTCCTAGAAAGGCGCGCTCCTGGGGTGCTGCTGCAGCTGCCTCTCCCCCCTACCTCCCGCTCCCGCTCCTCCTGCTCCTCCTGCCCCTGTTGCTGCTGCTGCTGCTGCTGCCGTGCTTGCGTGTCGCCATGCCTCACGGCTAGAGTGCCTAGTCTGCTGCCCAGCCCGCGCCGCTCCCTCAGCCCCGTTGACTTGCTTGAACTGGGAAGACTGGATGCTGACGCTGCGGCGGAGGAGGCGGCGGACAGGGGGGAGTGAGCGGCGGAAGAGGAGGCGGAGGCGGAGGCGGAGGAGGCGAAGCCGCTGCGAGGAGAGGGCGAAGGTGTTTTGCGGCCTGCTGGCGCTGCTGCTGCTGGTGCCTTGGATACACCAGCAGCAGCAGCAATGGTCGGTGGTGTAGCAGCGGAGGAACCAAGGGAGGCGTTAGAGCGGGAAGAGAGTGGAGTGAGCGAGTGGGCGGTGGGAGTGCTGGCAGGTAGAGAAGCAGGAGTCACCAAGGCAGAACCACAAGCCCCATCAGCAGCAGCACCAGCAGCAGACGCGCTGCTGTAATTCCCCTCTTCGCTCCCCCCCCCATCACTGCTCCCCAGACCACACACCCTGACGCCGCCGCCGCCGCCGCCGTCATTCGCGCCGGAGCCCAGCGCCTTCACCTGGCGGTCGCCTTTGGGCGAGGGGATAATCAAGCGCAGGTCGTTGCGCCTAGCCGACAACGATCCCGCCAGGAGCGGGTGCGCGCTCGTAGTCGCTTCTCCGCCAGTGCCAGCCGCGCGACCTGCAGCTGCTGCTGCAGCGGCGGACGCGTCGGAAGAGGCGGCGGCAGGTGTGAGGGTTCCAGCAGCAGGCGGAGCAGTGGGCACGCTCGCAGCAGTGAGCGCGTCGCCAGGAACGGAACGACTGGCGCTTGCCTTAACTGCCTCGCGATCCGTACATGCCGCTCCCGCAACAGGAGCAGCAGCAGCAGCAGCAGCAGCAGGGCCACCATCCTCGCCCGAAGCGTCTCGCCGCACCTGCTGCCGCTGCAGCTTCCGAGTAGCTGCCGCTCTCAGCCCCTCCGCGTTGGTGGAGAACGCTCGCCTGTTAATAGGGTGCGCGGAAAGACCGCCGCCGCCGCTGCTGTTGCTGCTACTGCGGTTCATGCTGTTGCTTCCTGTCGCCCTGCCGCCGCTGCCGACGGCGTTAATGGCGGTGTCCTCTCCGCCAACGCGCACCGCCCTTCCCATGGACAACCCGAGCCCGCCCGGCGAGTCCAATCTGTCCCACCCCTGCTGCAGCGGCGCCACATCTCCGCTTCGTGTGCGCAAAAAATCCGCCGTCGCGCGCGCGTCCTGGTGCGACGGCGATACCGCGGCCGCCGTGAGCAGCGGACCGGACGACGTCGTGCGCCGCTCCTGCGCGGAACCGCTCTTTCCGCGTCCGCGCAGTAGGCGGCGCGCGCCGGACATCCGCCCGCTGCCCCCAGGTGGGAGACCGTCTGGAAGCGCTCTCCTGCTGCCTCCTTCCGTACCGCCTCCAACGCCGCCACCGCCGCCGCCGCCGCCGCAGGCCCCAGCTGCTGCGGCGGCTTCCAACGAGGGGAGAACGGAGGCGGCAGAGGGGGAGGTCGGCGCGCGGCTGAGGGCGTGAAAGGTGGAAACCTTGCGCAAGATGGACATTGGCGCGACGGCGGAACCTGCTGCGGAGAATCCCGCGCCTGCAGCTGACGAGGGCGAGGAAGATGCGCGGGGCGCAGCAGCGGGGGAGAAAAGGCCCCGCGGAGTGGGAACGGTTGCGCTCGGGGTGGTGGAGGCGGAAGCGGAGGTGGCGGAATCGTGGGGGCTGGGGGTAAGGGGCTCGACAGAGAAGAGCGGCTCGCGCGGGGAAGGTTCGTCGTGAAAGCGGAAGAGCGACGCAAGCTTGTGCATGAAGCGACGGGAGCCTCTGCCTCCCGGGGACTCGCTCGTGTTGCTGCGCGCCGACACAGGACGCTCGTCCGCATTGAGAGTGCTTCCGCTGCCGCCGCCGCCGCCGCCGCTGCGACCTTCATCTACGTTGGTAGTCGGGAGTGGGGAGGGCCGGTTGACGATGGCGAAGGTACCGACGAGCGAGTGCGCGTCGTGCGCGAACTGGCACGGCTGCAGCATCAAATCCACCTGCCTCCCCGCCAGGTGCCCGCCCGCCCCCGAGTCGCGCACGTTGAAGCGCAGCACGGCGGCGGACGCGACCGCGTCGCTCACGGCGCGCTGCCACTGCTCCACGCTCACGTCGTCCGTCAAATCGAACAATCTGTTCCGCTCGCTCGCGCCCGCGCCCGCGCCCGCGCCCGAACTCGCGCTTTGCGCCTGCCCCTGCGCGCTCTCCCCGTCCTCCGCCTGCCCGAGCGCCGTCAGCGCCGCGCGACTGGCGGCGAGCACTTCAGCGGATTGGCGGTCCAAGAGAAGCATCATGGCGCGCGACTGGCGCACGAACTGCAGCGCCAGCGGGGACGGCTTGGGCGCGGGCGCAGAAGGGGAAATGGAAGGCCGGGAATTTTGAGTTGCAGCAGCGGCGGAAGACGAAGCGGAAACGGGGTTGGTCGTGGGGTTACGATGGCCGCTGCTATTGCCTTTTCTGCCGCCGCCACCTGCGGCATGGAAAGCGATATGCGTGGAAGGGGATGAGCCCTGAGGCGCTTTTGTTTCTGAAACGGCTCGCGCCTGCGGCGCCAAGAGGGGTTCAGAATACGCAACGCGGCTTCTAGAAGCCGCTTTATTTCGCGTCTTTTGCTGCGTTTGCGATTGCACTTGCTGCTGCTGCTGCTGCTGCGGCTGCTGCCCAGCTACGACCTGCTGCTGCGGAAGCGGCGGCGGCGGAAGCATCTGGCCGTCGAGGTCCGTCAGCTGGGCATCGCCGCAACGGAGAGCGATCGCCGTTGCTTCTGCGCGCCGCATCGACGGCGAGAGGCCCCGCGAAGGGTTGCCTACGGAAGTTTCGACTGATACCTGGAGCGATACTGCGCGCGAAGCAGAGTAACCAGGCGCTACTTTATTCGCCCGATTCGCCGCGGCGAGGCTGCCAGTGCTGCGTGTCTCACGTGGCAGTCGAACACCAGCCCTTTCTCTGGGAAAAGAAACAGAATCTAGGCTGGGTGAATCGTAACAGGCGGGAGGGATAGCGCCTTCACCGCTGCCGCTGGATTTAAAAACATCGGCGGAAATCCCGTCGTCGTCCATTATGGGCAAGCTAGAGCAGCTAATGTCTTCTGTCGGGCCGAACGCATCGCGAGCAGGGCTGGAAGCGCGCATGCCGCAGTGGTAATGAATATTGTCCGGTCCAGAAGCCAAGAGCGGTGAGATGAGCGTGGAATGTTGAGCCATGTGGGAAAGACGCGACTACTGGGTCATTGGCGGGTGGCGCCAGGAGAAACGCTTTGTGACTAGGGCGAGAATTGGATGGAGTGTAAACAAGCTCGACGGTGATCAGTGGAGAGCTAAGTTGTGACGGGACATGTGCTCGTCAAACGTAGTGAATTTATGGTCTGAACATGGAGTAGAATATTAGGCGTTTTTCCAAAAATTCGCAAAACAGGAGTTCACACTTGACAGTCGCCTGTGGCTCAGATTTCCAGATTCTAAAACACCAAGGTTGGCATCAACTCTGTGGGATGATGGGACGGACGTGACGGTAGGGTGTTGTTGTCGACCGAGGAGTGAAATGAAAGACCTGTCCTCACTCCCTCGGGGTTCGCAAATCTGGAATCCTGCGCATCGTTCAACGTTCGTGAGCATGCCGATGTCGGCTGGTTTGTTTTGTCTCTGCTGAGACAACGAAAGAGACTGACGGATTCGGGTAACGGATTGCGAAGAGATGTGATTCGCGAAAGGATGGAGAGGGGTGAGGGAGGGGAGGAGCAGTGGCACGGTGCGGCGATGTGGGGAGACGCGACGCCGCAACACCTGACAGCGAACTGTTTTCCCTCTTCTCAGTTGGGCTGGCGTGAGTACGGTACGGAGCAAGGGTCGGGCAAACGGCAACGGTACTGTACCGTAGGCTTGAAAGCAGCGTGCACAAATCTCAAGTTAGCGAAACTTGGTCAGGGAGTACGTAAAACAGCACAGCACAACAAACGGAAAAGAATGGGCTAAGCGTGCTCCACAAATCTGTCCAGTTTCGCTGATCACTGTACGTGCCGTGCAGATTACGAGTGTTGTTGCTGTGTTGATCCCACCTGGAAGAATCAGGCAAACGAGACGTGCCTGGTGGTCAATTCGCTTGACGGGGACAGCAAAGGGACAAAATATGCCACTGTCCCTCTTTGGAGATCCGAAAAGGAGACCGACGAATTCCCTTGAACTAAAACAAGAGATTTCGGCTGCAACTGTCACAGCAATGCCACACGTACAGTACGGCCAGCCTTGAACGACTGCTAGGGAAGTCACATTCGAAAGGCACATCAATCACGACGACTTTATCACAAACCTACAGTACACAAATGGTGGTATCTGTTAGGCCCCTTGGCCTAAATCCGCTAAAGACTAGTGGGGTCGACTAAGTCTATAGCGGAAAACTTTGGCGAAATAACTATTGGGGAAAGAGGCGAAGAAGTTACAGAGTGATTGAATAGTTGAATGAGAATTGGTTGAGAATGGATTGATATTAGCAAGTACAAGAGAGGTTTATATAACGAACAAGAGAGAATGTTGGGAAGTAGTTTGTGGGACTAGGAATTGGAAAGCTAGAAGAGTAGAGTGCCACGTGGCACAAGGAAATCTAGGAAGATAAGGATAAGGGTGAGTTGGAAAGTACTGTTCAAAGTAAAGAGTAAATCCTCCCTTAACACTACCCCCCTCCCAAGGAGGCGACGTCCGCGGCGCCTGCATACTGGAGGTACGCTTGGAGGCAAGCGTTGTCGGGAGACAGCGAGGACGAAGGAACCCAGCTGTCGTCTGCTGCGTCGTAACCACGCCAACGAACCAAGAAGTCGATGAAAGAGACACCCCCCTGGAGACGGCGGCGGTGCCTGAGGATGTGCTGGATCTGGTAGTCGGGCTCGTTGGTGTCAACAGCTACCGGCAGTGGAGTGCGGTGACGGCCCGAGAATGTGGCGTTGGGATCGGTGTAAGGACGAAGAAGCGACATGTGGAATGATGGGTGCATGCGGAAATGAGCGGGAAGGCAGAGGCGGTATGCGACTAGACCAAGTGCGTGCTCAATGACGAATGGACCAATGAAACGTGGACGAAGCTTGCTGTCATGTGGCGGTCGGAGGTTGCGGCTATCCAAGAGAACACGGTCGCCGACTCCGAACGACACCTCAAGGCGACTACAGTTGGTGGTGCATGCCATGCGTGCATTTGGGAGGTCAATGTGCTTCCTCACGTGGTCGTGAATGAACGTGAGATGCTGATGGAAGTTGTCAGCACGGGGGAATATGGGTGTGAGATCGACACACGTGGGGACATTGGGGTGCTGACCGTATAGTGCGAAGAACGGTGACAAACCTGTGGCGGAGTGGTGCGTGTTGTTGTAGGCAAACTTAACCATGCTCAGCTTCTTGTCCAATGCTGCTGCGGCGTGCATCGTGATGCTACGAAGAATCTGCTCGAGAGTCTGGTTAACGCGCTCAGTCTGTCTGTTTGTCTCTGGATGGTATGCAGACGTCATGGCTAAGCGAGTCCCAAACAGTGCAAAAAGCTGCTTCCAGAACTTCGAAGTGAAACGAGGGTCGCGGTCGGAAATGATGGAATCGGGAACCCCATGCAGTCGGACTACGTTATCTACGAACAGCGTCGCGATTTCTTCTGCTGTGACCTTGCCGTGGGTGGGGATGAAGTGCGCCGCTCGAGAAAACTTATCCACTACCACGAAAATAACGTCATAACCTGTAACTGTGCGTGGTAAAGCTATGATGAAATCCATCGTTACTACCTGCCAAGGGCGGTCGGGTGGTGGAATTGGCTGCAAAATTCTTGCCTTGTGCTGGTGAGAGGACTTCGTACGCTGACACGTCTCGCACGAGCGAATATAATCTTCTACGTCTGCTGCAAGCCCTGGCCAGGTAATACATGCGACTAAGCGTCTTAGCCGTCTTATCTGCTCCGAAGCGACCTGCACTAACTACGTCGTGCGCCTCTAAGAGAATGAGCTGTGGAAGAGGGCGGTAGGCTGGAACCCAAAACCGTGTGGTACCCTTCCGTATGTAGACACTACCCTGCATGTCTGCTCCTGCGGGCGGCTGTGATGTGAAGTCGGGATCTACTGTGTAACCGTGCTCGAAAGATTGCTGTGAGAAGTGGATGGCCGGCAGTGACTGTGAGACTAGCGAGCTGGCAACTAGGGCGAGTGAGCGGATCTGCTGGGTTGCGAATGCATGGCTTGTACTCAATCCTGTAGTAAAAAATCCCCTCCATGAACTCCATCTATCTAGTCTGGCGACGACTCAGCTGCAGCTGCGACTTGAGGAAACGAATCGTACAGTGGTCCGTGTGTATAACACTATCTGCCCCCTCTAGGTAGCACCTCCACACTTTATACGCATGGATGATCTCGGCTCTCCTTAGCTTATACGACTCATACACGATCGGCTGCAACCCGCATCCATGGTCCTGAAGAAGCACTGCTCCTATGGCCCGTTTTGAAGCGTCGGTCACTATAACGTACGGGCTAGTGGGATCAAGGTACGACAGTGTCGGTGAAGACGTAAACGACTACTTCATCTGCTCGAACGCATGCTGCTGCGCTGGACCCCAAACGTACTCTACGCCCTTCCGAAGTAGGTCGGTGAGTGGACTAGTGATGGAAGCGTAACCTTGAACGAAACGACGGTAGTAGTTAGCGAAACCGAGGAAGTTTTGTAGTTCCTTGACCGAGGTCGGTGCTACCCAATCCTGTACGGCAGTGATCTTCTTCGGGTCGATCCTAATGCCACTAGCGGGTACGACGTGACCTAGCAACTCGACCTCGGGGAGGAAGAACTCGCACTTCGACTGCTTCGCATACAACTGCTCCCTCCTCAAGACCTCAAAGACCTTCTGCAAGTGCTGCACGTGCTCCTCTTTCGTCTTGGAGAATATGAGAATGTCATCTAGGTAAACTACAACGAACGAACCTAGGAACTCGGAGAGGACGGTGTTCATGAGCGTCTGAAACGTTGCTGGGGCGTTGGTCAAACAGAACGGTAGAACCCTAAGCTCGTACAACCCCTGCTTCGTACGAAACGCCGTCTTATGCTGGTCCTCTGGAACTACGCAAATCTGGTGGTAACCCGAACGAAGGTCGATCCTTGAGAAGACTCTAGCGCCCTGTACTGCATCTAGAAGATCCTCTACTCTCGGCACCGGAAACCTATTCTTGTCGGTGGCGGCGTTCAGTGCGCGGTAGTCCATGCACATCCGTATCCCCCCGTCTTTCTTAGGGTAACCCTAGGGGCAACTCGTCAGAGAAGACATCTCTAAACTCCGCCAAGAGTGCACTCACCTCAGCAGGAAGAGTCCCCTTTTCACCAGCTGCCGCACTCCCTCCTTTCCCCTCCTCAGCCTCCACCTCCTCAAGGAAAACGGCAAAGATCCGTGCCGCACGCTTCACTAACTGTCGCACACGAACAACATTAATGATAGCTGTGGATGATGTGGCCCCATTGCTCCACCGTGGCAGCTCCCGGAACTCGCCATCTACCTTGATGTTGCAGCTTCCCTGAGCCCAATCGAACTGAGTACTAACCGTCCGCAACCAATCTCTACCGAAGATGAAGTCGTAACCGTCCAGCGTCGCAGAGTTGAAATCACTATTAACTGCACCAATCTCCATGGGCGATGCTCCGTCCCTCGATCGAACGTCGTTGATCGATCTGTTGTATCCCTTATTGCGATCGTCACAACCCCGTCGGCTTCGTACTGCGTTGACGCGTTCTGCTGCTGCGACTACCGACTCGAAGGTGGACAACCCGTGAATC